AAAAAAAACTTTTTATTCTTATATAATTGTTATAAAAAGTTTCTTGGTTGGGTTTTATTTTTGTTATGCAATTAGGTACTTTACCTTCATTCTATTGGATAATCCTTTTCCATTACACTTGGTTTCTTCTAAATGAATACTTTAAATCATTTTCCAATTGTTGAAAAAAATCTTTATTTAGTCACATATTCATCTTCACATGAAATTACTCAAGGTTACACAGAAATTGGGCTTTTAGGCGGCTTCTGGCCAAATCTACATCATACATGGGCTTTCTATAGTAAAAAGCAAGTAATAGAGTGAGTCATCTGAAATACTAGATAGACATAATTTTAAACAATTATTACTTTAATAAACAAAAGCAACGTAATTATAAATAATTTAATAATTACTCTTGTTTTATGATGATAATAGTCTACAAAAATACTCACTTCGTACAATCACTTCTATTACCGCAGCTAATGAGTAACTTTTATTTTGACAGTTACTTTCGAGTGCGGTTTTTAATGTGAGGTGTAAACAAGCGCTGAAATTCGTTACAGAATGCCATTGAAACGTCAAAGACATTTAGGTATGTTACGGTCTCACCTGTGATAGTTTACTAAACCGCCACTCTCACTTAGTAGCGCTAGTGTCGTTCTCACTCGATTACAGAGATGCGCATAGAGTAAGCCCTCATTCGTCCATGTTACCAAACTTTAAAACTAAGACTATTTTAAGTTTACATTCATTAAAACTTTAAACTTGAGCCTCATATCTACAAATATATCTAAAGAATAAATTTACGTGCTTTTTTTCACGCATAATAACTAAGTCGATATATCTCGATTTACCAAAAACTTTTAAAATGGTAACACTACAAATCACTTAGGATATAAATGACATCTCGCTTCACTTGCTGGTATAATTGGTTACAGAATGCGAAAATTCCATGAAGCGAAACATAAAGAGATTCAAAAGCGGATCCGTTTCACACAGTGAGATGAGTTTATTGGTTTTACAGAATTGCACTACTGCTCTCCATTCAGAGTGGGGAACACGGCAACGTGTATCTGTAACAATGTGTCATCACCTTTTTTATAAACAATTCCTAGATTGTATATGGAGGTGAGACAACATTGTCAAATACTGTTTATAAACAATTAAATGTTTATAGAGTCTGTTCAGAAAGAGGATGGGATTTAGATTGGAGGGAGCTGTAGTGCTTTTCTACCGTATTTGTAAGGTTTTACCCCTTTTAGACATGATTAAATACAAAAAACCGCAAGAAATCACAACAACAAACAAATCCGTATCAATACAAAATTCTGACGTTTAACAGATTGCTGGGTTAGATTGCCAAATAAAAATCTTAATGTTAGTTCCGTTTTTCGCCACGCCCATTCTCTTTCCGCACAGACTCTACACAAATTTTGCTTATTGAATATGCAACATTAATCTTTTTAGATAACATCTCTATTATAACGCAGTATAGAGCAGAGTCATCCCCGCTGGCAGCACTCGTTCACGAGCATGACGCATGAACCATCGCTTCGCTCAAGCATATTTTAGGGAACGTAACGACCCGCCTCGCACTAGCCTCACCTCATAAAATCCATTTAAGATTGATATTATTATGTAAGGATACGCAAAAGGAGCGTTTGCAATTTCAAATCCAATAATAAATAAAATAAATATTTGCAACACTCACACCAATCAGCCTAGCCCCAAAGCACGGTAATATTATCTATAGATAATATTACCAAAGTAAGTAAGTGCCAAAGTAAGCACTGTAAGGCTTGTGTTATGGGATGCTAGGGTAACGGATAGAATACATATACTGTACATATTATATAAGTAAATTTATATAGAAATACATATTAACCATCCATGACTGGAGTACAAATGCTCGTATTCATCACACAAACATCTGCCACCACCGGTATTGGAACCCGGGACCTCTCGAGTCGGCGACACCATGAAACCCGGCGTACAAACCACTCGGCCACGGAGGTCGTCAAATAATGTAGAATCCTAATGTAAAAATACTACGTTTTATGATTTTAAAAAGTTATATTGTACTAGCTGTGCCCCGCGGTGTTACGCAGTAAAACGTAACCTTTGTGTTAATCCAGGGTGTCAGCTAACTCCATACCGAATATTATTAAAATCGCTCCAGCCGTTTAGACGTGAAGAAGTAACAAACATACACACTCGCAAACTTTTGCCTTTATAATATTAGTGTGATAAATATTAAACCACAATACAGCCAGCAAAAGAAGCAAACCTTTTTGATCTCGTACGCTTTTCTAGTTTTTCGTTACCATAGAAACCGCGTCTTGTTGCCACGACAACGCATTAAATTCAGTTGTCAATCAATTAATCCAACCGCAACAAGTGTACTGGTGCATAAATATTTATTTTGTTTCTTTTCATTAAAATGTATCATTGTATAGAGAAATAGTATTTAGTATTTTGTATAAATAGTGTTATTGAAATAATATACATCTACAATAGTTAAGGTAGGTGGTATAAATAATGTAATTAACTAAATTACCGATTACATGTCAGGGGATTACTATTAATATATAATATTACCAATTTTTATTACCATTTTCTATTACCATTAATATTAATAACACCAATTTCTGCCTGCAGTTTTGGGATTTGAAAAGTTCAGTTCAGTATTTTAGTGTGATCTGACACTCATTTAAGCAAGAACATTTTGTGTTCTTCCTCTGTACCAAATTTTATCCAAATATTTTAGTTTGAACATAAACTTTAACTTCTAAAAAGTAAAAAACTTATGCAAGTTTGAGCTCTATTCGCTACCCAGTAGCGTGTAGGTTACACTGACAACAATATTTTAGAATGTTGGCCTGTAGATATTATGTTACTTGGCAACTATTAAGTAATCTATGATAATGGGGACTCTTTCCTTTGTCCCTCTTTCCGTGAAAATGTAATGTTTTGCTAGCACACGTGTTTTATAGTAATATAAGTTATTTACGGGATTGTTACCATGTACCTTGTTTTTAGCGAATATAACCATAATGTTAGTGACCATGAAAGTTTAAAACATGTGTTTTGTTTGTACACGTGTACAAACCGGACTAATCTGGGTATTTAACATGGAAAAGCAAATTTATCTGAATAAAAAATGTAACAATTTATAAGTTTTCGTAACTGCCATCTCTCCTATTCCCATCTCCAATGTAATACAAGGGCGAAAAAGACGCGTCGAAAAATTAAATTTCCCAAGAATCTGGAAATTTTAATGGGGTGGTAAGTTGTCTGTATTATTTCACAACAAAATTTACAGTTTTTCAAATGCTCGATCCGGCCTTTTTCCAAATGCTCGATCCGGCCTTTTTCCAAATGCTCCTTCCGGCCTTTTTCCAAATGCTCCTTCCGGCCTTTTTCCAAATGCTCGACCCGGCCTTTTTCCAATTGCTCGATCCGGCCTTTTTCCAAATGCACGATCCGGCCTTTTTCCAAATGCTCGATCCGGCCTTTTTCCAAATGCTCGATCCGGCCTTCTACCAAATGCTCGATCCGGCCTTTTTCCACATGCTCGATCCGGCCTTTTTTCAAATGCTCGATCCGGCCTTTTTCCAAATGCTCGATCCGGCCTTTTTCCAAATGTTCCATCCAGCCTTTTTTCAAATGCTCGATCCGGCCCGACCGATATTAAATATTAAAAGTTATAAAAAAAATTCGCGACAGCATATGCCTATCTTTTAAAAGTGAACCATCATCATCACCGTCAGCAGTCTATTAATATTGTGTTGCCCCACTGCCTTCAGGCCCCTTTGCCTTCCCTATGGCTGAAAAGGGAGAAAGGGGCCATAAATTGCTTGTATAATTGCCATTATTCAGTTATACCAACGCCAAGGAATTGCACTGACTCCTTGATAATAGTGGGGAATGGATGTCTATTTGATGCCACCATGGTCTCTTACCTTTTTTTAAGATAATTGTGTAAAAATACTTTCTTAGTTTATATCTTATTTTTTAATTATGATTCAGAGTACACAGAGCAATAATTAGCCAAACTCGATTTCGAGTATAAAGACAAACCACTTATTCTTTATTTTTGATAGTGACTTATACCAGCTAAATTAACCGCCATTATGGAATAAAAATGGAGGAGCTCGATGGCGCAGGTGGCTAGCGCGTTCGGCTGCGATCGTTGAAGATAAGCAACTTTCGCAGTGGTCGGTCATTGGATGGGTGACCAAAAATTTACTATCTCGACCTCCTCCGTGCTTCGGAAGGCACGTTAAGCCGTTGGTCCCGGCTGCATTTGCAGTCGTTAGCACCTACCAATCCGCACTGGGCCCGCGTGGTGGGTCATGGCCCAATCTCCCTATTCCATCCATAGGGAAGGCCTGTTCCCCAGCAGTGGGGACATTAATAGGCTGATGATGATGGAATAAAGTATAATTAAAAAGAAAATAATCTAGTAACCTGATGCCCCTTCGTTTATTTATTTTATCAGTAAATCCGACAAGGAAGCTGCTGCCAATTCTTGGATGAAGTGGTTTTTGCATTCACCAATTTTCATTAGTTTTCTACATCTCTCATGTATGACAGTTTGTCATTTGAAACTTACACAGATCATACAAATGCAGCGAACGTGGAATATTATCGTGAACCCCTTTTTAACATAAAAAACTTGTCTTCGTATTGAAGTTTAAGCGATGGCGAGCAGAGGGGGTGCAAGGAAGCGTCCCCGTGGTGCCGCAAGTGGCGTCAGCGCTGCTAATGAGGCGAGCGGCGCGAAGAGATGCCCGCCGCGGTTCACCAGACCTGCCCGCTCGCAGCCCGCGCTGGCTGGCATCACCCGCGCCGGCTACGACCGCGAGCTCGACCGAGACAGCGTGCTACTGAGGGCGGCCGCCAACTATTACCCTGAAGGTACTGTACTGGCGAGTGGCATGAGCATCGTTGGGTCACATGGCCGGCCCGTTCGCAGCCCGCGCTGGCTGGCATCACCCGTGCCGGCTACGACCGCGAGCTCGACCGAGACAGCGTGCTACTGAGGGCGGCCGCCAACTATTACCCTGAAGGTACTGTACTGGCGAGTGGCATGAGCATCGTTGGGTCACATGGCCGGCCCGTTCGCAGCCCGCGCTGGCTGGCATCACCCGCGCCGGCTGCGACCGCGAGCTCGACCGAGACAGTGTGCTACTGCGGGCGGCCACCAACTATTACCCTGAAGGTACTATACTGGCGAGTAGCATAAGCATCGTTTGGTCACAGGGCACGCCCGTTTGCAGCCCGCGCTGGCTGGCATCACTCGTGCCGGCTACGACTACAAGCTTGACCAAGACAGCGTGCTGCTGAAGACCGCCGCCAACTATTATTCTGAAGGTACTGTACTGGCGAGCCAGCCTCCGTAGCATAAGCACCGTCGGTTCGCAAGGCCCAGCTCGCAGCCTCTGCTGGCTGGCATCACCCACGCGCCAGATATGACCACGAGCTCGATCGAGATCTCGTTCCGCTGCGGGCCGCCGCCAACTATTACTCTGAAGGTACAATGCAGTCCCCTGAAGGTACTGTACTGGCAAGTAGCATGAGCATCTTTGGTTAACACGGCCCACCCATTCGCAGCCCACGCTAGCTGGCATCACCCGCGCCAGCTGGCATCACCCGCGCCGGCTACGACTACAAGCTTGACCAAGACTTGAGCAGCACGCTGCTAAAGACCACCGCCAACTATTATTCTGAAGGTACTGTACTGGCGAGCCAGCCTCCGTAGCATAAGCACCGTCGGTTCGCAAGGCCCAGCTCGCAGCCTCTGCTGGCTGGCATCACCCGCGCGCCAGATATGACCACGAGCTCGATCGAGATCTCGTTCCGCTGCGGGCCGCCGCCAACTATTACTCTGAAGGTACAATGCAGTCCCCTGAAGGTACTGTACTGGCAAGTAGCCTGAGTATCGTTGGTTAACAGGGCCCACCCATTCGCAGCCCACGCTAGCTGGCATCACCTGCGCCGGCTACGACCACGAGCTCGAACTAAACAGCGCGCTGCTGATAGCCGCCACCAACTATTACTCTGAAGGTACTGTACTGGCGAGCCAGCCCTCATAGCATGAGTACCGTCGGTTCACAAGGCCCTCCCGCTCGCAGACCCCGCTGGCTCGCATCACCCGCGCGCCAGATACGACCACGAGCTCGAGACAGCGTTCTGCTGCAGGCGGCCGCCAACTATTACTCTGAAGGTACTATGCAGTCCATGTAAGTGAGTCAGCCAGCATGTGTACTGTCCGGTTACAAGGCCCGCGTTGGTTGGTATCAGCCGCGCCGGCTACGACCGCGAGCTCCGCAGCGCTTTTTATCTACACTCAACTCCATTGTTTAACTGTCAATGTGGAAAAAGCGCTTTATCAATCGCGTTTTTGTGGATGACTACAAAAACTCGATTGTTAAAGTGCTTTTTCCTATCTCTCTATTACAACGGACGATATAGATCTTAAAAGTCAAGTCTTCAACAAACTTAACTTAATAAAGTTGGTATCGCTAGAGTTTCATCGCATTAAATAGAGGTAAAGGCGCAATATAAATAAAAATTCCAATTAAAAAAAGTTAGTAAATAAATAATATTCTATAGTGTTGTCTTCCGCGAATTAATCAAGTTACTAGAGCTCCACGGATGAGAGGAAGTAAGGGACTCAAGCAGGCATTATGAATAGCATTTTGTTCTGCTTGTGGGATACTTTAACGATCTTGTTTGCAAAGATAGGACAGTTTGTATTGTTGACATAATACACTGTAATGATAACTGCTAACTCAAAACTTTCAAGATTTTGAAAATCTTTTCTAGGTGAAGGTGACGGCGGATGCAGCGAGTTTCCCCCGCTGATGCAGGGCAAGTCCTGGACGCGTGGCGTGCCGTATCGTGACAGCTTCGACCACGCTAAACCTGCTGATAGCATTGGTAATATACTTATATGCCACAGTGTTGAAATTCAAAGAAAGTATATACATTATAGACCGTGCTACTCAGTAGCAATTTATAAAGTTTTTATTTTTATGTGAAGGATAATACGGATAATGCTAGGTTTGACACCAAACACCAATGTATGTATAGAATGATTGAAACTTAATTTATAAATTATATTTGCAATTGTATAATAATGTATTTTAAATAGATAATAACCCTCTAAAGTTGCTGTGCCCTTGCAGGGCGTCACATGGTTACTGTATTTGTTATGTACCACCTTATTTTTGTGGATGTGATATGCAATGAATAAATAAATAAATAAATACGAATTTACAAGGAAACTATTGCAAACCAATACAATCAAATTATGTACCGAAAACCCCATCCAAATCCGATCTGTAGTTTTTGATATAATCGCGGACAAACATAAATACATACATCGCACCTTGAAAACCTTACCGTCACTAAACAAAATCCCTGTTTTTTGGGAATAAGCGATTAAAGTTTTTTTTAAATGTTTAGTTCTAGATTGTCTTTTAAACTGCATAATTAGAAAGGCTTTTATGTGTTACAGCTTTCTTCTTTATCCTAGTTTGAAATGCCAGTAAACTTTTTGCGAAGTTCTAAGGTTTCTAGAACAAAATTATAGGTTTTTTTAAAAAATATACTAAAAGTGTCACTATTCCACTAAACATTTCAACAGAAACAAAGTAGTGTCATAATTTTGTAGTACAGTGCAATAAAATAAAAGTATATTTATCAATAAAAAACTGATTAAAAAACTCACTTTATTACCAATATATAAAAACAACCTAGTAAATAAAAATGAAAAGTACCTTCCCACTGTACTTCAATTATAATAATTTTAATAATCAACAAAAAAAAAAGACACAAAAAATACTTTTCTTAAAGGTGTGAATAAACTTTCTTCAAAAACAATTGGAATGTTAAATTATGTTATGAACATAACAGAAAAATTAATAACGTTGAGAATATTTGAAGGCTCGTCACGTTACAGTGACATACTTGTAATTCGAAAAATTAATATTAAAATAAAATCTGTTTCGTGGTCATTTGATGACACTTAAACCTTAAACATTATAATGGCACCAACGAGATTACAACAATCAACTTAAAATGTATTAGGAACAAATTTCAGGAAAATAGAGATTATTTCTAGGAATCAATCCCTTCTAATAATACGTACTTAATGGTTTATTATGTTATCATAAAACGAGGAAGCGTAGTACCTAGGAATATGATTAGATTGAATAAGAGCTCTCAAATCAGCCTTTTTGCGTTCAATCAACTGAAGCTTCGTATTGTAAAGCCTCTTTAGTTGGGGACGACGTCGAATGTTCTGCATACGTACACTACGGGATTGCGGTTTAGATAAATTTATTTCTTTAAAGAAATCTTTGTAAATAGGAAGTTTTGTAAAAAACTCTAACTCTGTTGGTATCATCGTCATTAGTCTTTTCAATTCTTATGATTTTTATATCACCTATTTTGACTGTCTCTCCATCCGTATTTTTATTAAGTTTTTGGTCCGCCAAGTTCTTGATATTATAAAATTCACTGTGGCTCATTTCATTTATAATGAATTTGTTGCCCTTTTTTTTCGCGTCCCGTATTAGTTGTACCTACTGGTCGGGCACATAAATAGGACCTGATCTGAGTGCTTTTTTTATTTGCCTTTCTATTGTAGAGTGAGCTGCGTCACCCTCATTTTGGGTGTGACCTTTTATTAGAAATTTATGGGTGATAGACTTAACATTCGGCATTTCTTCAACAGCATAAATGTACAGAGATATGATAAATTGATTTTTTTGTTGGCCACAACAATTATCTGAATAGAATACTAATTCCAAAGGTTCGGATGTAGCAGCAGATTTCTTCTGTAAATATTTGTATACACACGTTCCAATTTCGCATGCACCTCTTTGTCCTTCAACTTCGTTCCAAAAAAAGCATTCAGTGTTATCTGTACCGAGTTCGCAGATTGTAAAATTAAAACAATTTAATTTAGATTTATAATAAAATACTGATACGTCACTTCTTGGTACAGGTAACACTGCTTGTAAATCGTAACAAGCCACAATTTTACTTGGACTTATTTGCTCTTTATCTTTAGTTTTTTCAATCCTGCTCCCTTCTTTTTCCTCTAAATGATTCTGATATTTTTCTTCCAGACTACTCTTTTCTTCTTGATTAGCATTCTTATAGGATGTGCACAAATCGCACTGATCCTTATTAGGAATGAAAAAGCTGATGTTAAACTCTGTATTAAAGACTTTTCTAAAAATGTGAATTTTTACGTATTCATCATTGTTTTTTAAGCATTCCTTTTTGTAATATGCATATAGATCAGTGAGACTTTTACCGCCGTCAATATACTCTCTTGTAGTTTGTTTACGCAAGTAATGGCTCTCAATCCTGGGAATTTTATTGATGTGCTTTCTAACTCCTTCTAAAAGCACTTCTGGGATTTTTGTTGCGTGTTTCTCATGTTTACCTCTTTTTTCAGGCTCTACTATACCAGAAGTATTTAGTTTAGAAATAACAGTTCTTATAGGCCGGTCATTAATATCAAGCGTGTTTTTAAAAAAAATTTTGCACACTCGCTGTTTCTCTCCATTTACTGTGAAGTAAAATGCATGTCTTGGTAATCTGTTATTATGTAGCCTTTTGTATTGGTATTTGGGTTTTACCTCAGTCATACTTTTAGCAATAAAATCCCTCTGCCGAGACAATGAAGCCATTTTCCAATATTGTTCGAAAATCTGCTGGCGAGTGTCTTGCGAAAGTCTTTCTGAGCATTTCAAGCGGCAACGAACATTACAGGGCTCTTTAAGTTGTCTAGAACCAACATGTTTTCGGCCTGTTGAAGCAGATGTGTACGGAAGACCTAAATTTCTCAGTATTTTTGCAGTTTCTTTCTTACTTCCTTGGCGCCTTTTCTTTCTTGAAGTAGTCGCTATGGGATCAGTATTGGGCGCGAGCAAGCTGTTAACAAAACGATGGGCAAGTTCTTTTAATGGCAAGGGATTGTTATTCTCAATAGGAACAGTAGTATTTTCAACTTCGGCCTCCTTATCTGACAGCACCGGACTGTTTTGCGACTTCCGTAATACTTCATCTTCCGATGAAGTCATCGCCAAATCAGCAGATAAATCAATCGGAACGTAAACTTCTACGAATTCATTTTGGCTACAATTCGCAGGTGATAGTTGTGATTCTTGTGATTGTGTATTAAGTGGTGGTAGTGACTGTGGAATGACTGATGGAGGTGATGCCGTTTCTTTATCAGATTCTGAATCAGATGAAGAGCTGGTGTTAGAACGTGTTGAGCTGCTGTTAGAACCTGATGTGCTAGATGGAGGAAAACTCGAAGAAGATGAATCAACTTCAGATTTTTTTAACAGTTTCTTCTTCTTTTTACCAGATATTTCCTCAATTTCAGTGTCAGAAGACGACTCCGATAGACTTGGTTTATATTCATGATCATCATCTGACGCTGGAGAATAATCACGAAATTGATCACTTTTTGTTGATGAATGAGAGGATCTTCTGGTTGATGAATTGATCTGTTCAACCTTTGAAGTTTGTAAAGGCTGGACTTCCAGATTTTCGTGGGATGTAGCGGGATTGTCAAAAAAACATTTTTTTTTTACTAATGAGGGTAGATTTTCCTTCTCAATTAATGAATGTTCATTGGAACTTGATTCATTAATATTCTTTTTTATGAGACTTTTCAATTTCATTATTCTCACATTAGGTGGAGCCATTTTAGCATAACACTGTAACAAAAATCACCAAAGTTTAAAACTACAATACATCTTTTATGCTATAATGTCATTCTTTAAAAGTATCCAGCACTCGGTACCTAATAAAATTTCCGTAGTTTCAAATAGTATTCATTTACAAACACAACTTTCCCCCTCTAAATATTTCTACGAATACAAGAATAAATTTGCATTAAAAGAAAAAATTCTAGAATAATACGTTACAACCGTTACAAGTATTATTATGTAATTTTGTAACGTTTTTTCTCGTCATTGGTATCATCATAATTGGCACTAAATTAAATATAACGTTAGTCATGTACATTATGACATAACTTTTACTCAAAACATAACACTATAATGACACTAACAAAAAAGAGTCATTGATGTTTTATAAGTTACATTATTTTATGTAAAACAAATTAAAATGATAGCGGCATTAAATAAAAAATGTCAACAAGTGTCGGAATACAAAAAAAATCAGTAAGAGGAAAACTGTCATTAAACTAAAAATGTCAATAGTGAGTGCATGCTACGATAGGTTTTAACAAATTATTTATCGGAAAAATGTGGTTAATAAAAAAAACACACTATTACAATTAAAATACACCTTAAACTTACCTGTTGGCCGAATGAAAAAACGTTCTTAAACAAAAAGAAACACTATTCTTATAAATTGTATAGTCTCTCGTGCGTAGATGACGGAAGACTGACCGGAAGACTGTCAAAGTGACAGTTAGTCGGTTAATTGGCGCTAAAGTGCTTCCCAAAAGCATAGTGACACTAATGCCATCTAGCGGGGATTATTAGAGATAGAACCACAGGTGTCTTTGAATTTTAAAGATACCGAAAATCGGCGTTAGACGGCGTTTTTAACTAAAAAACGGCAAATTTCGTTTAGTGACGGTTTGGTTTTCAAGGTGCGACATGTCAAACTGAGAACCTTCTTTTTTAATCTGTTAATAATAGATGCGTGCCACGCGGGCGTTACAGTGCAGCCGTTCACAAGCTCCAATGCTCCAATCAGTTGATGAATTTGCTGTGCTAAATATGTTAATTCAATATACACAAATTGATTTATGATTAGGAGCGAGCATAAAAACGTTAAAAGGCTGGTAAACAAGCATAATATGGCCCCACTGATGGTAAATGGTCACCATAGCCTTGTATAGATGCTTGCGATACCAAAAATATCACCAGCGCCGTTAGCTACCCTGACTGAATTCCCTACCCTGGAGAGCCCTGTAATCTTACACACCGACAGAAGCACAACATCTCCAAAAGGTAGTGTTATTTCCTGTATCTGTGATCTTCTGTAAGGCGTTTGTCTCTTTTAGGTAATTGCTACACATCAGCCACGAAGTCCATGCGTGTGATAAATATGCCTCCGAAGAGGCGGCCGCCGCCCAAGTTATATGGACCTCTGGGACCCAATGGCGAACTCCAGTTTCCCCCGCCGAAGACGTGGCAGGAGAGGGAGAGAGAGAAACTTGAGGCTGAACGGTTGGAGAAAGAGAAACACAAACTTCAGAAAGGTTATCGCAAGAATTAGTCTAAGCAGATCTTATTGAGTTTCACTTATATCATCATCGGTATCAGCCCATTTCTGTCCCCACTGCTGGGGTACGATCCTTTCTTAAAGATGAAATAAGGAGAATAGGAGGATCTGAACATACCCCCCACGCTGGCTTAATGCGGATTGGTGGGTGTTAATGACTGCAAATGCGTGTGAGACCCACGGCTTGACATGTCTATCTATCGAAGCGCAGAGCAGCACGAGTTAATAAATTACTGGCCATTCATCCTACGGTCGATCATTGCAAAAGTGGCTTTAACTTCCATGTTCTCAGGCCGAACGCCCTAACCACTGCGTTATCCTCTCCCTCATTATAAATAAACGCTATCATTTAAAGGCTCGTTGATGCAATGATTTAGTGTTCTGTCTGCGCAATTAAGCAACATTCATAATGTATTTGTTTCTTAGGTTTTCACGCACATCACTCATTAAATAAAACTAATTTTTACGGGTTAATGCACGAAACTTTATTTATTTATTGACGTTTCGTAGCCTTTACAGGCTACGTCGTCGTTTTTTTTTCTTTGATTCTGACCACGTCAATAAATAAATAAACTTTCGTGCATTAACCCGTAAAAACTAGTTTTATTTAACATTATAATGGCTGGTCAGTTAAGGTTGAAATGATAAATACAATTTTGATCATAGGTTTGGTCTTGTTAGAAGACTTAGTTTCCGGAGCATATGACAGAAAGAAGAAAGCTGAAGCCGAAGCGAAACGGAAAAGGATAGAAAAGAGGAGACAAGAGAAGCTGGCCGCCGAGGAAGCTGCTAAAGAAGCTCTCAGAAAGTAAAGATATGATTTATTTCAATTTTACATGACTATTTGATGAGTTCCCAAGTTCGAGCGCAGATGTTTATCCACTTGGATCGCCGATTAACTTACAAAAGCAAGACTCATAAATAACTAGCAAACATACAAAACTTACACATTTATAATACTAAAAATCCCACAAGAACCTGTAATTTTTCTTGGATTAAAAGTATATATATCTCAATCTAGATCATGACCAAACTTAAATATGGTCGATGCGTACCAAATTTCATCCAAATCCTTTCAGTAGTTTTTGTGTGATTAAGTAACAAACATACACTCTTTCACATTTATAATATTAGTAGAATACAGTTTAAATAAACACGATGCATATAAATGGATAGCTCAATAAATTATACAAGTAAGTTATTAAATTTTGACAGTTAAAACAATATTATCTTAATGAATAACTTTCCCATACTGCAGTGAATTGCTCACTTTGCGCTAAGTAGTTAACTGCTATCAAATCGACGGATAGTTTAAGTGACTAATTGGAAACAAGAAGCTGGCAAGCGAATGTGACATATGACCGTCGATAAGGCATTGATATGTCATATCGATGCTTTCTACGGCAAAGAAGGAAAGGTATTAAGTTAAAAAAAATGACAGATGATACCACGTCTTATTTCAGGCACTTGGAAAAGTTACAGTTTGAGGAACCTCGCGACCCTGACCTGCAGAAGTTAGAGATGATCAAAACAACAGAAGAAGAACACTATAAATACATACACACTAAGGACTTGGAAAGGATTCGGTATTATTTGACCACGGTTAGTAATTAAACACGAGAACAGTCTACGACATCCGACACATTCTGAGTGGACTGCCTTTTTAGTGACGCAAATGTTTAGACCTAATTTATTGTATTTATGTATAAGGTATATTATTTTCATGTACTAATTTGTGTCACTGAATAAAACATTTTCTTTCTTTCTTTCAAATATGGTATGATCGAGATTTGTACTACGCTGCACTTCAGCTACGGCTAGTTTATGAATATATTGCTTGAGCACCAGACCTTTTCTATGAATATTAGAACTAGCTTCTGGTCGCAACTTTATCTACTTCGTATTTTTTTTGAGAGCGCCAAATAAACCTAACATTTTCCGGATATAATGTACCGTATGTATTTATTCCAATTAATAAACGATATTTGTGCCAAATTTCATTCAAATCCGCATCAGATCCGTTTTTTATTTATTGAGTAACATTCATACAAACACTCACATTTATATACGTTTGAAGACTGATACGACTAAAATCTTACTAAAGGATACAAATCTGGTGCTAATTTCTGGTTACTAATAACTGTAACGGAAGCGGGCCTGAGCTTATATTGTCTTTTGAAAAACGGTTGACATTATAAATTGTCAAATGATCAGCTTTTGAGAATGTTACTTAATCCCAAAATCGAAACCGAATCCGATAACCATGCGCCATCGATATCCTCATGCCAGTCAGTGGTTTTGTGTATCCTTTCATTGATCATGCAGTTGCGTTCGACACAAATTCAATAGTATTCTAACGTACAATTAACATTAAGGGCTATAAAAACCATAAAAATGTACGGTATCTTGAATCTGAAATTACCTCTTTTCTAACATTGCATCTCATGGACACATCACAAGTCCTAATATACATAAAACATAGAAGGTTTATCACGTGCCCTTACTATTAATATGATGTTTGCAGACACTGCAATCAAGAGCGTTTAACAACAAAACACCTTCTATGTGAATGTGGACCTCTCATCCACAAACATAGTATTCATTTGGGACGACATATACACGCCCAGAAGAAATCAAATCTCTAAAAGCTAGAAACATTTTGAGCTTCTTGGAAGCTGTCGGGCTAAAAGAGAACTTGGTGGCTAGTCACAATAGATCATATAGGTCGCAGTGACTACAGTCCTACAAGGACTTCATAGCCGCAAAAAAACAAAATAATAATACTATTAATATTATAGGGATTAAACAGTTAATTCCGTATTTACAGTCATTAGTAAACAAGCACCTGCCCGAGTTTCCTCTGCACCTGTACAAGAAAGCGAAGACGATGGTAGACAAGCAGACGGTCGGCATCAAGCGACGCCTTCTCATTCTCACGTACCAGGCGTGCGTGCGCCAGAGCGAGACAGACATCAAGGACTTCTTCATGATGGCTATGAAAAGGTTGACTTTTTATTTATTACGATTGATATCTTTATGGTCCGCGGCCTATTATAATCGATGGCACGGACATCATAAACTTTTTCAGCGTTTTCATTTATTGTATAAATAGGAAAGAGAATAACTTAAATATCAAATTGATATGACCTATTTTAGCTAAAACAATTAATTCTAGGAATTCCGTAGAATTATCTATCGCTAAAACTTTGGGTTATTTGTCCTGTTGACAAGCTTTTGTACTTAAGTTCTAACCTGTTGCCAGATAATCCCGATATAAACATTCAATCTTGACGAATTACCGAACCAACCGCCTTTACCTAATTGCATACAAAAATATATGAATAAAAATAAATCCTTCCTTATTTCCTCCATAATTCGAGAACGGCTTTACTGATTTTATCCATCTTTATTTGAAGAGAAGCTTTATAAGGAAAAAATTAAGATACTAAGAAAATTTTAGGAAACTTAACTTACAACTCTACCCAATAATAGCGCCGCAGTCGGGTTTTAGGATTTTCTTTATAAAACAGGACAACGTCTACTGGGTTCGCTAATATTGTTTCAATGGAGAAGTATACGCAAAGCTCGACACTGGCAAACTCTTGACCCAAACCACAACCGAATATTGCAGCTGTCAAATTTTAAACGTGTTCTTTTGTTGGTTTTTTTTTAAATAAGTGGTAAAAGTGTGTTCAACATGGTCTGTAATACAGCTGAAAACAGAGTTGAAAAGGAAAGGAACATCTGTGCAAGGCAGAAAAGCTGATCTAGTAGAAAGGCACTCCTTCTATTATTATGCTAGAATACTCATTCTCGGTACATAGATGCATGTTTCATGATTATTTTATTAGTTTCTGGATCTCAGTAACTTTTAACGGGCTCATTAGTCAAATCTATTTTATTTTTGCATCAGTCAGACATCACATAGTGTTAGGTTACCTCTGGCTAAAATGAGATGATAACGTTGGGTTTTTTTACAGACTTGAGGCATATGACCGCAATTTTAATTTTTGTGCAGTTTTTTCTGTTCAAAATGAAGACATCCAGATGCAATTACTTGTCCCAGATACATGTGTAAACATGAGATCAGTTTACCCCCCACCCCCTTAAAAGCAACATATAAAATTATATTTTAATCGGGTAGCATGCAGTTTTCTCACAACAACTTCATCTTCATTCTTCTTGTCCATTGCAGGTGTATCCTGTCGTACGTACTGGAAGACCCATCAGAGATACGTCGTCTCGGCATCGCGTTCCTCCCACCATTGTGGCCGGCGCTGGTGGTGCGCGCGCCCGTACCCTGGCACGCCAGCTACGTGCGCGGGCGGCATGCGCTTTCCCCCCGCCACTACCACGCTGACCCCGTGCTGTTGGAGCTAAGGAGGATCTGGCAGGAGAGGTACGCAGCCCAAAATTTTTAAGGGAATCACCAAACTTATACCGCAGTTACATTTTGGCATTTTGGTCGCTAGCCCGGATTCGGGTGCACGAAAGACATTACTCGAATTCAGACAAGAAAGCGCCTGGCACATCAGTAATACACCATATAGGTAATAAGTATAAAAGTATAATCCGAGAAAAAAAGGTCTGGTAAAAGATCCTAACATGTTATATCGCTACTACATGGCAATCGGCCACGAAGGTCATCAACTCATTCTTTAAAAGGATTTCCTTCCCTTCCATTTCCCTGTTTACACAACTTTTTCCTTATTTATCAGGTATCAGAACGTACTGATATGCGACATGAACAAAATGCAGGAAGAGACACCATTCCCTCAGTACATTCCGGAATTCACGGAGCGTCTGAACAAGTTGTGCGCGGAGATGAGGTCCGAGCTGGTGGACAACTGGCTGATAGATGTCGCCGACACCATGATCAAGATGAGACACCACTGGGCCAAGTACGTGGCCAAGGATAGGAAGCAATCCACCTTTCAAGTGGAGCAGTTCTTCAGGTAAGCGCTTTTTAGTTACGGCACTCTAATTAAGGTTAAGTGACAGAAGACTGTAGTCAAATAATGATAGAAATTGATATAATATGCTTTGAAACTAACACCCGAATTATTTCTTGAACAGGTGCATTCATGCGCTGATGTCGAGACAAGTTCGTGATTTAGTAGAGAGAAGCGTGTACCACTTTGCTGAATATTTCAAATACTATTGGGTTAGTTGGTTTATTTTTTAATATTTATGATTGCTAAGCCTGTTGTCTGGTGACTTAAAATAAATTTGTAATACGCTTTCAATATGAGGTAGTTTGCCCTATTTTTGCCAAATAAATTTAATTACAGTATTGCTCACTGCGCATCAAACTACTTTATTTCTTACACATGCGGAACTAGAGCGATTTTTATTATACTTATGATCCCAGACAAATGAATCTTCCTCCCCCAGGAAGGCAACAACTACAGTGGCTCGTACCGCGACTACACGTTCATCAAGCGGCCGCTGATCCGTATCAAAGCTCTGGCCCACCCCGGCTCTACCAGCATCACTTTCGAGCCCAGCCTCGACCAGATGCGAATACAGATCGTCAAGTGGTTTCATACCATCATCAACGTGAACATCAACCTGCCCAGCGTCGACTCCATCATGTACCCTGGTATCTTTTGCAGCTTACTTAATCAATGTTCTATGCGTGACTTTGTTCAATCGAGTTTCATTAAAAGTTGGGCAGAGTCAAAGTAGATTGCTCAAAGAATGTACATCATCCACCGCCCTCACCAACGCTAGCGACCTTGCTCAATGCAAAAAGGTAGGTATGTTCTCCGATTTAATGGATACATTTTCAGTGCGCTTCCTCTTTAAAAACAGATCGTCAATAAATTTACTATTATTACTGTTTTTCTCTTCAGAAAAATGATAAAATAGGAGGGAAATTCATGAGGATCGTATCTATCAAACGGCTTGGTTAAAAGTCGGAAATATTTTTTTTATTTTTGCCAGGTGTTCAGCGACCGAAACCTTACCTCATGATGGTTTACGCTGACGAAGCGTACATGGTGGACCTCATCAACGACTGCATCAAACATTTCAACCTGAACCGCCCGGGTCCCACCAAATACTTGGAATGCTATCAGGAGTATTACTATATCCTGGACGGTACGGCCAAGCAGGATCTGCTTCAGTTTTTCGCTCAGGAGCCACCGCCGTACTTGAAGGTTTGTCAGGAGATTTTCATTTTGATTTGTGAATGATTGATGAATTGATTACTAACTTGTCAGTTTTTATTATGTACTTTCACACCATGATATGTTTGTGTCCCAACACAAACAACTACATATTTTAATATAATACCAATACATGACAATCAAATTAATAGTTTCGAGGTGAAAACAAAACAAAAAGTCAAATAGATACATAAAAAGTCATGGACAGAGAGGCATACAGAGTTACTCACACATTTATTGACTGCACTGATGCCATCACATAGTAGCGGTAAAATGAATTTCGTATGTTACAGGACTTCTCAGCCCGCATCTACATGTACGAGAAGCTGCGCGACGAAATACTGTTTCTCCGTCGTGACATACCCCTGAACATGGTGATGTTGGACTGTGGACCCATCAACGACACCATGTGGACAGAGGTGGACGGTCTGCGCTCCCATATCGTTGACCACTTCATCAACGTCAATCGGAAGTGGAATAGATCGTTAGTTCTTAATAATAAAATCTAAGATCGGAAGCATCTTCTTTTATATTTAAATCAAATGAACTCGGAGGGCCAGCGAGCGTTTCAAAGATTATCGTACATCAGGAGTGTCTTCTTGAAAATATATTGTGGGCCTAGATGCTGCTCAGTACAGCTATCTAGGTACAAAATAAAGTTCCTGGATACATTTAAGTAGATATCAAGAGCTTTTTCTAAACTTGCTTTAAGCAATACTACATTCATAAAATTTCTGAGGATACCTGGACCGAGTGATATTTTTTATTAAAAATATATTTCTTATTTGTCAGTATATGCAACGCGTACGAAGAGATGGCGGCGCGCGCGTCCGAGAGTCCTGAGACCACTTCCCAGCTGGTGGAGCTGATCGACTACATTCAGGAGTGCCGCGACTGCGCTATGTTCGACCTCAGGGAGAAGGCACGCACCACCGCGGAATACGTGCTGTTCCTCATGGAGCACGCGCATCTCAACTGTGAGTGAGACCGAGGATATTATACACGGCCAGCTGGTGCAGCTGAATGACTACATCCGGGAGTGCCGCGACTGCGCTATGTTCGACCTCAGGGAGAAGGCACGCACCACCGCGGAATACGTGCTGTTCCTCATGGAGCACGCGCATCTCAACTGTGAGTGAGACCGAGGATATTATACACGGCCAGCTGGTGCAGCTGAATGACTACATCCGGGAGTGCCGCGACTGCGCTATGTTCGACCTCAGGGAGAAGGCACGCACCACCGTGGAATACGTGCTGTTCCTCATGGAGCACGCGCATCTCAACTGTGAGTGAGACCGAGGATATTATACACGGCCAGCTGGTGCAGCTGAATGACTACATCCGGGAGTGCCGCGACTGCGCTATGTTCGACCTCAGGGAGAAGGCACGCACCACCGCGGAATACGTGCTGTTCCTCATGGAGCACGCGCATCTCATCTGTGAGTGAGACCGAGGATATTATACACGGCCAGCTGGTGCAGCTACATCCAGGAGTGCCGCGCCTGTAAATTACACTATATCAGTATATTTACCGCACCTCATAATGTTATAATTACGATAAGATGCTGAGTTATAGCTATAGTCCCGGAGATCTTGTTTTAAAGGCGGCGTCTGCGCCGAGAAGGGAGCTGCGTACGTCGCCATCTCGAAGTAGGAGGTGTTACGCCGCCGTAGGTATGGTCATTACAACCCGTTGACTAATGACGGCGTACCGTGGGCAGCCAACTTGCTGCTGCAGGCGCGGGAACAAAAGACGGCTCGGAGACCGGTCGCTGTGACGTCACATCGTATGATGGTCTTATGTTTTACATGTGTGGCCTGACTGCACAAGCGCAGCGGTTTCGGTACCGGATTTGAGCCGCTACAGGCCCCATTCATCATCCATTCTATCCATTAATAGAATTTAACACTCTTTATGGAAATCGGTGGCGCCAGTTGTTATCGGGTTCTTCTGCGATCGTTGAAGTTTGACAAGTTTCGCAAAGGCGGAACATAGAATGGGTGACTGAAATTTATTATCCATGCTTCAAAAGGCACGTTAAGCCGTCGGTGGTCCCGGCTGCATCTGCAGTGGTCAGAATCCACCAATCTGCACTGGAGCAACGGGATAGGTCATAACCCAATCTTCATAATCCATCTATAAATGAGGCTTGTACCAACCCTTTTTTTTTTGTCTGGGAAATGCTTTACGCATCCTTCAACCACCGGGGGAGCGAGAAGAAGGTATGTGGGACTCCTCCCTGCTCACTTCAGCTAGCCCTTAGGCCGGGTGAAATGAGCAGGGCCCTACCTAACGCCCTGAACAGGGCCACTAAAAACCAGACAATACTCCTGCACCGGTCACCCGGCGTACATTCTGAGGACCGCAGTCCCCCCAATGCATGCCGGGAGTGCGGATGTGGTCGCGGCAACCGTTGCCGACTGTCCGCGCAAGGCTTGTACCAACCCCCAGACATGGAGATTAATTCAAAATTTCTGGTATACAGAAAAATATCGGCATTTTAGGAATTGGTAAACGAGACAACTTATCTCTCTCTCTCGAAATTTTAGTAGGCACTAGTTGGGTTGGGTTTTTGTTTGAATTGCAACATTAATAAGATATCAAAACTATGCTTCTATCAATTTATTCATTTGAACTATCTTCACGGAAACTGTTGTAGCTAGAATGATTGCCTTTGGTTTCTTAATATTACGTTTTGTGTTCTGACTTTAGTCGAAGATGTCAACCTGAACACTCGAGTGTTCTTGTGGCCGTTGGATATGGAGGAAACCATCGATCTAACACTAAAGACGCTGTACACAAAGAAGACGATGGCTGAGGACAAGCTGCGTAGCCGCAAAGCCATCTTCGAGGAGAAACTGAAGCGACACGAGAAGGATTTGGACGTGTTCAGACGCTTTGATCCACCGTTGCTCAACCTTGACTTGCTCAAAGAAGTCGTTGGGAAAGTCGACGAAATCTATAGGAATTTAACGGTAGGTTTTTTAATGCTTAAAGCTTGGTGTTATGTATGTATATACATATGTAGATGGCTGCGACCACTATCGTGTCTGTCAAATAAAGCAGTGCGTAACTAGCATCGGCTCATATGCATATGCTTGATGGTAAGCGGCTACATAGCCTTTAAACGCTGGCGATACAAAAAATATCAGTCGCGCCGGCATTGCCTACCCTGACCCTACGCCGTAGAACCTTACTCATCATCATCAGCCTCTTTATGTCCCCACTGCTGGGGCTAAGGCTTTCCCTATGGATGGAATAGGGAGATTGACCCATGACCCACCACGCGGGCCTAGTGCAGATTGGTGGGTGCTAACGACTGCAGATGCAACCGGGACCAACACGGCTTAACGTGCCTTCCGAAGCACGGAGGAACTCGAGATAGAAATTTTTGGTCACCCATCCAATGGCCGACCACTGCGAAAGTTGCTGAACTACAACGATCGCAGCCAAACGCGCTAACCACCTGCGCCATCGAGCTCCTCAACCTTACTCACCGCGACAGAAACACATCACCACCAAATGGTAGTGTTATTTTACTGTGGTCTTCAGTAAGTACCTACACTACTTTCCGAGACGGGCTTTCTTTATAAAATTTAACTGTTACAAGCTTAGGAAACTGAATCTGTAGTTTGTCTGATGAATAGGGATAATGACAGACTAGTAACGCTCCCCGCCCTTGAGGGATTTGCAGATTATCAAAGGTTCAATTTGTGAAAAGTGTCAATCCCATAACCAAACCTGAATATCGTTACATTTGGCATTGTTAGGTTTAAGATATTAGCCAGAAATAATAGTGGACAGTTACTAGATTTATCACTTATATTATAATTTCCGAATAAGGAAAGAAAGCTCCGCACTTAATGTATTGTACAGTTTGTACACCTTTTAATGTAGTTGTTGTTGAGATTTAGTTAATTGGAGTGCAGGAGAAAAAGGTCAGAGAGAGATAAATACCGAGATATATTGTAAACAAAGTTACAGTTAAGGTGTAGGCTATTCTTGTCTCTAATGTGTGTTAATTAGTTCGCGTTTCTAATTGCACTGTCTTTTAATAAAGAAATAATAATTTATAATTACGATAATATGACACTCTAGGTAAACGCAGGTCATTGACGCGGCCTGAGTGACGTTCGCGGTGTTAGCAAATTTTTATGTACAAGTAAACTGTACATCTTGGCAACCCGAGAAAAACAAAGAAAAGAGATAAAAGGTTGACATGACAAAAGAGAAAGGAATAGCCTTAAAATTTAATAATAAATATTAACAAAGCAAAAATTGTTATTTTAATCGAAATTGAATGTAGCGTTGCTTGTTCCGGCGTTGAGACTCCGAGGAGGCTTCTTCGGGGGAGCTTCTGCTTCAATGTTGTCCCTCTGCATGTCATGTCTTCGGTAAAAGGTTTGAAGTTCGATGTCTGTAGGATGTGGTTGTTGGTTGTTATTCGAGATTGTGTTGTTTTTCTTCAAACAGTGAGGGCAGTATTTCCTTACAACCAACACAAGCAAAATTGCAACAGCTGACGTCAGTAACACGTAACTAATAATATATTGATGGACGTCATGACTTGATATTGTTGTCAATTTTTCGTTGTCTTTCAAACGAGTAATGTCTTCTTCGATCCCTTCCGTTTCACGAGCTGTAGATTGAAACACCATACGTGGCGTGTGATTATAAGTTAAGTTCACTATCTTGTTTACTGATGTATCCAATGTATTAGCTGCGATGTTATAATTCATCTTCATGCGGCTGCTGTAGTGATTGTGGGAGTAGATTGTAAAATCCTCAGATTGCAGCAGGCATCCCTGAGGTAACGTCACTATTCCTGATGACGTCATGGTGTGTGATGTAACGTCACTATTGCATATGGTACGTAATGAACACGTATCACAACATATGGTAAGCCACTTGTTAGGAGAATGTAATTCGATCCACGCGTTCTTGCATGAGGCGCGTTCGACGTCACAGGGCTGGTCATTTTGATGCGAAAGCAGTTTCGCTTCGCACGGAGCTGTTTTGCTATGCATATTGAAAACAGGTTTGTTTGTTTTGCATATGAATTTGTCCGATCTTTGTTTTCGGCAGTGCTCGAGATCTTCATCATTGAGTGAAATGTATATATTTTTCTCCAAATTCACTGCAATATATTTGAAAGTTGTCTGTACGTATGATGTGTCCATCTCCTCGAATTTGACAGGTAATGGTATAATTTGATATAAGTTGAAATCTTCATTAGTTATTAGCGGTATGTGCATTTCGAAAATAATATAGTTCTCAGTGACTCGAGCTCTCACATAAATCAAAGTGTAGAGTTCCTTTATATCTTCCTTGTAGTTTTGCACTGGTAGTGATAAGTCCTTTGGTATGCTCCCAGATATGTCCGTTAATTGTTGTATGAGATGAGCAGGAGAAATCATATGCACATCTATGTGTCCTCGATAGACATTAGTGAGCGAGTCGAATAACATATTTTGGAAAGATCTTAGGTTGTTCATGAGTAAATACGCTGTCATCGAAACAGAGTTGAAATAGGAGTTGGCGGAAACTATTTGCATTTCTGTCTTCAATCTCGCCATATTTAGTTCAGTTTGATTCAGGAAGTTCTCGATCATATTAAACTGACGTTGAATATTATCTTCACTTTTTCTCAGCGCTTTATTTTCCAGTTCGACGATACTTGTTTGGTTTTTTATTAGCTCCAGTAAAAAGTCTTCATTGGTATGGATGGCTCGTATATCATTTTCGTATTTATGGGCGAACCGTTGATCTAAAACTCCAAATAAGCTGTTCGCTACATAACCCACTCCATCCAATAAGCCACGTTTCTTCCTGTTACTTAAATGTTTATGAGGATTCATAAGAATTGTGTTATAATAACCTAGAAGTTCCATTTCGTGACTTAGCTGTTCTGTTGTCGCTCTGCAGTATAGTAAGTTAGTTCTGTAGCACAAGTTCTTCACAGTATCAAAATAATGTTCAATACGACGAGTTCCTTCCCAGTAGTTTGTTATGTTATAATACATAATGAGTATCCATTCATCGTGCATCAATTGCATTTTACCCATTGTGTCATAGTAGATAGGGCGCTCACGTTCGAAGTTAGTAATTTGAGCGCTTGACGACACGCCGTCAATGGAGCCATATGATCCCGATAAAAATGTAAACATGGTTAACATTGCTAATAACAGCTTAGATGTTTTGTTTCTTCCTTTTTTCTTTGAGCGCTCCAAGTTTGTTTTTATTTCTTGTTTAGATGAAAGATCCTCGTGATTTTCAATTTCAGTGTCTATGGGCAGGCGGGATAATTTTATAACTGGCCGCTTGGTTATTCCCGTTTGAGTTTTTATTGTTGTAACTCGAACATATCCGTCAGAACCAGGGTGAGTTTCAAGGACGCGCCCCAAGGCCCATTTTCCTGGAGGTAAGTTGTTATCCTTGACCAATACTACTTCACCGACCTTAATGTTGTTTGTGGGCTTGTTCCACTTGCTACGTTGCTAGCTAGTAGCTAACTTGCTAGTTTGCAGTTGAGTCAGATAATCGTTCGACCAATTTTTCCAATATTGCTGGAACATTTGTTCTGTCAGTTGCCATCTGCGACGAACGCCGATATGAATATCATTGTAATCGGATGATGGTAACGTCATTATTGAGCTTCCGGTAAGGAAATGACCAGGAGTCAAACAGTTGTAGAATTCTTCAGGATCCTCAGTAAGTGGACACAAGGGCCTCGAGTTTAAGCACGCTTCGATCTTGGCCAAGAGAGTAGTCATCTCTTCGTAGGTGAGCTTCTGGTCGCCTAGTACTCGACGTAGGTGGTGTTTCATCGATTTGACAGCTGCCTCCCACAAGCCGCCAGCAGAAGGCCAGGCAGGGGCGTTAAAATGCCATTCTACTTCTAATTTGTTTAGTTGGTTGAAGAAGTCAGGTGTCATAATTTGTTTGAATTCTTCAAATTCTTGACGAAGTACCTTTGCAGCACCAATGAAGTTAGTTCCGCAATCTGAGTACATGTGTTTAGGGGTGCCACGTCTTGCACTCATCCGCTGGAAGGCTGCAATAAAGGTTTCAGTGCTGAGATCCGAGACAAGTTCAATATGTACCGCCTTAGTCGCCATACATATAAATATTGCTATATACCCCTTTGAAGTTTTAACGCCTCTGCCTTTGTTTATCTTGAGTTCGATATAACCAGAATAATCAACTCCTGTGAAAGTGAAGGGTCGACATGGAGTTACTCTTTGTTGTGGCAGGTGACTCATAATCTGATGGTTGTCAGTTTGACTGAAACGGTGGCAACGAACACATTTTCGCAGTTGAGTTTTGACAGCCCTATTGCCTCCGACGATCCAATATCTCTGCCTTATATGAGTCAACGTAAGCCGCGCTCCTCCGTGCAATGTTGTTAAATGCGACTGTTCTATTAAAAGTTGCGTAAATCGGCCAGTGCGTGGTAATATGATGGGATTTTTCATTTCCAGAGGTAAGTTTGAGTTCTGTAGGCGACCACCGATGCGTATGATTTTGTCGTTATCCAGGTAAGGGCTCAACTTTAAAATCACACTCTTCTTAGAAAGAATTCCATTGCACAAAAGTTGTTTATATTCTTGCCAAAAAAAAGTTTGCTGCACGTGTTTTATAATCATTTTGTTGGCTTCATGTATTTCACATGTTGATAGGTAAGTAGTTTCAGGTTTCCCTTTGGCGCGCATATTTGTTATACAGCGAAGTATCCACGCTGTTATTCGTAATACTCGTGTCAATGAACTACAATTATGTAATAATGTAGTTATAAAATGTTCTTTTCCAGGTTCCGAAAAAGTTTCCTTTTGACACAGATGATCATCGCCGATGTTGGTATAGAATATATTGCAATTTAGGTTAATTTCGGTTTCTACATCCTTTAGAAATGGAGGTCCACAGAACCATAAGTCAAAGTTGACTAGTTTGCTTGGTAGCATCCCTCTCGTAACGCAGTCAGCCGGGTTCAGTTCTGATTTGACGTAACGCCATTGATTTGTAGGTATAATGTGTTTGATTTTTGACACTCTGTTAGCTACATATGTCTCGCGCTTCGTCGTGTCGCTTTGGAGCCAAGCTAACACGACTTGTGAGTCACACCAGGCTCGTGTTATTAGTTGGTATCCAGGTAAAGCTTGTTGAGTTTTTTCCATCAGTTTAGCCAATAGTAAGGCACCACAAAGTTCAAGCCTAGGCAGTGTAGTTTTTTGTTTTGTTGGGGCAACCCTCGTTCGAGATGCAAGTAATGTAATTATCGGAACTCCGGATTTATTTGTCACGCGACTGTAGATAACACAAGCATAAGCTTTCTCGCTTGCGTCACAGAAGCCAAGTAATTCAATACATTGGTTTGTTTCGCTGATCCATCTCTTCAGAGTTATGTTTTTAATAAGTGGCAGTTCTTGTTTTAGCCTTATCCACTCCGACTCAATATCTTGCGGAACTTTATCATCCCAGTCGATGTTGCTCATCCAGAGTTTTTGAAATAATATTTTTGCGGTGATCGTCACGGGAGAGAGCCAGCCCAGCGGGTCGTAGAATTTTGAAATTTCCGAAAGTAATAGTCTTTTTGTGAGTCGAGTTATATCTTCATTTACAGACCAGTTAAGATGAAATGTGTCGGTGTCAGTGTTCCAGCGTAGTCCCAGAGTTTTTGAAGGTTCTTCGGTTTTGAAATCATAGCTGTTTGTAGTTGAAATCTGCTCTTTAGGTAAGTTTTCAAGTAAAGTTGGGTAGTTACTGGACCATTTGCGTAAATTCATGCCCCCACCCTTCAATAAAGCGATTAGGGACTGCTGTAGCTCCTTAGCTCCCAAAAATGAGTGGTCCCCGCTGACAAGGTCATCAACAAAGAAATCGTTTTCCAGCACCTTTGCAGCAGCAGGATATATGTGGCCATCGTCGATAGCGAGTTGCTTGAGGGTTCGGAGCGCCAACCACGGAGCGGGTTTTGTACCGTACGTAACAGTGCAGAGTTTGAACTCCTGTATATCATCAGTAGATGAATCACGCCAGATAATTTTCTGTAGATGTTGTTGGTCTTTGTTAATCCATATGCAGCGATACATTTTTTCAATGTCGGCGGTGAATGCATATTTGTAAGTTCTCCATTTTAAAATAAGTGCCTGGATATCTTTTTGTAGGTTAGGTCCTTTTTCAAGGAGGCTGTTCAAACTGTAACCGCTCGAGGTTTTTTGAGATGCATTAAATACAACTCTCAGTTTTGTTGTTGAGCTTTCTTTCAAAACACCGTGGTGTGGTAAGTAGCAGCTGGTAGATGTAATTTGAGACGCCGGTTCCATATGACCCAGGTTCGCGTATTCTTCCATAAACTTCTTGTACATAGTTGATAGTTTCTTGTTTCTTGAAAGTCGTTTTTCTAGTTGTATAAATTGAGAAATAGCGATTGATTTCGATGATCCCAGTTTTTCTTCATAGTTGGGGATGAGAGGCATCTTCACTATATATTTCCCTTCAGGATTTCGTTGTACTGTTTGCGAATAAAATTGTTCACACTGGTCGTCTTTGGAGATATCTTCAGTATTCTGGATTTCTTCTGTTTCCCAATATTTTGTCAGTTCTTCCAAGTTGATTAACGTGACATGGCAGTTGAATGTTTTCATTTTTCCACATAGGATCCAGCCTAAAAGTGTTTGTTGAGCTACTGGGGCTTGATGGCTTCCCTTCAAGACTCCGTCGAGGATAATTTCCGAGTAAACATCGGCTCCCAGCAGTAAGTCGATAGGGCGGGATATGTTGAAGTCTGGGTCGGCTAGTTTAAGTTTTCTAGGTGCGGCCAGTTGGATTTTTCAAAAGTTGTATTTGGTAAGTTGTTAGTCAATTTCTTCATGATCAGTGCTTGTATTTCAAAATTGTATTCAGAGTTTATTGATTTACAGGTCAAGTTTAGTTGTCCCCTGCAATCACCGGAAACAGAACCAACTCCAGAGATAGTTGCAGCCAGTTTCCTCTGAGGGAGCCTCAAAATTTGTGCGGCATTTTCAGTTATTAAATTCACTTGCGAGCCTTGGTCGAGGAGGGCCCGAAGGGTTACATAAGTTCCATCCATAGTTTTTATTTTCAGCTGGGTTGTGGTTAGTAAAATCTCCGTGTTATCTGAAGATAAGTGATTTGAGGCTTGTCGCTGCGAAGATGTTGACGGTTGCTGTCCAATGTTATTTTTCTCATTCAATAATTTTCGATTAGAGTTGTGCAATAGCGTATGGTGTTTCAAATTACATTCCTTGCAAGTTTTCGCCGATTTACATTCTTCGTTGTTATGTCTGAAAAGGCAGTTTTTGCAGACTTACAATTTTGTATTTCCCTATGATCTTTTATTTCATTCATGTAGTCATTAAGTGTAGTTGAGTCCAGTTTGGGTAACATTAAATGGACTATCATTGGATCCCAGGTTGAAGTTTCCAACCCAATGTTAGCTATGCCATTCATGCATTCTCTGATCACATCATGCATTTTCTTGAGATTATTAGCGTCTGGCTGTTGTATGGTGGGAAGATGAATCATTGCGTTGAAAAATGATGAAAACTGTAAACGTCGGTTATCGTAACGTTGCACTAAAATATCCCAACAGGAGTGATAGTTTTCGGCACATACGGAGAGATGCTGCACCAGACTTTCAGCTTCACCTTTCAATTTAGTTTTCAGATGTTTCATTTTTTGAGCTTTGTTTATAGCTGGGTTGTTATGGATAGTTTCAAGAAATAGATCCTTAAAAGAAATCCACTTGCTGTAATTTCCGGAAAATTCGGGAATTTCCACCTTTGGTACAGATTGTTGGTAGTGAGCACTCGACCAAATTTTGGAATGAAGCTGTTTTCGTAGTTCATCATATTTATCTTCAATATCCGAGAACATGCTATAATAGTGGTCATTAGATCCCTTCAAATGAAAATCGATTTCCCAGTGCAGTTTGTCGATGGGCTCCCATTTCGACTTCAAAATATTTAGGTTGTCTTCTAGCTCCCATTTTTCAGAGATCCTGGTAATGTCAATCTTAGACATAGTACGGTAGATTGCATTAAAGTTGCATTCCTGTTTGTTTAATAGTTGTTGTAATGTTTTGTCACCTTCCCGTACTTGAGTGTCTTCCCCCGAGGTTCCCGCCAAGTCAAACTTCACACTTCGTTTTTGTTGTTCCAATAGTTTCAGTCTGCTGTTAATATCCGTTTTAGTTGCTAAGTACATCTCCTTAAGTTTTCCATACACGTCGTCGGCTAAATAGTTGATAGTTTTGTCTTCAAGTTCGAGTACCAATTGAGCATGTCTTGCCTCGAAGTCGCTCCATTGCTCTTCCAGGGATGACAAACGTATATTAAGATACTCTTCGTTTTTTCGAGATGAAGAATCCTTGCGATAGTTGACACACAAGGTCTTGATATTCGCGTAGCAAGTTGATTGAATCTCCAATTTGTCCATGTTGCTGGCACGTAGTTGACAGTGACAGAGGTAGAGTTTTGCGTTGATTCACGACACGAAGACCACTTGATGATTCGCAATCTTCACAATTTCAAGCTTGAAAATTGGTCGTATCCAGATTCCGGTGTTTATGCACTCTCAAACAGTGTGTGCGCCTTCTCAATACAACTGGGGATTCTCGCTTGTGAGAGGCCAGCTGGACCGATTCGCCACTGAGTTAGAGACACAAAAAACTCCCGAATCCTTATTGTCGAAGGACCAAAAAATGTACAGTTTGTACACCTTTTAATGTAGTTGTTGTTGAGATTTAGTTAATTGGAGTGCAGGAGAAAAAGATCAGAGAGAGATAAATACCGAGATATATTGTAAACAAAGTTATAGTTAAGGTGTAGGCTATTCTTGTCTCTAATGTGTGTTAATTAGTTCGCGTTTCTAATTGCACTGTCTTTTAATAAAGAAATAATAATTTATAATTACGATAATATGACACTCTAGGTAAACGCAGGTCATTGACGCGGCCTGAGTGACGTTCGCGGTGTTAGCAAATTTTTATGTACAAGTAAACTGTACATATGAAATGTTGTTAATGTACTCCTACCTGTACGGCATAGGAAAAGAATGCCCTTGCTTCCGTGACCTAAGAAGATAATCGCTAAAAGAGGCTTTAAAATTGAAATCCCGTCATAAGATCAGCAACACCAACTCTTTTGATTTTGCTATATACGCTTAAACACATACAGGAAGAGGAACTTGATGGCGCAAGTGGTTAGCGCGTTCTGCTACGATCGTTGAAGTTAAGCAACTTTCGCAGTGGTCGGTCATCTCAGCATCTCCGTGCTAACACCCACAAATCCGTACTGGCCCCGCGTAGTGGGTCGTGGTCCAATCTGCCTATTCCATCCATAGGGAATGCCTGTGCCGCAGCGCAGCAGTGGGGACATTAATAGACTGAAGATGAAATAAAACAGTAGCCTAGTTTTCAATAAGAATAAACTTCTTTCCAGGAAGACAAATACGAAGCCGAAGAAATAATAAGCGAAGAGACCCTGCTAGATCAAGAGGTATCGGTGTATTTTAGCCTGCAGACAATGTTAAGTGGCATTGATCCATTCCATAAGTTGTGGCATACCTCGTACGACTTCTATGACGGCTACGAGAAATGGTAATTGTTAACACTTTATACATTTACAGATCCTTTGTTTCGACTGTTTTTAAAAATACCTGAAATACGTCAGCTTTCTACGTTATTTACGAAGCTATTACGTAGTTATGATTTTATTGTTTTTTTAAGCATTTAACTGCTAGATGTTTAAATCTAAAGAAAAGTTTACTAGAAAAAAATTACGTAGTTTCTAAAACTGTTAGCTGTATCCGAATTAACAAGCTTAGCAACACTTTTGGCCTAGTGCTAATGACGGCTTTTATGTTTATTGTCAAACTTGCAGGACACAGATTTGTCATAGGTACTGTCATAAATTTGTGAATGTTATGCGGAAATCAATGACAACATAAAATATAGGTGAAATAGCTATCACCCCTTTTATGTGTTAAAAATAACATCATAATCTTAAGAAAATCGAAATCAAAATTCATTTATTCAGTCTAGACCGTTACAAGCATTTGTGAAGCTCGAGAAGCTACGGCATCGGTTCGCAAATCTACGGTCGGAGATCTTGTACTGAGGGCTGCTGCAGCTAAGGCTGCTTTTTTCTTCGTGTATAAAAGGGCATACGACCTAAATTGACCAGTCCACTGACTTTAGGTATCACGGCCCATTCCTCGGATTGGACGCGGAGAAGATCAGCGAAGACGTGGAGGCCTGGTGGAAGCTCCTGTACAAACTGGGCAAGCAGCTGTTCGAATACCCTGGCGCCAAGCGCATCGCCGATATGGTGCGCAATAAAGTCGAAAAGTTCAAGGTGCTCCTGCCAGTGCTGTGTGCTATTTGCAATAAGGTGAGTCGTGCACTTTCATCGTAAAATTTTCCGTATCCATAATACCTATAATATTAAAATGTCTTCCATCCTAGAATACGAACTTTGTGAAAACCTGGGTTGCTTTATCTGTTACTTTTTGCACTGATGATAAAAGTTCATTATCGGTTACTAGATAATATCACTTGATTGTGTAATTCAGGCGTATGCCACAGAAGAAGAAAGATTTTTTTATCTTTAAATGAGTTTTCATGATATTATAAATCGTCTAGGGCATGCGCGATCGTCACTGGGCTAAGATCAGCTCGCTAGTAGGTGCGGAAGTATCTCACGGGCCGGAGTGCAGCCTCGCGCAGATGGTGGAGCAAGGCGTGCACGTCCACGCGGCGCAGCTTGAGGAGATCGAGCAGCAGGCCTCCAAGGAGTACGCGCTTGAGCGGGCATTAAACAAGATGAAGGACGAGTGGTGCGGGGTCAAGTTCGAGGTGGTGCCCTACAGGTGTGTATACTGATATCAATAATCAGCTCGCTAGTCGGGCAGCTCGAGGAGATCGAGCAGCACGCCTCCAAGGAGTAGGCATTAAACAAGATGAAAAACGAATGCTAAGGGGTCAAGTTCGAGGTGGTGCCCTACAGGTGTGTATACTGACATCAATAATCAGCTCGCTAGTCGGGCAGCTCGAGGAGATCGAGCAAAACGCTTCCAAGGAGTAGGCATTAAACAAGATGAAGGACGAATGCTAAGGCGTCAAATTCGAGGTGGTGCTCTACAGGTGTGTATACTGACATCAATAATCAGCTCGCTAGTCGGGCAGCTCGAGGAGATCGAGCAAAACGCCTCCAAGGAGTAGGCATTAAACAAGATGAAGGACGAATGCTAAGGGGTCAAGTTTGAGGTGGTGCTCTACAGGTGTGTATACTGACATCAATAATCAGCTCGCTAGTCGGGCAGCTCGAGGAGATCGAGCAAAACGCCTCCAATGAGTAGGCATTAAACAAGATGAAGGACGAATGCTAAGGGGTCAAGTTTGAGGTGGTGCTCTACAGGTGTGTATACTGACATCAATAATCAGCTCGCTAGTCGGGCAGCTCGAGGAGATCGAGCAAAACGCCTCCAAGGAGTGGGCATTAAACAAGATGAAGGACGAATGCTAAGGCGTCAAATTCGAGGTGGTGCTCTACAGGTGTGTATACTGACATCAATAATCAGCTCGCTAGTCGGGCAGCTCGAGGAGATCGAGCAAAACGCCTCCAAGGAGTAGGCATTAAACAAGATGAAGGACGAATGCTAAGGGGTCAAGTTTGAGGTGGTGCTCTACAGGTGTGTATACTGACATCAATAATCAGCTCGCTAGTCGGGCAGCTCGAGGAGATCGAGCAAAACGCCTCCAAGGAGTAGGCATTAAACAAGATGAAGGACGAATGCTAAGGGGTCAAGTTCGAGGTGATGCTCCACAGGTGTGTATACTGACATCAATAATCAGCTCGCTAGTCGGGCAGCTCGAGGAGATCGAGCAGCAGGCCTCCAAGGAGTGGGCATTAAACAAGATGAAAAACGAATGCTAATGCGTCAAATTCGAGGTGGTGATCTACAGGTGTGCTAACTGGCATTTAAGCACGTGAAAGTGACCACAAATACGTTATTTCATAATAACAAAATATAAAGTAACCAGAAGAATGGCTTCCATCATCCTCCAAAACTAACCACTATTGATTTTGTCAACACATGTAGTGACATATGCATTTATTCAAATAATGTCAATTTATATCCCAAACCATTACATGATTGCTAAGTTTTATGACGACCTCCGTGGCCGAGTGGTTTGTACGCCGGGTTTCATTGTGTCGCCGACTCGAGAGGTCCCAGGTTCAAATCCTGGTAAGGGGGCAGATGTTTGTGTGATGAATACGAGCATTTGTACTCCAGTCATGGATGTTTATACTTATGAGTATACTTATATATGTACAGTATATGTATTCTATCCGTTACCCTAGTATCCCATAACACAAGCCTCATAGTGCTTACTTTGGAGCTAGGCTAATTGGTGTTAGTGTTGGAAATGTTTATTTATTTATTATTTTATTTATGTTCAGAGATACCGGTGTCGGCATTCTGACCGGTTTGGACGACATCCAGCAACAGCTGGACGATCATATCCTCAAGTCTCAGACGATGCGCGGATCGCCTTATGTGAAGGCCTTCGAGGCTGATATGGCGGCTTGGGAAGAGAAGCTCATCAGCATGCAGGATATTCTTGACCAATGGCTACAAGTAAGGCTACAATATATTTCATTTGGGTACGTTTAGTTGATGCTATTTAGTATAATCCTTTTAGCTAGAGTCTACTTTACAGTCTCTATACTCGATGATATTCCAAGGACATCTGCCAAATTTTTGTAAATAAACGTTGCTCTCTATGTGTTAAAACAGTTACTTTTTTAACAAATGGGTTAACTCTCGAGGAGAATTAGGGTGATGGTGTGGTTAGACACTGTCCAGAAAATCGAACATAAATGGTTTCACCTTTTCCAGTGTCAAGCAACTTGGATGTATCTCGAGCCCATCTTCTCGTCCGAAGACATAATGCGCCAAATGCCCACGGAAGCGAGGAACTTCCGCGACGTGGACAAGGAGTGGCGAGCCATTATGTCGGCCACTCAAAAGGATCCTTTGGTTTTGCCAGCTACTGACTTCCCGGGGCTGCTGAAGAAACTCCGACACAACAATGCGCTGCTCGACGATATTCAGAGGGGACTGAACGATTACTTGGAGAAGAAGAGATTGTTCTTTCCAAGGTAGAATTGTTTTTTCTTTGGTTTTAATTTTAGTGCTTATTTAACAAATAACTAAGTTCTTGTAGTTTCTGCATGACTCTAACTGTTAATTTCAAACTAACTGTTTAAAACTAAAGTTTGAAAAATACTAAGAGTAATGTAGGTAATTACATCACAGGACTTCACTTAAGCCCGTGGTGAAATTAGCGCCTAAATTAGATGTTCTCAACATCTTTCGTTATGCCTATTATTGATATATTATTTCAGATTCTTTTTCTTGTCAAATGATGAGCTACTGGAGATACTCTCCGAGACGAAGGATCCTATGCGTGTGCAGCCTCATCTGAAGAAGTGTTTCGAGGGCATATATACCCTAGAGTTCAACGCGGCCAAAGAAATCGTCGGTATGGCCTCGTCCGAGGGAGAGGTTGTCAAGTTATCGACGAGTATACAACCTGCCGATGCTAAGGTATCGTCATAATTATATTCACAAAGATAAATTGTAATGATGCTGGCCATGCGGCTGGTGGTATAAGGGAAAGTTGATGCCAAAAGATCTCCTACACGGTGGACAGACCTTATCAAATCGGCGAAGCACTCAAGCGTAAGTGATTTCTCCCGCTCTGCAAACCATCGAGCTACATATCCATGCATCGGTGGCAAAGGGATTGACCGTCTCATGACCATGAACACTCTGTCAAGAATGCACCACTAGATAAGAAATTGTAATATCTAAAAGTAATTTTTTTATATTTAAATAAAAAATAACTATTTAAACATTTCGTCAAAAGTTCCAGTTATTTATTTAGTTTATACATATTTTAAGGATCTGATTATGCCAATTGATCGATATATGTCTTCAACCAGGGCATGGTAGAGCGCTGGCTGCAGCAGCTGGAGCAGCAGATGATAGTGAGCCTTAAAGACGTGGCCACAGAGGCCATTACTGCTTACGCCACCACACCGCGGGAGGAATGGGTGCTCATCTGGCCTGGACAAATCGTACAAGCTGGTTCTTGCGTGCAGTATACCGCTGAGGTCTTTCTTATTTGCATTGTTTTAAGGTCAAGATACAGCCTTTTCCACAAAATAGATATTATAACAGGCATTTTATCTTCTCTCCCCATACATTTTTTGCAACTGCTAGTCATTTAGAAATAAATTATCAGATAGCAGTTTTTTTTCTGCATAATTACTTTGAACTTGGATGAAAACATTTACCAGAAATCACTAGTACAATATAAAAATGTTCATTCTCTTCACTGGCCCGACCTGTGATCGAACTGAAGAGTAGTCAAATCAAGCGGCATCAAACAATTATTGGCAATACCAATGCTGTTTCAGTCAAAAACTTGGACTCAACTGGTGCTACAATTTGTCTAAATGTGTAACTAATGTACAGACAGCCACAGGTCAAGTTACACATAGTGTCAAAACTATGCAAATGACATTGAGCTTTATCAAGTTTGACTTACGATTCACAATCTATTGAGAAAATTTGTCAGTTTTTAGTAACTTGATCTGTAGTTATTGTTCAAAGGGTGTCAAACAAGCGTATGGCCCGCTTGTTGGTAAACGGCCACCAAACCCTACGCTTGCCATACTAAAAATATCACTCGCACCATTTGCCTGACCCAATCCCCTAACCCATGGAACCCTGGAACCTTACTCACCAATAGAAACACAACACCACCAAAAGGAAGTGTAAGGTGGAGATTACTTCCCCAGACGGGTGCTTCAATTCGAAAGGAAAATCCGCTATGCTCTACCTGTCTTACAGGCGATAGAGGCAATCCAATCGTCCAGTCTGCCCGAGCTTGTGGAGCGCAGCACACAGCAGATCACGGGGCTGGTGTATCTGGTGCAAGGAGATCTGGATCCTGGAAACCGGATCACCGTCGAAGCTCTGATAGTACTCGATGTGCACGGTAAATTTTAGCTGTGATAAAGACAAAGATTTCGTCAGCATGCCTCAGCAGAAAGCAGGATAGGTTAACAATCATGTCTTATATCTGTATGTACGTTAGAGTATCAGATCTTTATCTATGGGCCTACGTAGGCTGATAATAAATAAAAATATATAACAAAAATAAAATTTTAGTAACATAAATTCGGACTTAATTAGACTTAATTTAGTTCAGGATTCTATTTGCCAAAATCTTTTTTTTTTATTATTCTTCTCTATATACATTTTGATACGTGTTAAGCTAAACATTGATACTCTTTGTACGCTTTATAGAAAAGAGGGCTAAGATGTGATCCTTGAGGAACTGCTGAAGGTTTTATTTAATAGTCGACAAAAATCGCCTAGTCACTTGCCACAAATGTAACGTTCGTGTGTTTACTGCGATAATTAATGCAGGAACAAAATACTTCAGACTAATAAAGCGTTAGTCTTTATTTAAGAAAAAAGATACTCTCTTACGCGTTCTTTCCAAATCAAACCGATAGTCTACTGTGCCCTATCTCTAGTGACTTATATATCTTTATTTAATTTCCACTCTCAATTCAGTACTTAAAAATCAGCTGATTAAATTTTGCTCTTCTAATCTACAAGGTCGTTCGATCCTGGAGGAAATGGTGGAGCGCAAGGTGAGCGAGGTGACGGACTTCAACTGGATCTCGCAGTTGCGATACTACTGGCGTGGAGACCGTACTACTTGCTCCATGATCACCACCGACGTGGAGTACGGGTTCGAGTACCTGGGCAACATCGGCCGATTGGTGGCCACACCGCTCACTGACCGCTGCTTCAGGTGAGAGGACGGGTTTTTCTAAGTATTTCTTAAAAATATACAATCCTAAAACGGTTTTGATGAAGATACCTATGCAAGTTCAGAAAATTCTATCAGTCATCTCGTTTTAAATGTTTAGATGTCTAAATGATAATAAAGAGATTTTTGAAGTTATAGAGATACGTACTCTATCAACTACCCAACAAGTCTCTCATTGACTGGTGCTGCAGGCAGAAGACATTTCTTTTGTATTTTTTTTATAGACAGTTAGGCAAATGACTCTACCCCACCTGATGTTAAGAGGTGATAAAGTCCAAACGCAAAGTTAGCTGGTACAGCAGTTACAAACTGCCACCCCAACCATCCTCATAATATATCCCCATAAATTGCTTTAGCTGAAGCAATTTACTTAAATAATATAGTTGAAGTTATGTTTATGCGTCGTATCTAAATAATGTTGAGGAGATATTTAAAGGGACAGACGAATTAAGAGAACTAAAACTCCGGAAGTATTTATTACTACAGTACCACCACACGGCAAAATTAAATTGTATTTAGTTTGAAAGGTGGAAGATACTTTCCCAAACGGGAAAAACTCCAACTCAAAATCGTTTTCTACCGTAGGGGATATGTGGCGTGTTGTATTTGTTTTTGATATCCATAATAAAATATCTGGAGCTTCTAACAATAACATCATATCTTTATTCATTCGTTCTTTTTAATCTTCCCGAAAATCTCTAGAACGCTAATGAGCGCTTTGAAGCTGAACCTGGGCGGAGCACCGGAAGGGCCAGCCGGTACTGGCAAGACGGAGACCACCAAGGACCTGGCGAAGGCTGTCGCCAAGAAATGCGTCGTGTTCAACTGTTCCGACGGTCTCGACTACAAGGCTCTCGGAAAATTCTTCAAGGTTATCTAAATAGCGTTTTTAGTTTACCTGTAAGTCTCCTGTTTTTTATCACAGATCAAATGTTCAATTGCGTTGTACAACATATTCGGTAATTTTAAAAACTATTTTTGGTGATTGGCTAGAAGCCTGTTTTTAATTTATTATTATGTGGAAATGGTGGTAAACAAACTTATTGTCCTCCAGATTGTAAACTGCCGCCATAGCTTATAGACCTTATGATACTGTTCAGTATAACTCCGGGTCCAAGGAGCAGGAAACCTAGTCATCGGCAGATACTAAACACCACCCAAAGGAGGTGTGCTTCCCCAGACAATCATTCTTATCCAGGTGGGAAATCCCCTATACTTAACTTCTCTTACATTTTCCTACAATAACTAAAACCCAAGAGCTGAGCATAGGCCTCCCCCAAAGATCTCCACACCGATCGGTCCTGCGCCACTCGCGTCCATCGGCTTCCCGCGACCTTCACAAGATCGTCGGGTTAACCTTGTAGGGGGCCTGCCCACTGAGCGTCGTCCAGTGCTTGGTCGCCATTCCGGAACCTTTCCGCCCCAACGGCCATAGGTTCTTCTTGCTACGTGTCCTGCCCACTGCCACTTCAGCAGAGCAATCGTTCGAACGATAGCGAAGAGAGGTATAGCCACGGAGGAAAAACAAAGAGGAGGTGTGGTGATTAAATTTTCTCAAGAAACGACGCGTGATAATTTGCGGGATGCGGGGTGTTCAGCTCCGCCCACTTCTCAATATTTCATCTATCGGCTAATAGCAAAACTAGCTTAGGTTGATATTTATGTTACTACGTAGTAGTTCAGCTATCTAACACTAGATGTTCAAAAGTTTTGTATATAATTAGACGTACTCAGAACTTGAAGCTTCAAAAAAATGAAATATGTAGGTAAATAAATAAAATAAACGTTAACAAATTTGACCGATTTTAAAATTTTTAAGGTATAATTTTTATTATTTTAAAACATGTAACTGCTTGATGAAAAAAAATCCAGGCAGACCAGGCAGCAGACGGGACTCGAACCCGCACCCGCTCCCGTCTGCGGCCTGCGCCTGGTCCGCGTGGATATTTTTCTAGTTATATTTTCTTTAGATTTAAATTTTAAGGTAGTTTAAAAATAATAGACAAAATGTTATTACAAACATAATTTTATTAAAAAACATCAATTACCTGTAAATAATAGTTTTGGTTAGTTGTTGTCGGTTGTTTGCCCTATCGTTTTGTATTGTGGCAAAATGCTTAAAACGAATATCAATATATTTTTCTGCAATCGATTTCATCAGAAATACAACATGATTAACTGTAGGTGATTGGTCAAATATATGGTTGGCCGATTTTTTGAAACAATCTTGTCCAATAAGTGATTTTAATGTATTCGATACAATTTTATGTTTACGAAAGTTAGGAGTATTCAAAGATTGCGATTTAATACAACGAATACTGCCTTCGGTCCGTATACATATTTTTATGACATCTCTAGATGGGAAAGTAAGACCACCCTTATTTTTAGTTTTTATCAAATCAAGGTCACTATCGTCGTAGTTATCAGCATATAATTCTTTGAGACAGCTCTCACATTTGATCTTGGAATGTAAATATTTGACCACATACCCAGAAATACATGCTACTATTTGACGGCGCAAATAGTCACCTATAGTTGTATTTAATTGTTCATCAAATTCCAATAACATATCGTCAGGCATAGGCTCGACATCCGTGCTATCCGAAGACTCGAAACTCATTTTATTTAAAATGCGATAACGTTCTGATGTAATATTAATTTTTTGCACAGAAGATTCATTTAAAATGGAAATATCTTCTTCTTCTATGGTGTCCAATCCGGTCTATTAAGTTTTGAAATCCATTGCTGTTTTAAATTATCGTTGGATGGAAATCTAAAACGAACATGAAAATAATTAAAATTTATTTACTTGGTAAAATAATTTAATACGTATTACGGCCCTGGATATTTGTAACGTTTAAAAAGTTATTCTATATGACGACAGATGGCGGCCAGTTAGTAATATATTGATAAAATTACTGTTTTAGATACTAAAAGTTATTTAGGAATAAGTGTATAACAGTTTTCAGTATTTACGTATGATTATTACAATATACTACTGCAAAATTATACGTAAACTTGTGTATTTTCTTCCTAAAAGTGTCGCCATCTGGTGTCAAGTAGTAGAATTTTAACGCTGATAGCTGAGGCTGAGAATGTTCTAGAACTTATATATTTAATTACGTATAAAATTACTTACAAATGAAATGTGATGCCATCCATATTATCAGAACGTCTGTCTGAGTAACTTTGACATAGCAAAACACAAAACTTCATCCTTTTCTTGTTAAAAACGCAAAAAAACACTTATAATGCGAGTCTCGTTAAGTGTGCACCTGACGAACGCTGAAAGCATACTGACTTAGGCCCCGCCCACAATGATGACGTCAGGACCTAGTTGAAAATCACAGTGCACAGTTGCTTAGGCCAGCTCCTCTTTGTTTTTCCTCCGTGGGTATAGCTTAGCAGATTTCCGAGCCCGTCTGGGGAAATAACCTTCACCTTACAGTAACACTACCTTTTGGTGGTGTTGTTTCTGTCGGTGACTAAGGTTCCAGGACTCAATGGGGTAGGGGTTTGGGTCAGTGTAGGCCGCGGCGCGAGTAAAATTTTTTACTTTTAATCACGAGGGTCATATGCTTCTTCGCCACCGTTTAACATAAAAAAGTTAAAACCAAGAGAGTAATTCAAAACAATATTAAATCAACATATTTAACATTGTTTTGAATTCCAATACGACCCAAAAACCTTCAAAAAAAGGAGCGTACTCCTTCCTTAAAGGCAGGCATCGCATTTGTGATACTCCTGGTGTTGCAAGTGTCCATGGGCGACGGTGATCACTTACCATCAGGTGACCCGTCTGCTCGTATGCCACCTATAACATAAAAAAAAAATGCGGATGGCGTCTCACTCGCTCCTTCGAAACGTTAAACCGACAACAAATGTCATCAGTCAGTGTACCATTGCCTTGTGAAACGTCAAGTAATGACAGTGACAGCTGTCATCACTTGGGAGTGGTCTATGCTAAGGGTAGTATTTAAGGGGCTATGCTTCATTTAGGGATGGCGATTCTTTCCGAAAAAGATCGATTTTTAAATCGATTCGAATCATGACCTAATGAATCGATTCACAAAAAAATCGGGGCCAATAAGATCGATTTCTGAAAAATCGATCGTTTTTCAAGTTTTTGTTTATAATGTAATATAAGTCTATTTTATTAAAAACAAGATACATATTACAATTTAACGATCTCTTATCAGTAAAATCAGGTGATTCGATGATAAAAAATATTTTTATTCAAAGATTACAAACAAACGTAACTTTTTTTAATAAAAAGGGGAGAAGGAATCCAAACATATAGCCATTTCGCGATTTTTTTATAATTAACCCTTTTACCGGCAGCACTCTTATAACGGGTAAATTCAAATAATTGTAAATATTTTTTTGGTTTATACCAAATAAATAAAATAAAATCGAATGTCGATTTTCAAGAGCGAAATATCGACGCAGTGAATCGATTCTGTACTACATATCGATTAATACAATCGATCTTTTTGGCTCAAAAAATCGATTCTTCGATTAATCGATCTCAGATCGCCATCCCTAGCTTCATTGGAAGGGGCATTCAGCATTCAGACGTGAGCCGCGATAGTGAACGGACGTTAGCTCCACGCTTCGCAAAGCAATCCGTTTGTACCTTTACAATCATTGCTGACTTTGTAAAGTGATTAGAAGATTCAAATTAAACGTTAGCTTGGTCACTAGACTACAGTTTTATTTTCGAGAAATATCATTGAATAACCAAGATGGCGGATCAAGACGAACCACATGGCCAACCGCCTATACCGCTCGCCCATCCGATAAATATATATCATAAGATCCTTATTTTAATGCTTCTTTAATTAATCCCACTAATCGTTTTATGTATACAATATTTTGTTTTATCCAGGGTTTAGCGCAATCCGGAGCGTGGGCTTGCTTCGATGAATTCAACCGAATCGACTTGGAAGTGCTATCAGTGGTGGCGCAGCAGATCCTGTCCATCCAGCTGGCGATCCTGCGACGCGAGAAGCGGTTCGTCTTTGAAGGCACCGAGATCAGCCTCAACCCTACATGTTCTGTTTTCATCACTATGAATCCTGGGTTAGTGACACTGAAGTCCTTAATGTTCGGCATAAAAATAATTTCAGTGATACTTAATGACGACAACTTCGGTTTTTAATGGAATTCAAAAGACTCAAAAATTATCGAATACATGAAAACTACATACATTATATCTTCACACTATATCCGAAATGGTAACGCAATAAGTCTTTGACTTCCTTCACATTCATAACTCTTTATAAACGTACATACACAAAAATACGAGGAGCTCGATGGCACAACTGGTTAGCGCTTTCGGCTGCGATCGTTTAAGTTAAGCAACTTTCGCAGTGGTCGGTCATTGGATGGGTGGCCAAAAATGTATTATCACAGGCTCCTCCGTGCTACGGAAAGCACGTTAAGCCGTTGATCCCGGCTGCATCTGCAGTCGTTAGCACTCATCAATCCGCACTGGTCCTGCGTGGGGGGTCGTAGCCCAATCTCCCTATTTTATCCATAGCATCCATAGCCTGTGCCCCAACAGTGGGGACATTAATAGGCTGATGATGATGATGCCCAAAAATAAACAACGTACTTTTTTGTGCAACGCTAGCAAATGCCTCAACTCAAACGCGAAGATGTTTGGTATGTACAACAGTGATCTGTGTCACATCAACTATAATTATCTTACCCAACCCGATTCCTATTCGCTCTAACCAGTGAAGATTTGGCAACCATACCTGCTGCACGAACTAAGGTTCCTGTGCGAGAAGAAAATTTGCATAACCCCGCACTTGAGCTCTAAAGTTTGAATAAAGTTATTCACATCAAGAAAAGTTTACTAGAAAAAAATCCACGCGGACCAGGCAGCGGACGGGACTCGAACCCGCACCCTTCGCAATCCGGGCGAATGCACTGGATTGCGAAGGGTGCGGGTTGGAGTCCCGTCCGCTGCCTGGTCCGCGTGGATTTTTTTCTAGAAAACTTTTCTTATGATTTAAACAGCTAGCAGTTAAATGCTTAAAAAAATAAATAAAACCATAATTATTCATGTCACTTTCTCTGCTACTACAAGAAAAGTTTAACACGCGACTTTACATGACATTAAACTTTATGGAGGAGCTCATTGGTGCAGCAGGTGGCGCGTTCGGTTGCGATCGTTGAAGTTAAGCAACTTTCGCAGTGGTCGGTCATTGGATGGGTGACCAAAAATCTTCTATCCGAGTTCCTCCGTTCTTCGGAAGGTACGTTAAGCCGTTGGCCCTGGCTGCATCTGCAGTCGTTAGCACCCGCCAATATTTACTGGGTTCGCGTGGTGGGTCATGACCCAATCTCCCTATTCCATCCATAGGTAAGGCCCGTGCCCCAGCAATGAGGAAATTAATAGGCTAATAATGATGATGAAATTTTATGGACATCTCGCGGTATGGCCCTGAAATCATTAACCCCTCCTGCTATGATAGTGTAAAATTTATAAATTATTGTTTAGGTACGCGGGTCGTACAGAGCTGCCGGACAACTTGAAGGTGCTGTTCCGCACGGTGGCCATGATGGTGCCGGACTACGCCATGATTGGCGAGATCACGCTCTACTCCAACGGATTCGTTAACGCGGGACCGTGAGTATTGAATCTCTCTAGAAGGTAATGAGATGGACATATCCTTTTGTAGGTTTTAGAGTTGATATATAAAACAGAGCCCGTTGTTAATCTGCCACCACTCACCGATTCACACAGGGTCTGCGTGGGTGGGTCATGGTCCAATCTACCTGTTCCATCCATCGGAAAGGCCTGTAGCCCCGCAGTTGCGACATTAATATTCTGATGATGTTTATTTGATAGTCTACCATATTTTATAGATAGTTTATCACTGGTATCATTTTATATAACGTCTAGCTCACCAAAATTACTCCTGCTTGTCGTTCCTTCCTCTTTTCTTTCATTTACCTTTCAATAATTTACAGAATAAATGGACTCAATTAGGACAACTAACATGAACTACTAAATTTAATGGTTTAAGAATTTATTAACCTCACAAGAATTTACATAAAATTCACTTACGTGAGACTATCACAATAGTTTTCCAGCAAACAATTTACAGAGAACAAATCATACACAATAACACTAGAAACACCACAGTTTCCCAAAAAAAAATACATACAACATTCACATTGTATATTATCCGTCTTCAGAAACATAGATGAAAGCCGATGAAAACCTATCTATCCCACAGTCTTGCCCGTAAGATAGTGCAGGCGTACAAACTATGCTCCGAGCAGCTGTCCTCGCAGAACCATTACGATTACGGCATGCGAGCCGTGAAGTCTGTGCTCCTGGCATCCGGCGCTTTGAAAAAGAACTATCCGGAGAAGGATGAGTCACAACTGGTGCTCAGAGCCATAATCGACGTGAACATGCCCAAGTTCCTCTCACAAGTAAGCTTAGATTAGTTTCTTATACCAATGCGTATAATGCGATTCAATTAAGAATAGGATCGACGGGGCGCCATATTGTGACATGATAGCTGTCAATTCAAACGAAAAAGGTAGTGAGCAAAAAAGTTTTTATTTAATAAAAGTTATTTACTAAGATTACGTGAGAAAAAACATCCGATTTTTTAATAAAATTTATTTACTAAAATTGAGAAAAGAAAATAACCGATTTTTAATCATATTTATTTATTAAGACTGTGCGAGAAAAAACATTAAATCAGAATTAAGCTTTTCAATTCCGCTCATCTCGCCATTACCGCCGGAGTAGTTATGAATAATCATGCACTATTACTAGGAACATGCATTCTATATGTAAACCAAAGTTTTAAATCGAGTTTCTGAACGCAACTTAAAGTGACATTAGGTTGACGATTTGGGTTATCAAACATTCATTGCCAAAGCTCAATAAATGAAAATAAAATATCAACCAATATTAATTAACTATATTTGTTATTGTTTGTTTACAAATGTTTGGTTTTTATTCCATAATTAGCCGAGTGCCAAAAAAGGGTTCCAAGATTTTTTTGCAAGCCGTACTTTTCAAGCGACATTTGGCAGATGGAGGTCATTGGCTTTCCTATTCTCATTTGAATCGCATTATAAGCCTTAATTTTTCATTTGAAAATGTCAATATAAAAACTAGTTATAGCAAGAATGCACGGAGTTAGCATTGAAACATATTTTTAAGGCAAAACAAAGATCAAAGTCTTAATTTATGCACATCTCTAAATAATATTTTATTTTACATTATGTTATACAAAAGAGTTTTGTTGTTTTCTTAAATAACCTAATTGGTAAAACTGTACTTCCAGGGCCCAAAAGGTGATACTTGTTTTTTTTTTTGTAGAAAAGGTCTTTTTAACAGTTTTTTTTTTCTAGCGCTTCGCCGGCCGCTGCCGCGGCACGCTCGCTTTGCTCGCTCGGCTCGCGCGTTATGGTCACAACACTAACCTAACCTAACCTAGTGTGAAGTATCACCACTTGATAAGAAAAGTAAAAATTTTCAATATTTTTTTCTAAAAAACTACCAGTGCATAAGTGTGACATTTTTTTAAATAATGTGGTTAACAGAAACCTTTTTAACAACAAAAATGCGAAATTACAACCAAGAAAACTGTGAAGTTTTTACTTTTGGGCCCTGGAAGTACAATATATCCACCTAATTTTTTTTATAAAATATCAATAAAATAATTCATTTTACAATAATTTAGTTCATAATGGTAATCGAAGTTCATCATTATCATTTGCACTGCTAAGATATCTTTTGTATAAGAATTCTGTTTTTCACATTAGGACGTGCCTTTATTCACGGGCATATATTCGGATCTGTTCCCCGGCGTGGAGATTCCACAGCCAGATCGCTCTGAGCTCCTCAAGTGCATCCTCAAGGAGCTGGAGAAGAGGAACCTTCAACCTACGGATTGGTACCTCGGGAAAATCATACAGGTATTCATACGAAAACCACATTTCTAAATAAAGATAAGGTCATGTGTAGCTAAAGTACATAATTATCATCAGCCTCTTAATGTCCCCACTGCTGGGGCACAGGCCTTCCCTATGGATGGAATAGGGAGATTGGGCCATGAATCACCACACAGGCCCAGTGCGGATTGGAGGGTGCTAACGACTGCAGATGCAACCGGGACCAACGTCTTAATGTGCCTTCCGAAGCACGGAGGAACTCGAGATAGAAATTTTTGGTCACCCATCCAATGACCAACCACTGCGAAAGTTGCTTAACTACAACGATCGCAGCCGAACACGCTAACCACCTGCGCCATCGAGCTCCTCCAAGTCACATAATTACCATTTCTTAAAGGTTCCAAACAAACTTCTTTACCCTTCCTGATGTTCAGTAAAGGTGGAAATTAGACTCAAAGATAGCTGGTGCAACAGAATCAAGTACCGCATCACCCACTCTCGCCTTGCCTTGTCTACAAAATGCTTCTTCAATGCAATTGCACATTCCTTCAATACAAGCATATGTGCCTCAAAAGACTTCATTATCAAATTAAAAACGTATTAAATCATTGCTATGTTTTTTCTAATATTTGATACTTGTAAAAGCATCATATTGTTACGTGTCGGGATGGGGTTTGAAATTATATGCCAGTTCACGCTTGACAGTTCTTTATTCACCACACAGTTCACACAATTAACACACAATGTTAATTACAAAACACTCACTAAACACTGTATTTCACTATACAAGTCTCTAAACAATCTCACTTGAACACTTTTGTTGCACTTTGATCGCCTTTGGATTCGCTCCGAAATCGCTGTTGAAACTCAACTGTCTCTGCGCGGCGCCAATCGCGCTTATATACGCCGATCGACGCATTCTAGAAAGTACCTGTTAAATTGAGAATTACCTAGCACCCGCGAGTACGAAATACCTACTTATACCTACGCAAGTAACACGCATAACTTGTAAACAAGTGCAGATATCGTTTTTTCTCTCTTTTACGTCGCACTGCATAAGGCTCATTTTAGAATGCCGCCTTACTCGACCTCTATCGCGACCCGTGGTGATCTGGCAAATTCGATCTCTAGCACTTTCACAGTTACGTTTCGAGAGCGTTTGTGACACTGCCCCCCTCTTAGACATGCTCGTCCCGATCATTGCTGCCGTGGTAAGGTGCCAGGCGATCGATGTGGATTATCTTGGGCTTCTTCCGATCTCCCTGTCTTATCCGATAGGTCACGTCGTTGATTTTCGTAATCACTTTATAGGGTCCTTCCCAACGGGGCTGAAGCTTCGGGGACTTTCCAATCCTTTTCTGTGGGTTGTGCAACCAAACGAGCTCTCCCTCCACGAAGCCTCGAGTGTCGGCATTCCGATCATACCTGCTTTTCATTTTCTCGCCAGATTTCAGGTTATTTTCACGCACGAGGTCGTGCGTTTCGTCCAACCTTCTTTGCAGCTCTGCGACGTACTCTACTACTGATTTGGAGGCAGCAGGAGGTGTTCCGGTAAGTAGGTCCACGGGTAAGCGCATCTCTCTACCGAAGTTGATTTTCGATGGAGTGAATCCCGTGGTGTCATGCGCTGCGGACCGGTACGCCATCAGAAAGAGCGGAATGTAACGATCCCAGTCCCGTTGATGTTCTTCTACGACCTTCGCCAAATGATTTTCCAAAGTCTGGTTGAATCTCTCTACCATGCCGTCGGATTGTGGGTGTGCCGGAGTCGTACTCGTCTTATTTATTTCGAGTAAATTGCACATCTCCTGGAATAAGTTGGACTCAAAATTCCTTCTTTGATCGCTGTGTAATTCCAACAGAACGCCGAATCGGCACACTACTTCTTCAACAAGCCTCTTGGCGACGGTCTGAGCCTCCTGGTTTGGTGTAGCAAATACTTCGGGCCATTTGGTGAAATAATCTTGAACCACCACAATGTAACGGTTTCCATCTTCTGTTTGTGGAAAAGGCCCAGCGACGTCAATGGCAATTCTTTCCCAAGGAGCGCCGACCTGGTAAAGCTGCATCTTCCCCTTGGATCTAGTACAAGGCCCTTTGACCGAGGCGCAAACATTACATTTCCTACACCAGTCCTCGACATCTTCTCGACAGCGCATCCAGTAGAAGCGTTCCCTCACTTTCAAGGTCTTTCTTATTCCCAGGTGTCCACCAGACGTACCATCGTGCACATGCCTTAAAACCTGAGACACTTTGCACCTAGGGACCACCGTTTGAAGTGTCTGATCCTTACCATTTGGTGACTCCCATTTCCGATACAGCACGTCTTCTTGTAACAGAAGACTGTCCCATTGGGCCCAGTATGCCTTCGTGAATGGGCTTGAAGCTGATATGTCACTCCATGATGGTTTCCGTCCTTCACTTTTCCCCTTCATTATCAGCTGCAGGTCCTTGTCTTCCTTTTGCGCCCGAGATATTTCAGCTTTACTCCAGGATTCATCCAATTCTTGAGCCCTTATAACCTTCACTTCTTCTTTGCACTCGCATTTTGAGCAGTGCTTACAATCTTCAGCACAAGGCCGCCTTGATAATGCATCAGCATTGGCATGCGTCTTTCCGCTTCGGTGTTCTATTACGAAGTTGAATTCTTGCAGCTGTTCGATCCATCTCGCTACTTGACCCTCAGGGTTCTTAAACTGAAGTAACCATTTAAGTGCTGCATGGTCTGTACGTAGAGTGAACTCTCTTCCCAGCAAGTACTTATTGAAGTGTTGTAGGGTCTTGACAAATACAAAGTTCCTAGTTCCTGTTAAATCACCAAACGGGGGCCCCCTATGACCCCCGTTTATTATCCTAATATGCCCCCATTATCCTAATATGCCCAGGGCCTCCAATAGGTCAAAGACGGCACTGCCCCTGGACCGAGTTTTTGTTTTCTTACAAAAAGATATACATTATTAAGATTAGCTCTCAAAATAACAATATGAAGAGTAGCTTGTTCCTGACATAGATATACGAGATGATGCTGGTGCGGCATGGGTTTATGATCGTGGGCCCACCGATGGGCGGCAAGACCCAGGCCTACCAAGCGCTAGCGGAGTCTCTGCGCGCACTGCAGCTCACCAAGCCCCCGCCCCGGCACAAGGAGTTCGGAGCTATCTACCGCATCATCAACCCGAAGGCAATCACCATGGGACAGCTGTATGGCTGCTTCGATCCAGCTTCGCACGAGTGGTGAGTCCAAATCTTTTTAAAATAAACTTGAATGCTCAAACGATCGGCTTAAAGCGTTAGAAATTAGTGATCGAAAATAATAATTGTTCTTTCTTGATTCTTATTACTTAAAATTTCTAGAACGAGATTTTTTTTTATAGATAGGTCCGACAAATGACTCCACCCCACCTGATGTTAAGTGATGGTGAAGTCCAGAAGTGAAGATAGCTGGTAAAGCAGTTCTACCTGCCACACCAGCCATCCTCACCTTGCCGGGATTCCCCGAGAAACCTTATTTTGCCTCTTTATTTCATTCTGGGTAAAAACATAATCCAATAACTTTACTTCCATTTTTATAGAAATCAGATTTTTTATCTTTTTTATTACTTATTTGGTTTTCTATAATTTAACCAACATGTTGGTGTCAATTTTGACATAATCCTCTAAGCCTAATATTAAATTTGACATTAGTGAATCCTTGTCATTCTCCATACAGAATGAAAAGAAGAGACTGATTTTAAATTTGGTTTTAAGTTTAGATAATCATACCAGAATCGACACCATTGTCCACAAAGTACTTTTTGGACGATTTACGAAATATTCTCCAAGAATCCTATTTCGAATCCCAGGTCAGACGGCGTCCTGGCCATAGCGTTCAGAGAGTACGCCATGTCCATCACACGCGATCGCAAGTGGATCCTATTCGATGGGCCCGTGGACGCGGTGTGGATAGAGAACATGAATACGGTGCTCGACGACAATAAGAAGTTGTGCCTCATGAGTGGGGAGATCATCCAGGTCACTATAATCTGTCTAATTCAGTGTAGAATGTTTCTAGCTCAACCACTGTTTTTGGTAGAGTTCTTGAGCTTCCACACCTTAAAATAAATAAATAAATAAATATTTCCAACACCCACACCAATTAGCCTAGCCCCAAAGTAAGCACTGTAGGCTTGTGTTATGAGATACTAGGGTAACGGATAGAATACATAAAACTGATACATATATAAGTATATTTATATAGAAATACATATTAAATATCCATAGCTGGAGTACAAATGCTCGTATTCATCACACAAACATCTGCCCCCACCGGGATTCGAACCCGGGACCTCTCGAGGTGGCCACACCTTGAAACCCGGCGTATAAACCACTCGGCCACGGAGGTCGTCAAAAAAAAGGGTTTGATAAACAAACTACCTACAAATTTTACCTGGGGGTCTATTTTCTTTCTCCGAAACGAACTTTCGATAACGCAGTTCAAACCAAATTTAATTTCGTTAATTTAAGGTTATACTTAATTTGAACGATAAACTATCAAATTGAAGCTTTCTTTGAGTAGGCTTAGAAAATTTCGAAATTTCGTTTTTCTTTGCATTAGAGTAGGCCTCCTGATCATGATAATGATATTGATCTAGATGTAATTTAATCTTATGCAAGCAAAATAAATATTAACCATTCTGCATTGAGCCCGCATGGTGGTAATCTCCCCGTCCAGTTCATCGTGGTGGGTAGACCCAATCTCCATATCCCATCCATGTGAAAGGCTTACTACCTAGCAGTGGGTACATAAGGCTGATGTTGAAGCAAAATAAATATATTAATGATTGATATCAGTAGAAACATCATACCTACAATAGATTCTGTAAAATTTACAAAGCCAATCCAAAATTTTGATGACAGATGACTAACAAGATGAATTTGATCTTCGAGCCAGCGGACCTGGAGTTTGCGTCCCCGGCCACCGTGTCCAGATGTGGCATGATATACATGGAGCCAGAACAGCTGGGTATTTTAACTACATAACATATTTTATATTACAATAAAAAAACTCTTATTTTTTATATTTGTGTAAAGGAAGCATCAGATATAACAATAACAATATTCTCCCGGCTGCTACTAATGCTAAAATAGTATAAGCTATCTGTTACCGAGGTAAATAGATGTTAAAAATAATGATGGAACCATAACCATAGCTACCTGAACAGCATGTATCACTGGATTTGATATAGCAGCAACAACCTCAATAAATCGTGAAATAAACTTTAACGCCTCTTGTTAACTACCGTTGTTTTACCGGATACTAGTCAAGCGTGATATAATTGCCTTTCTCGCACCAATTTCTAATAATTGTCTGCAGCGTTTCGAAAACAAGGACAAGACACAGGTAAAAGAAATGCTGTTAACAGTCCTAAGAAAGTAGACTTGTACCAGATTTCTTAACATAAATTTTGTGTCAGGTTGGCGCGCATTCCTCTCGTCGTACAACACGCATCTGAGCAAGCGGCTCATCCCCGAGCAGTTCGAGCTGATCCAGGAGCTGATCGATTGGCTGGTGCCGCCCATATTTGAGTTCCTGCTGCTGCGATGCCACCACTTCGTTATTGTTGGCGAGATTCATCAGTTCTTTGTGAGCAGCTGAACTAATAACCAATTTTACGTGAGCTGTACTCCGAGATGATCTCTACTGATGAGCTGATGAGTTGATTGGTGATTCAATCTTTACCTGACATTGATACACTGTTTAAACTTTCAAGTTAAAGATGAAAATAACATTCCACGAATTTGATCTAAAAAGTTACCAAACCATATAACATACATTCCTTCAAGCCGACCAAAACGTATAAAAAAATATATTGGAAGAGTAAATGAAATTGAAGATAATGAATCCAAAACTGTAATTTTTATCCCCTGTTCACTGCTATTTAAATTCAAATTGCTGTTCTTTGAGTCGAATAGAAACATCACCAATGTGTTTATTAAACAATCCTTTTCTGACAGTCTTTCACGCGGCTGTTCACGTGTCTGCTGGAGGGAGAGACACAATTCAGCACCATGTGGCTGCAATGCACCTTCGTCTTCGCCCTGCTGTGGGGTCTATGCCCCTCACTCACTGGTAATACATAGGCTGCTATAAATAAATATGGTCACAAACAAAATTATGTTGTTACCATCTCAAGTTACAACCGGCATACAGACAGATGTGGTGATCGGGGCTATTTTCCATGCCGGGGGGTCAATTTCCTAATAGAATTGCAATGGCTATCGCTATCGTGTGGCAGCTAAAACTGCTGTATCAGCTATCTTCGCGTCTGAATTTCACCTTCACTCAACATCAGGTGGGGTGGAGTCATTTATCGAACCTATCTGTAAAAAAAAAGTTTAAGATTTTGTTATTTCTGACCACCGAAGGTTTTCAAATACCTCACGCTCATTTTCTGCAATATTGTTATTACCAATGCAAAATAAAAAAAAGAGCGCTAGATATTTGAGATCCTTCGGCGGTCAGAAATAACAAAATGAAATCGTAAGCGATAGCGATAGCCATAGACATCTCGTTATGCAATTTGCCCCCTGGTACCAAATGTAAATGCACTCATTATCTCATAAGGAATCAACCAACCTTACTAAGGATCAACAATACAGATTATTTAGCTTTTTAAAGAGCAATTTACTTCCTCAGTCAGATAGCGCTTTAATTAGGAAAGATAATCCACTCTAAAGTTCGGCCAATAAAAAGCGATACAAAAAATGTAAACAAAGTTGATGAAAGGTCATTGACCAATGCGGGGGTTGGCAATTTTTTTAAGACGAAATTTTAATTATGATAATTAATATACCTAGGACGTTTATCATTTTATTTAATAGGCATATATTTAAATAAAATGTAGAAAACTATCATTCATATGATCAAAACAGAAAATCAGAAAAGGAAAGTCACAAAACGTAACGAAAATATGTAATTATTTTTTACTGTAAAATGGGCCCCCGAATATGGGCGAACTCGGCGCCTCGACGCCTCGGCGATGACGTGACATGACAGAACGAGACCTTATGTCATATACAATAGACTGTCAGTCCCATAGTCTCGTATAAGGTGAATGAACTTTTGTATCTCTTCACGTTGGCCGTACTTACCTAATATCTCCTTATCGACGAGGTTCCCTTTATTACAATTTTTAAAAGTACTAACTACATTATTTTCATGCAGGCGACAGTCGCAAAACATTCGACATTTTCTTCCGCAAGCTTCTAAATGGTGACAACTCTACGCACCCCAAGCCTAAGTCCTTTAAGTTGACCAAGACCCAGCTATTCCAGGACAAGGACACAGTTTTCGATTATGTGTATGACAAGCGGAATAATGGCACTTGGATACCCTGGGTGGAACTGGAGAAGGAAACCACTCTAGCGGCGAACGCTAAGGTAATTTTCAATAAATGGTCCTCTGCCACTTTTATATAATTTCATTCAAAGGACATTGGGCAAAAATGTATGGACGCTGCACCCACGTCCGCCACGGCTTAAAGTATATTTGTTTGAAAGGTATTATAGTCAAGATCATTTGTGTCAAAGCGCATCAAATTCCATCCCGGGATTCTTTAGTTATTTTAAGTTAAATATGTGCAAGTACTATAACGAACCAACATTAATGAAACAAATGAATTAATTTAGTTAGTTCGACCCTACATAGTGTGCTCAGGAATTATGGGAGTACTTCACAAGGTGCAAGCGTGCCCCCTTATGTTATTCTGCCGCGCTAGAGTAAATCCAATAATCCCCGCATGGGTTGGGGTTTTTTCGAACATTCTGTTCTTTATACTAAATTGTCTTCTATAAACCATAAATCACACAAACTTGTACACGCTTCGGAGAACACATGATTCCAGTTCATCCATACTAATTGACAAAACCGATAATCGTGTCCCAATATCCAAAGCGTGTTAATTAAAAAATCAATCAAATAGCAGGGAGCGCACAATCACAACGAAGTAAAACGAGTCGTATATATGCAACTGCAAGTCCTTCAGCAGCTTCAGTTTTTGAAATGTCTCAGTAAGAGCAAGCGCAGGATGGTCGGCAGGCTTTGTCGTATATATGGTTGTATAGTACGATATGGCATATTATTATGATTACTTATAATATAAAATAAAGGTATTATAAAATGAATTTATTCAGCTATTTAAATATGCCCATGTGTCATATCTATTGACTACCAGGATATTTTTTACGGTGTCATATCTTTTGACTCCCAGGATATTTTTTACGGTGTCATATCTTTTGACTCCCAGGATATTTATTTTCGGTGTCATAATAAAAAAGGCTAGTTTTTTATAGATCTATCGATTAATACTTATTACATTGTTGGCGGAGCTGGGTGCGTTTTGCCCATTGTCCTTTATTATTTTGCTTAGCTTAAAATTTAATATTTATTCAATTATGAAAATCATGGACTTGTATTGTCTGAAAATAAATGATTTATTTATTATTATTAATTAAATAATAGGTACCTAGTTTTACAAAAAGTTTTCATAATATAAATTCTTATATCAGTACTTTCACGATATTAAAGTTTCAATATAACATATAGAAGTCAGTTTCATAACTACTGTATGAACGATGAACGTGTTATACATTACTATCCATAAAATTTAGGGAAAAGGACATTGGGCAGAAATGTATTTACCCACGTCCGCCACGGCTTAAACGGCATTTGTTTGGGAGTTATTATAGTGATGAGATGATCATCTGTACCAAAGCGCATCAAATTCCATCCCGGGGGTCTTTAGGTATTTTAAGTTAAATGGGTACAAGTACTATAACGAACGAACATTAATGAAACAAGGAAATTCATTTACTTAATTCGACGAGTTTTGAGGTGTCTCAGTCAGGAAGTGCAAGCGCAGGATGTTCGACAGGCTTTGTCGTATATCTGGTTGTATAGTACGATATGGCACATTATTATGGTTACGAATAATATAAAATGAAGGTGTGTTTGCCCCTGTGTCATATCTTTCGATTACCAGGATATGTTTTCACGGTGTAAATAATAATAAAGGCTATTTTTTTAAAGACCTTTCGGTTCATACTAATTGCTGGCGGAGCTGGGTGTTTTTTGCCCATTGTCCTTTGAGTAGATTACCTTAATATTTTTAAGCATTTAACTTCTAGATGATGAAGAGTACCTTAAACTATTAAGTAGGTAGGTATTTCTTTCTATGATTGCACTTGTCAGGTGAACGAGCTGATAATCTTGACGAATGAAAACGCGTGTTTGAGGTACTTCGTGTCCAAGATGGTGAAGTCCAAGATTCCGATCTTACTGGTGGGGCCGACGGGCACTGGCAAGTCTTCGCTGGTGCTCAACTTCCTGCTATCATTACCCAAGGAAAAGTACATCACGAACACTATCAACTTCTCGGCGCGAACTACTGCTAATCAAGTACCTATGCCACATAATAAGAATAAAATTAATTAAAAAATAATAAAAAGCCACGATGCAAGTGGAACTTTTAAAGTAATTAATAATTTTTTAAGTAATTCCAACGCGTACAAAGGAATAAGGCGACTCATTTGTTTGTCGCACTATCCATAAATTGAATGCTCTGCCTGCTCACATGTTCCCTTCTTCTTACAACCTGGGATCCTTTAAAAAGAAGCTTGAAGAAGCAACATGCAGGCCGGCAAGGTGAGGATGGCTGGTGTGGCAGGTAGAACTGCTGTACCAGCTATCTTCACGTGAAGTCCAGACTTCACAATCACTTAACATCAAATGGGACGGAGTCATTAATTTGTCGGACCTATCTTTAAAAAAATCATTATTAAAAAAAGTCCTTCCTCTCTGGGATCCGAACTAGGGCCGCCCTTATAGCAGGCGAGCTTTCTACCACTGCACTTCCGGTGCTTGTTGACAAGATCTGAATAACAATTAAAAATGTAATGCGACATGCAAAAATGAACGAAATATTTGTGGCGATGTAAAAAAGGGGCGGCAAAATACGCTTTTATTGAATCCCGTTTTCAGGAGGATGTGGATAGGTCTAAAATTATATCGGTAGCCCTCAGTAGTTTATTATCAGAGATATTTTCTTCCATTCTCTAAATCTAGAATCTCTTATCTATTAGACAAGTCCGTCCGTTCGTCTGTGGTGCTGTTTCAGCGGCCAAACCGTAAGCGATAGATAAAGAGAATATTTAAGTATAAGTTAAGAATAGTCTGATAAAACTACAAACCGGATTTGAGTAACGTAGCACTTCCGGTTTTCGAGAAATCACGAATTTCAAACGAAACCACACAAAATCTCCGAAGTTCTCAATTAATTAAATACATTTTTTTTTTAATCAGGTTTTGGTGAACATTTGGTTCACTGGTTTGCTAGTATATCTTAATAGTAGTTTAAACATTTTCTAACTAGCGCTGATCGTTATTGCGCAGAAGTAAAAATTAAGAGTTCTTAGGGGGGAAATGAAGTGCGCGGGTGAACGTGTGCTGCGCCGATTGGCTCTCCAGTTATACGTGCTCAGGCGCGGTCGCAGCCTGAAATTTTGGAGGGGGTCACTCATTACACTAATAAAAAAAACCGGCCAAGAGCGAGTCGAACTCGCGCACCGAGGGTTCCGTACACACCTGAATTTTCATAAATATTTTTTATTATATGATGTAACTTAAAATTCACGGTTTTCGCATTTTTTTCTTTTTCTGTACTATAAGACGTTACGTAGTAGTATTTAATAAACAATTTAACTATGTTGTAGACTCAAGATATCATCATGTCGAAGGTAGACAGACGACGTAAAGGTGTATTCGGTCCTTCTATGGGTAAAAAGGTAAGAAAAACGAGAAACATTTTAAGAGACTTTTCTAACATAGATCTATAAGCACAGATTAATAGTAACTCCGTCTATAAGGTGCGCCCATGCAACAAATAATGGGTTTTTAAAACACGATAGATTTTTTACAACATAGAATAATATTGTTTTAGAACAATAAGCAACAAATAGTGTACAGGGAAGTTGTATAACTGTGGGAGCTACTTTTTCTGGTGGTTTGTATATGTTACGCTCAAAGATCGAAAACGCTCAGTGAGCGGAAAAATAGCTCACAACGCGTTGTGGTCACAGTAAAACATCCATATCGCAAAATTCGTGTTATTCGTGGCTATAATGAAAACGCGCACGACGCGTTGTGTCAATCACAGAAAGACCAAATAGCGAAATTCGTGTCGTGGCTGACATGCTATTCGATCTCAACGCATTGTGGCAATGAAGAAAAGCCATGTCGCGTATGGAATATTATTTAATTATGACGCACACTAATTTCTGATTTGGATCTAGGCTGGAAACGTTTTGGTAGATATCTTTAGGAAATATTTTATAAAATCACTGCATAGCGTGTTTGTCATTATTAAATATGTTATATAATTATATCAATTAAAATAAAACGATATTTATTATTTATTGAGATTACTTTATATTTAAAAAAATCAACGTATTAAGTAATAAATTACTGAACACAAAATATTAATCAATTGTAAATTACTTATAATTCACTTAAAATAATGCTCAGAACGCGTCATGGCTTTTCTTCATTGCCACAACGCGTTGAGTTCGAATAGAATGTCAGCCACGACACGAATTTCGCTATTTGGTCTTTCTGTGATTGCCACAACGCGTCGTGCGCGTTTTCATTAGAGCCATAACACGAATTTCGCGATGTGGATGTTTTACTGTGACCACAACGCGTTGTGAGCTATTTTTCCGCTCACTGAGCGTTTTCGATTTTTGAGCGTAACATATAGAACAAATTGTTTTATTCATCAGAATTAATACTGTGAATATCTGCTACAAAATATAGTATTTGGCCTAGTGTGTCCTCTTCGTGGATGATCTGAGCATGCCCCAGAAGGAGCAGTGGGGAGCGCAGCCGCCGCTCGAGTTGCTGCGCCAGTGGGTCGACCACGGGCACTGGTACGACCTGAAGGATATGGTTCGGCAGGAGGTGGTGGATGTGGTAAGTAAACATTTTTTTAATAATAACAGGATGTCAAACCCGGACACTGTACTTTACCGTTCCAAAAGAATTAGCCAAATAGTTAAGAGCACCAATAGGTCCCATTGTTTCGGTAAGGACGTCTTTGAGGGTCCAATGGGCACCATGTTCTTGATAGGAGGTCGAACGGGCACTTTTTTGTAGGTAAGGTCCAATTAGGAGGGTCCAACGGGTCCACCACCACCACAGAAACCACCACCAAATGGGTCAATTAAAATGTTGGCTCGTCATACATTAATAAAAGAGCAGTCTTGCGACCATGGAGCCTGTAAAGTATCCGAAACATCGATAATAATGAAAAATTACAATACATCGCACTTCAAGTATGATGCCAAATACCCTTTCAAAATATGTTTTATTCAACGAATTAGAAATAATATGGAATAAGAACTTCGCTAAAAAGTGGTTCCAAGCAAACTGCGATCGAGTCGACGGGGTGCAAAAACTGCGATCAACGCGCCGATCATGGGATTGGTCGAGAATTTCGTTTAACATTATCTTACCCAATGAATGGATAGCCAAATTCATTTGCAGACATTTGATTTGTCAAAATATTTTCTTTTATCTGCGTGCGTGTCGCGTTAGTATTGAATTTTAGTTGTATGAGATGGGAACGACGTATTAGCTGCCTTTGTTCGGAGTAATTTTTCCATATCTTTTCTAATTTGTTGGTTTTATTAAATGATTCGTGACTAAGTAATAATTCTGGTCTGTTAGAAAAAAGTTTATTACTTGGTACTATCAACATCTCTACAGTAACGTTCATGGGAAGTTATCTGTAATTTAGATATTTAACTTCAACCAAATATTCTGCAACGTCGAGCAAGATAAAACGTTTTTATGAAATGCAGTAAGACTGATATAAATATTTAAAAAGATGGAAAATCACAGCGGTCATTGTGGCTTGTACTGTAAGCACTATCATTCCATTCTAAATCTATAGTAAAAACTGCATCAACTGTTCCTCTAGCTCCTCGTATCAGCCATGCTGCCTCCAGGCGGGGGTTCCAACCTGATTTCGTCGCGTCTGACACGACACATGCTGCTCATCACACTGGACTCCTTCGAAGACAACACCCTCAACAAGATATTCTGCACCATCATGGATTGGCACTTCGCCAAAGGTTTTCCCGAAGCACTCATGCGACAGAGCAAGGTAATATCATATAATTAAATTTACAAAACCTTATATCAATTGATTCTTAATTTGGCATTCAAATGTTTGTTGAGTTCTGCCCACAACGCATCATTAGATTCTTAAGAAGGTACTTATCACCATTAGCCTATTCATGCCCCCACAGCTGAGGTACGGGCCTTCCCTATTGATAGAATAGGGATATTAGTCTAGTATGGATTGTAAGGTGCTAACGACTGCAGGCAGATGCAGTCGTAACTAATGGTTTAACTAAAACTAGTTTTAACGGGTTAATGCACGAATTTTAAAGCTAGTTTTATTTAATGAGTAATGTTCGTGAAAACCTAAGTAACGGTTTGACGTTCCTTCTGAAGCCTAAAGGACCTCGAAATATGACCGGCCAGAGAAATTGCTCAATTTCCACTATTTGCAGACTGAAAGCGCCATCAGTTATGTATATTTTAAAGTAGTTTTATCCTTCATGTATTGAATGCAGATAACATTATTAGCGGTTGATTCCTACGCCATTTGTAGTATTTACTACTCAAGGTATCATTAGATATGGGATATACTTCCTTCTGATTGTAGGCTGTGGTTGGAGCCACGATGGAGGTATACAAGACGGTGACGGTTCAATTCCTGCCGACGCCCAGCAAGTGCCACTACCTGTTCAACCTGCGCGACTTCGCGAGGGTCATAAAGGGCATCCTTCTGGTGCCCTCGTCGCATCTGAAGGAACTCAGCAAGCTCGTGATCTTGTGGATACACGAAATCTACCGCGTCTTCTATGACCGTCTGGTGGATGATGTGGACAGGTAAGGAGTCCCTAAGTTTAATTCCTATGCAAAATGTTTAAATAAAATCTAAAAAATCTTACCCAAATCAAACCAACTTTTTGTTGAATTATAATTTGAAAACATTTACTGCTAAACAATTTTGGTAATTGTTTCATTAGGTACTTACTGACAGCATACATCAATTTACCGCAAACTATTTTTCGAATATATTTTGAATATTAGAACAAGCTTGATAAAACTCCATATTTATTGGAAAAAAATATTCACAGTTATGGGTAACTTGACCTGTGTTTTTGTACTTGAGAAATTGAGAAAAAGTTTCGTCATTAAATAAATAGTACAAAACATTGAAACCTTCTGAAATTTGTCGAATGGACTTGGAATAGCTAAAAACACGAAAATTACGTAGTATTATTATTACTAAAGACCGCTTGCTTACAATCTTCAACGGCATCTATATCGCGAATCAGTGCCGTCTTTGACCTATTGGAGGCCCTGGGTATTAGGATTATCGGGCCCCTATGACTTCCGTTTTGTGATTTAACAGGAACTAGGGACTTTGTATTTGATCTGAGGGGGCCCCCTATCGCTCGCGGCCCCAGGAGCTCTATTTTAGAATCAGTCGTCTTGCGTCGTACGCTCGATTTCTACTAAATTTCATTCGACATAATTAATTCCGTATTTTTGAATCGCTCGAGTGCAACGAATGGGTGAGACCACTCGCTGCATGGCGAATGGTGGAGGCGAATGATAGAATAATTGTCAAATTTTTTGTGCTATTAGACGACGATAATCTATCATTGCCATGCTTTATATGAAACGACAACGAGAATTTTTCGTTCGGTTTTCATTGCGGTAATTACCGTTTTTTATTTTTTCAACGTTACATGAGTAAAATTTCATATTTCGTATTAAACAGGTAACACTGGTGACGAATGATTCAAAAATACGTAAAATCAGTATTATGCAACATGAAAGTTGAAGGTGACTTATGTCGCATTCGACGATACTATGTCAGACGAGTGATTCAAAATTAGAGCTCCTGGGCACTTGCCCAAAGTGCCCACTGGGAAAGACGCGTCTGTCGCGAATACTTAGGCCCCCTTGCACCAAAATTCTTTGACCATTAAAACAATTGACTAAGATGGAATGATGTTATTTTTTAAGCATTTTTAAGGAAGATTATACTCACAATGCGAAGAGATGACGCTGCCTTGAAACCTAAGAAATGCTAGAGAAAATTCGACACAGCCATCACGGCCGCGGTAGCGTAATGGTCACTGCATTCGCACTGATAGCGATGGGTCTGGGTTCGAGTCCCGTCGGCTGCCTGGTCCGCGTGTTTTTTTTTCTAGTAAAAGTTTCAGTAGGAGGTATAACGTGTTTAACAGGAATAAGTTTAAATCTAATTTACGAATGTTGGTGCAACGACCTTTGTGACTTCCCACAGGGAGAAACTGTTCGATGTGATATACAAAGCCGTGTACGGCAACTTCCGCGTGCACATGGACCAGGTGCTGACGGAGCTGGGCTACGTGCCTGAAGGAGAGAAGTGCTCCAACAAGCACGCCGTCAACATATTCTTCGGGAACTACATGGAGCCCGACGCGGACCCCAAGATTTACGACCAGGTATGTTAAAAACAATCAGAGGAGTAATTTTTTTACTAGAAAGAAACAAAAATAACTTAAATCTAAAGAAAAGTTTACTAGAAAAAAATCCACGCGGACCAGACAGCGGACGGGATTCGAACCCGCACCCTTCGCAATCCGGGCGAATGCACTGACCATTATGCTACCACGGCCCTATTGGTGGTATAATGGTCAGTGCATTCGCCCGGATTGCGAAGGGTGCGGGTTCGAGTCCCGTCCGCTGCCTGGTCCGCGTGGATTTTTTTCTAGTAAACTTTTCTTTAGATTTAAACATCTAGCAGTTAAATGCTTAAAAATAAATAAAAACATAAAAATACCTTAGTCCAGATGTTGTCAGGCTGGATTTGAACTAGCACCTTTTGCTGTCTCAGCGGATGCACTAACCTCTATTCTCCTGATACCATAATTAACATATCTTGGTGGTCTAATATCTTTTACTGTTACTATAGCTGCAATTCAGCACTATATTTTCGTATTGTAAGCAAACAATTAGTCTTACATCCATCTTTAAAAGAAATAAAATATTCTGTATATGTAGTTACTGTTACTTAATCCTTATGAGAAACACTATATTTTTTCTGTGTTATTTTGGGCCTTTGATCAAATTATGAACTCGCTAAATCCATTTTAGTACTATCACAGACGGGACAGATAGGTAGTCTATGCGTGTTAGTGTCACCTCTGTCTTTGGCAATAAGTGTCTTCTAGAATTTGTCAGTGGTTATTGATATCTAAGTTCTTTATTTCTATGAGAAAATTGAAAATGCCTAATTTATATTTTAGAATATTATGTTCTCGATACTTATACTCTGTTTTTTGCTGGCATTAAAAGAACCAAAATCTCCATGACAAATCGCTTGTTTACTGAAATATCGTTACGCTTTCAATGACGGATTGATCTTGTAACACTTGTGTACAGGTAATGGACCTGGACGACATGGCGGTGAAGATGGAGTATTACCTGGAGGAGTACAACGTGGTGTCTTCATCACCGATGTCTCTGGTCATGTTCCGGTATGCGCTTGACCACATCTCGCGTTGTACGAGGGTGTTACTGCAGGACAACGGTATATAAATGATATGATGATAACTAACTCCAAAGCTTAATAGATGAAACAATCAAATGATAGTTGTCTAGATATCTTTAACAGAATTCACCTTTCATATATTTATTTATTCAGACACTTTCTGCCGGCCTATTCGCAAACATTTTTGACATTTACAGTGTGTACATAACTTAAGAGAATATTGCGTATTGCATATTCATTCATTGATGCTTTTCAGGACAAGTTTCTTATTGGAGTGTTAATAGAGCAGTAGTGGATCAGTAAATAGCTCGGTAATCATAACTTCCACCTTTCAAAACCTGTTAGCGAATAGGCCTACTGGTTAGCAATCCACCCCGGATTTGCATTAATCTTAGTATAGATAAGTTTTATCAACATGTATTTGATAAATAACCCCTCAGGTTCGAGTGGTCTAGAGGCTCCAGACGGAGAGGAGACTCCCCTCGTGGGGAGATGCCATCCGCCTGGAATACCTCCAGGGGCACTCGCCAATTCTCGGCCTGAGGTCCCCTAAGGATCTCGCCGTCCCTAAACCCGGTCAAAGGTCAACAGCGACCAACAGCATACAAACTCAAAAAAAAAGTTGTTAAATAAACTGAATTATATATTTTAGGTAATCTTCTGTTAGTGGGCGTTGGTGGCAGCGGTAGAAGCAGCGCTGTCAAACTAGCGGCTAGTATTCTGGAAATGAACGTGATTCAGGCAAGATTGACAACAAAAACTTTAGTTTTTTTATATGCATTCCCTTTAGAATTGCCCATGTGAGTGGCTACGGTTTACATTATTAAGATCTTTATGCAGAAATCCATTCTTAATAATTATTATTAATGCGAACCTCATCCCGCCTATTTGGTACCCTTTAGAGCTAAACCTCTTTTTTAGACATTTTAAATAATCTTGGTATGAAGATATATAGAACTTCTAGTAAAGGATACTTTTTGTCGCGAAACGTAGTTTTTTCCTGTATACTGTGTGTATAATGTAACTGTGATTGTGTAATATTGTGACTACGTTATAGTAATTTATGTTATTTACGGGATTGTTACCATGAACCTTGTTTTTAACCGATATTTGGGCACTGTTGCAAGCGCCATGATCAAAAACAATATATTGTGACTACGTGTTTCATTTTGAATGCAGATCGAAATATCCAGAGTGTACGGTCAGAACGAATGGCGAGATGATATCCGCAAGCTGCTCATGAAATCGGGCATCATAGGCAAACCGCTAGTCTTTCTCTTTGCTGATAACCAGGTAATTCTTCTTCTTTAGATTTAAAATTCTAGCAGTTAAATGCTTAACAAATGAAAAAGTAACCAGGTAATTATCAGATATACCAAGATGTTCTGTGCATTCCGGGATAAAAATGTGATAGGTGCGTACAAAATCGAGTAAGCTTATTATGTTAATTCCATTTTACGAATAGGTGTTAATTTTTTGTCATCGCAGCTCTTGACATTGTCCTTCTTTTACGAAACGATTTTTTTATATGGAAATATTAGGTAGGTATAATAAAGAGCAAGTTCGTGAACATAGAATAATAAAAGAATCATAATAAAACCAAATAGTGTGGTGGAAATTTTTACTCATTTCTTTATTGTTGAATAGATAATGTACGAAGGCATGGTGGAGGATATCAACATGCTGCTGAACACAGGAGATATCCCCAACCTTTATGGCATGGACGAGAAAGTTGAAATCCTGGACAAAATGCAAACTGCGGTCAGGGAGTCGGTGCGTAGCAATTGCATTTAAATTATATTGATTTTTCTTAACTTTATTCTGTGTGACTTCGAACAAACCGTATTGCAACCTTAGATTAAAACAAAAAGGGTAGATACGGTACGCTCATACTTGCATCAAACAAAAACTGATCCCACTTTACTACATATGCAACACTCACACATCCACCTGTTTGTAAAGATACAATCGAACGAACGAAACAGCAATTTAAGTTTCAACGGCAGCGCGAACGGGACGGCGGGATTCGCGTCACTGCACTACCGACCAATCACGCGACCAGTACTCGACGTCACTACCGAATAAGATTCAAAACAAACAGCAATTTTTATGAAAAGATATATTTTATAGTACTTACGAATGAAAAGTGATGCCGTGGGTTTTATTTTTAGTTCAGTGGGTCAATCGCCTAACCAGATTGCTTTGGAAAACGCTATCGCTTACGATTTCATTTTGTTATTTCTAACCGCCGAAGGTTTTCAAATACCTCACGCTCATTTTCTTTAACATTGTTATTACCAATGCAAAAGAAAAAAAAAGAGCGCGAGGCATTTGAAAATCTCAGGCGGCTAGAAATAACAAAAGAAATCGTAAGCGATAGCGTTTTCCAAAGCAATCCAGTTAGGCGATTGGCCCCCAGGAGCAATTTGAGTACTTTTCAAAAACACACTTAGGCATTGTTTTATCATATAAACACAAAATATTAGCAATATTTCTTTTTGGCGTTCACATGTACGTCGTTTGCATGTCAAGTTGTGACTAAAGCGATTGTGGTCTTGGGCCACAATTTATGCGGATCACTTTTGTGAGGCTAGTGCCGTATCTACCCTTTTTGTTTTAATCTAAGATTGAAACACGCATAGAAAAACTGTGGCCACGATTCCAAAGCGTACAAAGAAATTTGCTGCACATTTCTTTGTCGCACTATCCGTAAATGGAATGCTCTGCCTGATCACGTGTTCCCTCCTTCTTACAACCTGAGATCCTTTAAAAGAGGCGTGAAGAAGCGACATGCAGGCCGGCAAGGTGAGGATGGCTACAGTGGCAGGTAGAACTGCTGTATCAGCTATCTTCCGTCTGGACTTCACCGTTACTTTACATCAGATAGGGTGGAGTCATTTGTCGGACCTATCTATAAAATAATAAAAAAAACCCATGGAGTAAGTATTTGATAACATTGCACAACACGTAGGAATCAGCAATAAAGAAAGTAATAACGCCGAAAATGATATCCCGGAGAGGAGAATAAATTATGGACATTTCTGCAGACCTGTCATATTTTCTAGTCACAACAATTTTGGCCAAATCGATGCATTGCAGTATCAGATGCATGTGTAGGAATGGGATTTATATTGAAATTATTCCTTAACTGCCTCATATTGATGATCTTCGATTTGTTAATCCAACAAACACATGACTATAGTCAAAGCAATTTTATTACTCGATGGCATGTTCTGCTTATATCGAAGGTATATGTAGATAAAGCTTGACTTGATTTTGATCGTCAGGGTAAGAAAATAGAGACCACGCCACTGGCCATGTTTGGCTTCTACGTGGAACGTGTGAAGGCCAACCTGCGCATCGTGATGGCCATGTCGCCAATCGGAGACTCCTTCAGGAACCGCCTACGCATGTTCCCTTCGCTCATCAACTGCTGCACTATTGACTGGTAAGCTAAATATCCTAATAAGTAGGTATAGTTTTTATTCTTCTACAATAAAAAATGTGAATAAGGTTGTGAACTTTGACATAGTATTTTTTATTATAATCATGATTTATATTCTGTATTTTCTAAATTCTTTTAATTATATTTAATCGTGTAATGTACTTATTCGATCATCTGAAATTTTCATTATTCTTGACCAAAAACATGATTTATTCCATTATTCTTGACATTTCAGATCCTTTACACTATAATCTAAGTCTAATAAAACGCGCTTGCATGCAAATATAAAAATACCTTTTTAAAAAAGAGTTTTATTAAATCCATCTGTGATGTCCATTGGTCGACCTACTTTAATCAAGTCACTGTACTATTCGTCGTAAAGGTTTACGGCGTGGCCTCCAGAGGCGCTGGAGCGCGTGGCGTCCATGTTCATCGCGCGCATGGAGAGTGTGGACGACAACCTGCGCCGCGCCTGCGTCGACATCTGCCAGCTGTTCCATGTAACAGTCGTGCAGCTCAGCGACAGGTACCCGGCTATGACGTCATTATCAGACTGGCGATGTGTCCACTGCTGGGTGATATATGGGCGACATCTGCCAGTTGTTCCGCATGAACGTCGCGTCGTGCAGCTCAGTGACAGGTATCCGGCCGTGACGTCATTAGCAGCCTATTGATGTTCCACTGCTGGGTGATATAGGGGCGACATCTGCTTGTTGTATCACGTGACCGTCGTGCAGCTCAGTGACAGGTACTCGGCCGCGACGTCATCAGCAGCCTGTTGATGTTCCACTGCAGGGTGATATAGGGGCGACATCTGCCTGTTGTTTCACGTGACCGTCGTGCAGCTCAGTGACAGGTACCCGGCCTTGACGTCATCAGCAGCCTCTTGATATTTCACTGCTGGGTGATATAGGGGTGATAACTACCAGCTGTTCCACTTCACCATCGTGCAGCTCAGCGACAGGTACCCGGCTGTGACGTTGTCATCAGACTGGCGATGTGTCCACTGCTGGGTGATATAGGGGCGACACGTGAACTCTTCCATGTGACCTTCGTGCATCTCAACGACAGGTACCCGCCTGTGACGTCTCCATCAGCCTGTTAATGTGTCAAAACCCAGTTTTGGTTTACTATTTCTCATTCCTATTTGAAAACAATATGTAGTATCTCACAATTAAAATAGGTCGTAAAACACTTTCAGATTTTATTCGGAGCAGAAGCGGAAGGTCTATGTGACACCTACTAGTTACTTGGAGCTTATAAAGGCGTTCCAGAGTCTGTACGCCCTCAAGGTGGATCAAATAACCAAGGCACGGATAAGGTAATGAATTTCAATCAAAATATTTGCAAATTTATTTATTTATATTATTATTTGTATAGTTAACAGCTCGGTGATCATCACCATCGATTCTTCGACTTTAACTTCAAATTCTATCGCTTAGTAGCAGCATTTTATTGCTCTTTGTTCGGGTCTTATATCATATTATTAGACTTGTTGTAAGACTATGAGATTAACAATCGCATGTGTCGTGAAATCGTGAAAATAATGATCGAGCGCGCAACGAAGACCAAAGTTCACTGTGTTCGTTGCTGCGTTAAGTCACATGAGTTCTTTTTTTGGGACTCCCGCTCAGCGTTGTCTTGTCCAGTCTCTCGGCGTCCTCGGTTGTTCGGGGGATTTTTAATACCGCGTTTGCGTTACTCTACGCAGTTTTAAGCAATCTATTTTGGCGGACAAAAACGTCCCGGTCCATAAGAGTAACCTCATGGTTATTTTTGAGAAGTAAACATCAAATCATGTGTAAAATTGTTACTTTTAATAAATAATAATAATAATAAATATTTCCAACACTCACACCAATTAGCCTAACTCCAAAGTAAGCTATAAGGCTTGTGTTATGGGATACTAGGGTAACGGATAGAATACATATACCATTAATATATCAGTATATTTTTTTTTTATATAAATACATATTAAACATCCATGACTGGAGTACAAATACTCGTATTCATAGTACAAATTCTAGGGATTCGAACCCCTCTCGAGTCGGTGACACCATGAAAGCCGGCGTACAAATCACTCGACCACGGAGGTCGTCAACTTTTGAAAACTGTAGTATAATAAAATAGATATTTTATCTCTGCTGATCCTTAAAAATAACAAGAATCGTATAGTTTGCAAACAACTGTTATGGCATACTTACTTATAATATGTACCTTGACAGGTACGAGACAGGGCTAGAACAGCTGGACTTTGCGGCTGGACAGGTGGCAGTGATGCAGCAAAACTTGCGCGATCTGCAGCCGCTACTGGTGGACACTTCAGACAAGACGGAGAAACTCATGATAAAGATCGAGCAGGACACCGTCGTAGTCGAGAAACAGAAAGAGGTCAGATGAAACAACAATTCTCTTTATATGCAGTGCGATGCCGAATTTTTGTTTTCGACAATTTTCTCGGTACTAGCATGATGCAGGGCCGGTCCTAGCCTATAATATGATAAATTTAGTGGGATATTTGAAAAGAAATTCAAAATACGATCCATGTTTTATTCGCCTACTTCAATAATTCGCAACCTGTCAACGAACCAGACTAACAAGTGTTGTTGTAGGGACAAAGTGATGTGGTCAAAGACTGATTGCTAAATCAATAAATACTTTTAAACAAAAAAACAGATAGTTGGCGCCGACGAAGCACTTGCCAACGAAGCAGCGGCAGCAGCCCAGGCTATCAAAGATGATTGCGAATCAGACTTAGCTGAAGCAGTACCAGCGCTCGAGGCAGCGCTTCAAGCGCTCAACACGCTCAAACCGGCAGATATCACACTCGTCAAATCTATGAAGAACCCTCCTGCTGGGGTTAAACTGGTCATGGAAGCTGTGTGCGTCATGAAGGGGATCAAGGGTGACAGGAAAATGGATGCTAATGGTACGACCCACTCTTACTCTAAAGTAACAAAGCTAAGATTGTATATAAAGTTCTTGTTAGAAATATAGGTTTACGGTATATTAACATAATGTTATTATTAAGGCATGAATTTTAACAATCGCTAAATTATAGAATTATGGTGAAACTTAGACACGCCAATTAACTTTACAGTACAATTAAGGTCGATGCTGGATTTTTGCGATTACTTTAGTGTAAGACACCGTGTGATCTAAGCATAAAATTTTATTGACGACTGAGAGCGGCTTTAAGAAATTTATTGACACCTCAACGTTAAGTTTAAACTTGCTATGGAACTAGATTTATCCAGCATATTATTAATTGTAAACATTGTTAGGTAAACCGTATGAGGACTACTGGGGCCCATCACAAAAAATGCTCGGTGATATGAAGTTCCTAGAAAGTCTAAAGAACTATGATAAGGACAATATCCCTGTAGCTACAATGAAGAAAATAAGAGATAAGTAAGCATTAACTCCATAATATTTGGATCCTATCATATCATTAGCTCCTATAATATCATGTGTAAAATATTTCCATACTATTAATAGTACATTATGATATAAGTGCGGTAAGTTGAGAATTACGGCCGAGGCGATATTGTCAGCCCGAGCCGTAGGTAAGGACTATAAGGAGGCAGAGGCTGTAATTATCAAACCGCACGTATGTCATACGACGTTTTATAACACATTTGCGAGGAAGTAATACTACCTACGTACATACTTTCTGAAAATGAATTTGCACCTTTGTTTGTTTTCCATAAGATGAAATTTTGATACGCTTGACTGTAAGTATCTATCCGTGGATTTTTCGGGCAAGAGGCTTAGCGTAGCCTTTTTCGACTTCCAGCGGTGTCAAATTAATAAATTCGTTACTACTTGACAATATTTTCAAATAAAAAACAATACAGCGAAAAGAAAAAGAAATAACTTTTTCACAGATATTAGAGATGCGCGCGCATCAACACTTTTTTTAGGCAAAGGAACAAAAAACAGCCAGTGTTACTAATAAAGTAAATTGATATTTTTGTGAATTTACCGATACATAGTTGTAATTTATTGTCAAAATGAATCAAATTAAAGAATTAAATGTTTATATACTTTTGTTTATCTCCCACAGTTGATTTTATTAAGAAAATGTTGGCTACGTTTCTGACATAAAAACTCTTTGCTAAGATTTAAAAAAGTATCGTTCGTTTTTAGACGGAACATAATAAGCCGTGCGTTTTACTTTACATTACCGCACGCGTGTATAATGTGATAGATTATGATATTGAAATTGGTGCAATAAAAGACGCTTTACGAGCAAATGTGTTATAAAATATAAAATCACCACACATCATAATATAGACCAAATATAAGATAGATTTTATTCAGTTTATATGAAAATATCCCACGTTTAAGTATAGTTTGTATTAAACTCAAAAAATCGATCAATAGATATATCCCCGATCGTGAGTTCGATCCCGTTGTGATCGCGAAGGTGTCTTCGGCTTGCGAGGGTCTCTGCCGCTGGGTCCGAGCTATGGACGTTTACGATAGAGTCATCAAGGTAATCTTTAACATTACATGAGTTTTCTTTAAATAATTAACAATAATTGGAAATGCTGGAAGCTTTTGATTATCGCTCATCAGTATTATTCGCCAATAAACTGACTTTTCAGTCAAGTGAAATAAGTTGTTTTGAATACCATTATTTTTATAGAAAAAAAAAGTATTTTCTGAGTTTGAGCGGGTTCACACTTGATATAATTTATAAGAAAAAAATTAAGAATGATGAGAATGAAAATAAAGAACACATGAATAAATTTCTCTTTATCCTTACTTACAAAGTTGTACCTTAAAGGAAAATAATAATAAAATAAATGTCTTGAACCCCTATTATTTAATTGTAGGTGGTAGCTCCCAAAAAAGCAGCTCTTGCAGAAGCCGAGGGAGAACTACAGATGCAGATGAATACACTCAACGAAAAGAGGGCACAACTGCAAAGCGTCCTCGATAAGTTACAGGTCAGTAAAATTACCTACAATTTTTAGGGTTATTTTAATTCGTGGTAGAATCCGTAAACGGGGACCCCGCGGCTTCGCATTAAGCAGTGTAAAAGGTATTCGCACGACTTTTATAGCGGATATTATGCCGTAAAGCGCCCGTAACAGTTGCGGGGTCCGCGGTAGATAGCCACTGGGGGGTCCGTAAGACTTGCGGGAGCCAGGTGTGAAGTCCGTTCGGCGGTGTGCCTCTTAAAGATAATATTTTATGAATTTATGACAACCTAATGTTGAGATGTTGGCTACTACGGAAATCACTTTTATATCGTAAAAATCCCGCCATTCCTAAAAATTCTAATTTATTTTATACTCCGTGAGATTCAATTAACCCGATTTACACAAATAATAGTTGCCCTGTCTATATAACATAAAATATTGTGTAATAATTGTCCTTAATGAATAAGTAAAATACTTATTGATTTATGTTTTCTCATAAACCAAACCACCATTTCTCTTACACCTTACATACACATACTGGAATGGGAAATTAAAATTTAACTTTAAAAGTAAATAAATAAACATCCGATTAGTTATGCGAATCTCGGGATTTTATTATCAATAAAAATATCCTGAGAAGCCGCTTCCAAAATGTGTTAGCCAAAAATTCCTTAGGTAAAAATCCGCACTAGGCCCGCGCGGTGGATCATGGCCCAATCTCCCTATTCCATCCATAGGGAAGGCCTGTGCCCCAGCAGTGGGGACTTAAAAGGCTGATGATAATAATGATGATGATGATGATGATGAAATATGAATCCGAATCAATAAAAGAAAAATGTCACCAAGTCAACAAAATTATTACGATCGCGAGAAAAAGGGGGAAAGTCACATTCTATCCATACAAAGATAGATGGACTCATAAAAAACGTCTTCGAAAAGTCTGACTTTTATAAAATTAACCTACAGGGATTTTCACTACATTTCTATATTTTTATCTAAATCTTTCTATTGTAAAATTATCTTCTCACCTCACTTAATCACTAGGCTCTTAACGATGAATTCGCGGAGATGACTAGAAAGAAGAAAGGTCTAGAAGACGAGATCGACCTGTGTTCCACGAAGTTATCTCGCGCCGAGCAGCTGATTGGCGGCCTCGGGGGAGAGAAGGCGCGCTGGACCGACCTGGCGATGCAACTACAGGAACTGCTTGGAAATATTATCGGTTGGTATTGAAGGAAAATAAATATTAATAAAGTTATTCTTCAGAGTTGTTTATCTACTACAGCGAAGAGAGTACTATCTTCCAAATTGTTACTCAGAATCTTGAGCTAGTGAGCAACATTAAGGCCCGTATTACAGAATGACAACTAATTGTTGATCTTTACTTGAGTACAGTTAGGAAGGGATGTCGCTATGTGCTATATATAGCGACATCCCATTCTAACTGTGCTCAAGACTAGATCAATCACTGAGAATCTTTCTATAATACGGGCCTAAATGTGCTACACAAAGGAAAATGGGCAAAACGCACCCAGCTCCGCCAACAATGTAATTAGTATGAATCGATAGATCTATGGAAAACTAGCCTTTTTTATTATGACACCGAAAATAAATATCCTGGGAGTCAAAAGATATGAGACCGTAAAAAATATCCTGGTAACCAATAGATATGACACATGGGCATATTTAAGTAGCTAAATAAATTCATTTTATAATACCTTCATTTTATATTATTAATAATCATAATAATATGCCATATCGTACTATACAACCAGTTAAACGACAAAGCCTGCCGACCATGCGACCTGCGCTTGCTCTTACTGAACATTTCAAAACGGTTTACAAATGCTGAAGGACTGGCAGTTGCAAATAGTCGACTCGTCTTACTTCGTTGTGATTGTGCGCTCCCTGCTACTTGATTGATATTTATCTAACACGCTTTGGATATTGAAACACGATTATCGATTTTGTCAATTAGTATGGATAAACTGGAATTATGTGTTCTCCGAAGCGTGGACAATTTTGTGTAATCTGGGGTGGCTCCGTTTTACATAGAAGACAATTTACTATAACGAACAGAATGTTTATAAAAACCCAACCCATGCGGGGATTTTTGGATTTACTCTAGCGCGGCAGAATGACATAAGGGGGCACCCTTGCACCATATGAAGTACTCCCATAATTCCTGAGCACCCTATGTAGGGTCGAACTAACTAACTAAATTAATTCCCTTGTTTCATTAATGTTCGTTCGTTATAGTACTTCTACATATTTAACTTAAAATAACTAAAGACCCCCGGGATGGAATTTGATGCGCTTTGACAGAGATGATCTTGACTATAATACCTTTCAAACAAATGTAGTTTAAGCCGTGGCGGACTTGGGTGCAGCGTCCATACATTTTTGCCCAATGTCCTTTACATTCACTTTACCATAAAAATTCTTGAAATGAGGAAAATCACAGACGTAATTTAGTTTTAAATTTTTTTGAAATGTGGTAGATCATCAAATCGTTATAGTATGATAGTTATTTTAAATAAACGATCAAATATATCGGAATTCCACTAACGCTGCTTGAAAAAGTTATCATTTTCATTGATGAACCCAAATTACCTGTTGAAATAACGAAGGTTAAGAAAGTTTTAACGAAGAATTTTGTTTTTTTATTATTATAATTCAATAATGTGGCAGCACCCTTCATATTTTAGGTGACGTCCTCCTATCAGCGGGCTTCATAGCGTATCTCGGACCATATACTGTTAACTACAGGAGAGAAATTATATCTGTTTGGAACGCACGTACAGCAGAACTGAGTAAGGCATTGGAATCAGTAAACTTATTTAAGGTTTTTTACTTAAAATTACTCCTTAATTTAGTACTTGTGTTTTAATTTTGTATGTTGTAGTTATGTTACGTCAGCGTGAACTATAAATCTGTATAGATACACAGAGTTCACAATTTACAGCTAACTTAGTACATAAGATGCAAATACATATAAACATGGCTCTTAGTTATCAAGCGACACACTGGTACTTTGATTCCTCTTCTCCCATCACTAATAACCAAAGTCATAAGAAAAAGAGTAATTAAAGTACCCGGCCATTTATAAGTCGCATCGAGCTTTAGAAAGAGATACTCGGCTAGCTTCGGCTTCGTATAGCGCCATCTCTGTCACCCTTGTCAACCTGACCTTTAGTCGTTGACTTGTCAGTCGTAGTTCAACGTCGCTAGAGAGCAGTCGCGTTCTTCTTAAAATATATATACAGAGTTGTAAAACAAATATAAATATTACGTGGAAGAAAAAAAATAAGGATGATGACGGCAGTAATTATTTTATGAGACGCTTCGCACATTATCTATTAGTTTTTTTGTATTTGGTTGGAAATAAAAATTACAGTTTTTCATTAAAATAAATAAATTAACATACATAGTACATATATGTTGTCTTTTACCTACATATTTTCTTTTTGTATTGATTTCTAAAAAAACTTAAAAAAAAGTTTTAGCAGCTCTTAATAGGTACCGGACTGTTAGTGTTTTGTGTGACAGAGATGACGCCCTACAAAGCCGAAGGTAGCCGAAGCTAGCCGAGTATCTCTCTCTAAAGCACAATGCGACTTATAAATGACCTGGTACTGTTAACTTCTTTGAGCATAAAACTGAAATCTCTTATCTATTAGACAAGTCCGTCCGTCTGTCTGTCTGTGGTGCTGTTTCAGCGGCCAAACCGTAAGAGATAGATAAAGAGAATATTTAAGTTATAAGTTAAGAATAGTCTGATAAGACTACAAACCGCATTTGAGTAACGTAGCACTTCCGGTTTTCAAGAAATCACGAATTTCAAACGAAACCACACAAAATCTCCGAAGTTCTCAATTAATTAAATACATTTTTTTTTAAATCAGGTTTTGGTGAACATTTGGTTCACTGGTTTGCTAGTTTGTTTTAATTGTAGATATACCGTGTTCGGAGGTATTCTCCCTGGTGCAAACGCTTGGCGAGCCGGTGGTCATACGAGCGTGGAACATAGCCGGGTTACCGGTAGACGCCTTCTCCATAGAGAACGGCATCATCGTCGAGAAGTCTAGACGATGGCCTCTTATGATTGATCCACAAGGTAATTGACTCGACTTCGACGCTATAACTGAGATCGCGGCATCTTAGTTTCTCAGACGTCTATTTAGTAATCACCACTGGATTACCGGTGGACTCCTTCTCTATAGAGAACGGCATCATCGTCGAGAAGTCTAGACGATGGCCTCTTATGATTGATCCACAAGGTAATTGACTCGACTTCGACGCTATAACTGAGATCGCGGCATCTTAGTTTCTCAGACGTCTATTTAGTAATCACCACTGGATTACCGGTGGACTCCTTCTCTATAGAGAACGGCATCATCGTCGAGAAGTCTAGACGATGGCCTCTTATGATTGATCCACAAGGTAATTGACTCAACTTCGACGCTATAACTGAGATCGCGGCATCTTAGTTTCGCAGACGTCTATTTAGTAATCACCACTGGATTACCGGTGGACTCCTTCTCTATAGCGAACAGGATCATCTTTGAGAAATCCAGACGATGGCCTCTAATGAATGATCTACTAGATAATTGACTCAACTTCAACCGGTTACCGGTGAACGCCTCCTCTATAGAGAATGGCATCATCCTCAAGAAGTCCAGACGATGGCCCTTCATGATAGATCCAGATGGTATGGACTTAACTTCGAAACTAAAACTGAGGCTGCGGCAGCTTAGTTTGTCAGTCGACCTCTTCAGGAAGATATAAGTATTGTATAATTATTATCTCCAGCCTGAATTTATGAAGAATCTGAAAATCTATCTATCAATTTTATAAAGCGTCGGCCACAATTGCGCATCATCAACAGCCGCATCAATCCATCAAATTTTAATTAAGCATAGTTAAGCAAATCTATATATATAAAACTCAAAGGTGACTGACTGACATAGTGATCTACCAACGCACAGCCCAAACCACTGGACGGATCGGGCTGAAATTTGGCATGCAGGTAGATGTTATGACGTAGGCATCCGCTAAGAAAGGATTTTGACCAATTCTACCCCCAAGGGGATAAAATAGGGAATGAAAGTTTGTATGAAACTTTGTCAATTTTAAACCGATCGGGCTGAGACTTTGCATGCAGGTATAAGAAGAATCATAGATGAATGTCATTGTGTATAATACAAGCCTGAGAACAAAAACTGTAGTCTACACTTCAGCTCTAGGTACACCGAAGCGAAGCGAGGGCGGGCCGCTAGTAAACAATAAATATTTTCTTTCTACTCGGAGCTCACGACAGTGCAAGGAAAATCAAGCTAAAACTAATTTTCTGTTACAGAGCAAGCAAACAAATGGGTCAAAAACATGGAACGCGATAACCAGTTGAAGGTGATAAAATTAACCGATCCAAACTACGTGCGTGTATTGGAGAACGCCATTCAAATGGGCCTTCCTGTGATCATGGAAAATATACGGGAGCAACTAGATGCAGTTCTGGAACCTATCTTACTTAGGAATATTTTCAGGTAACAAAAAAGACTGGGCAGCTAAACATATTCCTCATTATTCCAAAACGCGGACTAAAGTTAGTTTTGGTTTAATACTAATTTTCTCCTTTTTAGTAAACCAAAGTGACAGCATCAGTTTTTAGTCCAGGATCAACTTTATTCTACTTTTTGTAAAAAGGGGGATTAGGTCCAAATAATATAAGTCTGGCATCTTCGAGAGTGAGGAGGAGGATGTGAGGATGTCTATTACATTGAGGAGCTCGATGGCGCAAGTGGTTAGCGCGTTCGGCTGCGATCGTTGAACTAAAGCAACTTTCGCAGTGGTCGGTCATTGGATGGGTGACCAAAAATTACTATCTCGTACTAATTACTTATAATAAAATTAACTCCTCCGTGCTTCGGAAGGCACGTTAAGCCGTTGGTCCCGGCTGCATCTGCAGTCGTTAGCACCCACCAATCCGCACTGGGCGGGCCCACCACGCGGGCGTGGGGGCCAGGGGGGACATTAATAGGCTGATGATGATGATGATGATGATGATGATGATGATGATGATGATGATCTTCGAGTTATGAATATTGTGTCCTTTGATGCAGTGCAGTTAATCGCGCTTCTTATCTTTTACCACCCACAAACTCAGCCAATCTGTGGAGCTGGCTCATTTCTCTCTGCTCGAGGTCTTACCCACTAAAACTCCGGAATGTAGGCATTCCTTACTTGTAACGACGACTTGATATTCTTATCTTCTTCTTCTTTTGATATTAAATCTTAAAATCTGAAAGGCACAACGATTCGTTTCGTTTAAATCCAGGTGCAAAATGCTGCAACCAATGTTACTTTATTAATGGCTTTATCACCTTTTTAGATCGGGAGGAATCGATTGCTTGAAATTGGGGGACAACATACTGGAATATAATCACAGTTTTAGGTTTTACATAACAACTAGGCTGAGCAATCCACATTACCTGCCAGAAGTAGCTGTTAAGGTATGTAATTTACCCGCATATTTCTTCCTTTTAAAAATCCTTCCTTTCGCTGCTAAAATACGCTCTTGTATAGAAATATGCAAATAAATAAAAAAAAAACATCTATCCATCCATCCATCGGCCTTTCTCCGTCCACTGCTGGACATAGGCCTCCCCCATAGAACGCCAAAATGCGCGGTCCTGCGCTATCCGCATCCAGCGGCTCCCAGCACATTTGACGATGTCGTCAGTCCACCTTGTTGGGGGCCGCCCCACGCTGCGTCGTCCGGTACGTGGTCGCCACTCGAGGACCTTTCTTACCCAATGGTTGTCAGATCCTCGAGCGATGTGGCCTGCCCATTGCCACTTCAGTGTGCTAACTCTTCGGGCTATGTCGTACACACCGTTCCTTTTACGGATCTCCGTATTTCGGATCTTATCACGTAGGGAAACACCGAGCATAGCCCTCTCCATAGCACGCTGCGCGACTCTGAGTTTTGTTAAGAGACCGACATTCAGAGACCAGAGAATAAAAAAATATACAGGATGTAAAAAAACCTACGACAAATACTAAAACTACGCATTCTGTACACCCAAACAAGTAATATTACAAAATATTATAAGTGGGAATCATTTGAATTTTTAGGTTTAAAAAATACAATACGTAATGCATAGCGCGGCGTGCTACTGTAACGTACGCAAAGAATGTGCCTGTGTGTGCGTGTATGTAAGTGCGTCGATGAAAAAGTTTCTAAATAACGTTTTGAAAATGTTAATGTAAAAAAATTGTAAAACAAATTGTGACTATGACCTTCAATATCTCCATAAAGGAGAATGCCCAATCATGGGCCCCTTTTGAGGTTTCTTGTGCCTCATTCAAATATGTACCTAAAAATCGAATTTATATTTTGATGCTGGTGACATTTATATCGTAATTTTTTTCACCCTGGGTATTAAGTTATAATTAATTAGATATTTGCCCAATTTCCGGTTGACATATTTTTTTTTAATCACTCGATTTTTATCTTCATTGGTACTCAAATGATTTTTGTCATTCGAGTTACTCAATGGCATAAGCAGGATTACCCCCCCCCCCCGTATTAGTTCAATCGTATTAAGTCGATGCTATTTTTTAAGGTAGGGTTTTGGTATTGGCATTGCCCCATAAAGCCCATAATGCACCACCACCACCTAGCTTCGGCCCTGACCGGCTGCCTGATAGCTCACTGAAACATTATTGTGCTTTTATACATTATAATATATTATGCAAGTTTATATCAATATAGTGATGTAGATAGGACCTAGTTAAGAAAAGCATGGAGAAAATGTTAATGTCAAGCTATTTTATAACCTCAATTTCCACAACAGAAAATAAATTATATCTCGTGAACCAGGGTGACTAAATTGGAAATTCCTTTTGAATGTGAATATAGCGTATTTTTCCTACAACCTCCAACAACAAACTTCAGGGCACAACTATTTTTCAAAGGGGGCCTAAGTCTCCTTACTAAATGGGCATTCTCCTTTCCCAGGTATGGTCCAGAAGAAAAAAAATATCGTCATTATGTGGAAAATACGTGGCCTTCGACTTCGTTAAAGGATTTTTTACACCATGTATGTTGATTAACAAAGTAACTATAATCGCAGGTGACGATGCTGAATTTCATGATAACGCCGCAAGGACTTCAAGACCAATTACTCGGCATCGTGGTTGCGCAGGACCGGCCTGAATTAGAGCTCAAGAAAAACCAGTTGATAGTTGAAGGAGCCACCAACAAGCGCACTCTAAAAGAGATTGAAGATAAAATCTTAGAGGTTTATTTATTTCTAAAATTCATCATTAACTTGTTTCGTCATCCCTAAACAAAAAAAAAACACTAAGCTTTTGCTCCTTTGCGTCGCTTCGTCAAATAACAAGTTGTTAAATTACTATATTTTTATTTTGAGCATTTAACTGCTAGATGTTTAAATCTTGCTAATAGGGTATTTGACAAGTTTTAGAAAACGATCTCACGTTATTGAATAATGTTTATGGAGTCCGTAACAAGTGGATATTCATAATTCTGTTATGTATTTCAGTAAAAATAACAATGTCAAAAACTCCATTTTCAAGTTGCCGCGAAAACGTTTCTCTGGACAATATGGCGTCTTACTACTGTGTGACGTCACACGACTGTTATTAAAAGGACAAACGATACAATGTAATGTCACTTTAAACGGAAGTTTACTTGCGTGTGACGTCATTTTAGGCTCCGCCAATCCCAAGCGTTTTGGGTCACGTGACAATAGATAAGAAAACTATTATCTTTTTCGTGAGTTTATAGTAAAATTGTGAATATTTTTTTCGTAAAAATCTCTGCCAATATTCATTCTAAACACAGATGCTAACAATTGGCACTTTATTTTTAATACTGTCAAATACCCTATACTACACGTTTTTAATTTAAAGAGCAAAAGATTTGTATGTTTGTAACGAATAAACTGAAATCTACTGGAATGATTGAAATTATTCTTTCACCATAACTGTGATGAAATAAAGTTACCCGTTCAAAAAAGAACTAATCTAGTGTAATGTAAATTTCACGATTCATTTACCATTTTAAGGTATTATCATCAGCGGGTAACATCTTAGAGGATGAATCGGCAAATCAGATTTTGTCCTCGTCCAAGGTGCTATCGATTGAGATCGAAGCTAAGCAAGCAGCAGCTGCCATTACTGAAAAGGAAATAGACGAAGCTCGTCTATTATATGTTCCTGTCTCCAAACACAGCTCTGTGCTGTTCTTCTGCATCTCTGACCTGGCCAATATCGACCCTATGTACCAGTACTCTCTTAACTGGTGAGGACTTCAACTGTGTGTATATTGTAGATATAGCAGCTCTGTAGGGTATTCGAAGCAGTCAGAATTCTCCAACCGACTTTTAGCCAAAGAGGTTCAATTGTTTAGTATATTTGGTAGTCTAAAGTAGTTTTGTCTATATTAATTAAAGATTTTAATCATGCAACTATCAAAACCGTGCCAATGTATAGTTGAATCCACTCATGAAAAAGATTCTTTTTCCAGAAAGATATATTTTTAAACTTTCGTACAAAGTTAGGATAAACAAGCAATTTTTTACTTACTTCAATATAGAGATTTTCTTTGAAACAACGGCATAATTTTTCGCTGCTCGACAATAAAAGTCACTTTAAGTTAAAAAAATAAAGTACTTTTCCACTTTATCATCAAAAAAAGATCAAAATCTACTGATTTACTCTACACTCGACTTGATATTATGTACAGGTTCATAAATCTTTACAACCAAGCAATCCTAAACTCACCCAAAAGTGACAACTTGGACGAGCGGCTATCCAGCCTGAATGCATATTTTACCAAGAGCATCTATGAAAACGTCTGCAGGAGCCTCTTCGAGAAAGACAAGCTGATCTTCTCCTTGGTGTTGACTCTCGGTATACTCAGGCCAAAGGTTTGTTATTAAGTTCAATACTTGTGATAAATATTGTTAAATTGTTGACCCTTCTTGAGTTCTATCAAATAAATTTGCCAAAACCCGCGATGTAAGTTTGACCTTTTTTTCTGATGATTACGTATTATTATGATGACCAGGGCGCCATCGATGATGAACTGGTAGCCTTCCTACTGACAGGCGGTGTGGCGTTGGAAAATCCCTTTGAAAATCCAGCTCCTAGCTGGCTCTCCGAGAAATCTTGGTCTGAAATTGTGCGCTCCAGTAATCTAAACGGGTATTGCATTTTTTATTTATGATAATTTCTATTTTTATTGTACTAATTAGTTTGATGAATGCTTAATATTTCCGGATTTACAGACTTCGTGGATTTAAAGATAATTTTGAGAATAACGTGCAGGCCTGGAAAGACTTTTATGATCTAGCAGCTCCCCACGAGAACCCCTTCCCAGCTCCCTACGAAAATATTACAGGAATACCGAAACTTATAATATTAAGGTAAGGCTTACTAAATGGCTGTAGAGAAAGATAAAATTAATAAACTTATGTTTTTCCTTTAACAAAAATAAGGCTTTTCAAAACAATTTTAATAGATGATGTCATATCAGACCAATATTCTGTAAGAAACTTTTGAATCAAGTTTGTCTTAGTGGGACAGAGAAATATGTTAAAAAAGTGTAAGGTCTTAGTTTTCTGCTCGGAGATGTGGCGCACGCAGGTGCGTCGGCCCCGAGACGCCCCCATATGGGCGTAGGAGGGTACCGGGGGGTTTTAGTGGAGTAGGATCAGTGTGGCCTTCCGCACTGGTCCTGCTCGAGTAGGGTCGGCACTGTTTCCCGTGCCGGCGAGTCCCACACACGCCGTGCGCCTAGTCAGCGTCACGGTATGGTGCGTAACTGCATTTCCCCTCGTCACAAAAAAAAAAGGTCTTAGTTTTCTAATCACCGATTACGTGCATGCAAATGTGATAGCTAATACTCTTTTTAATGTTAATTTATTTTTTCCCAAGATGCATTCGTCCCGATAAATTGATCCCATTGGTCCAGCAATACGTGGTCGAAGAAATGGGTCGGCCTTACATAGAACCGCCTCCCTTCGACTTGGAGAAGTCTTACAATGACAGTAACTGCTGCTCTCCCCTTATATTTATTCTCTCCGCGGGCTCCGATCCTATGTCGGGATTGGTCAAATTCTCAATGGAGAAAAAAGTCGTCAGCTTTGAGACCATCTCGTTGGGACAAGGGCAGGTATGTACCTTCTAATGAAATGACAATCATTTTAACTTCACGTCTTTTTTAAATCTGTATCTATTTTTGCTATCTTGGTATACTGATAGAACAAAAATTAATTGTAGATTATTCTATTTTTACGCATTTTATTGCTACATGTTTAATCCAAAGATAATTTTACTAGAAAAAATCCGGGCGAACAACGGAAGGTGGGTGCAGTCCGAATCCCGTGTAAAACCTGGTAAAAATGCTTTTTTTTTCCTGTAAATTTGTCTTTAGATTTAAAGATCAATTGTATTTGAGGTAGATAGATTGAAATTTTAACAATAACCTTTATTTCTTGCAGGGTCCGATCGCAGCGAACATGATAAACCAGGCGATAGCCACCGGCGGGTGGGTGGTGCTTCAGAACTGCCACGTGATGGAGTCGTGGATGGGCGAGCTGGAGCGGATCTGCGCCGAAGTGATCGTGCCGTCGGTCACCCATCACGCTTTCCGCTGCTGGCTCACCTCTTACCCAAGCCGGGCCTTTCCCGTCACCGTGCTGCAAAATGGTATCTCTAAGTATACTTGTCATCTGCGCCCATTGGCTTACGGCAAAGGCTTTTTCCCAGGAAAGGCAAACTAATATTCATTCTGTACCCTTAGTACGAGTTTGAGCTCACGAAAACTATCATAGTTTTCGTAATTGTAAATAATGTTTCTATGACCATTTATGTGAAATGTAACCAAATATTCTTAAAATTTAAGAAGACCCAAAAGATTTTATGATAGAATTTAAACACTGTTTATTTGTATTGAAATGAAAACAATAAAATCAGTACCCTTAGTACGAGTGCGAGCTCACGAAAACTATCATAGTTTTCGTAATTGTAAAACTCGTTCTAAGGGTACCTACTGTAAATAATTTATAAGCTTTAAATACATTTTTCAACATTCTAATTTTAGGCTAGACAGAGAGGTTCCTAGGTTGAGCATTGCCCACTGTCAAATACAGCCATGCTTATGTCGTAGGATAATCGTACTGCAGAAAGGTAGTTAAACTTGACATCTGCAATCTGCGGTCGCAAAGTGAATTGCATCTACAATCGCCTAAGTAACGGAAGGAACAAAACCCTATTCGCAATTTGTCACACTTCTGTTACTATCCAAATGCTTTAAAGAAAAGCGCAACTGCGCGAACTGAACAAAAAAATAGGGATGGCGATTCCTTCCGAAAAAGATCGATTTTTAAATCGATTCGAATCGTGCCCTAATGAATCGATCCACAAAAAAATCGAGGCCAATAAGATCGATTTCTGAAAAATCGATCTTTTTTTGGAGTTTTTGTTTATAAATCTATTTTGAAGTGAAACTTCTTTAGGCACGCTGGACTTGGGTGGTAAACATACAGCCATCTCGCGAGTTTTTGAATAATTAACCCTTTAACCAACAGCACTCTTATATTGCGGGTATATTCGATTAATTGTAAATACTTTTTTAGTTTATACCAAAAAATTAAATAAAATCAACTGTCGATTTTCAAGGGTGAAATATAGATTCTATGATTCGATTCAGTACTACATATCGATTTTTAAATCGATCTTTTTGGCACCATAAATCGATTCTTCGATTAATCGATCTCAGATCGCCATCCCTACAAAAAAAACGCATTTCTATACCCATCGAGCCGAGCTTCAATCACATCAATTGTGTATCCAGGTGTCAAAATGACCAACGAAGCGCCAAAAGGGTTGAAGAACAACATCTATCGATCTTACATCTCTGACCCGATATGTGATCCGGAGTTCTACATATCATGCCCACGCACAGAAGAGTGGCGGCGGCTACTGTTCGCGCTGTGCTTCTTCCATGCTATAGTGCAGGAGAGAAGAGCGTTCGGACCGCTCGGGTGGAACATACAGTACGAGTTTAACGAAAGTGACCTGAGGATATGCGTCATGCAGCTACAGGTCAGTTTTTAGGCTATTACACAATGTGGCGATACACAAAGCACCGTTTCATTATCATCAGCCTATTAATGTTCCCACTGCTGGGGCACAGGCCTTTCCTCTTTTTTTAGTTTATTAAGGTCAACAGTTTTACAATTAATCTTCAAAAATCTTTTATAAATAATTATAACACCAAGTTTTTATAATTGCAAAACCAACACCGTTAACCACAAGTTACTTTCAATGTTTCTTGAGAGTTACCACGTGAAAAAAGTTCTTACATAAAAAAAATTACATACTTTTCTACCTTTCTGCTTCAAAATTACTTATGGACGGTATAGCGAAATTGGGTCATTACCCACCACGCGGGCCCAGTGCGGATTGGCGGGTGCTCATGACTGCAAATGCAGCCGGGACCAACAGCTTAACGTGCCTTTCGAAGTCCGGAGGAACTCGCGATAGAAGATTTTTGGTCACCCATCCAATGACCGACCAATATGAAAGTTGCTTAACTTCAACGATCGCAGCCGAACGCGCTAACAACCTGCACCATCGAACTCCTCGCACCGATTACTGTCAAAGATATTTCATTACCAAGAATCCTCCCCGAACAATAGTACAAAATAGTTCGTTCTCACGTGTTTGATTGAAATTAGTTGACTCACTCACTGCCGGATTTAGGGGAGGGCAACCGGGGCGAAAGCCCCGGGGCCTCCACAAACGGGGCGCCCCCATAATAGAGACTTCGGAAAAAAAAACTTTCAAATTCCAACTAGTAAACACTAGTAAACTTCTTTTCCTTTGATATTTTTTTTTGCTCTTTTACCTTTACCTACAGCCTACAGTACTTTGTACATCTAACATACATGATTATTTGATTATATTAATCTCAGGGCCGAATCAAAGGCAGGGCAGGTGGGGCTGTGGCCCAGGGGCCTCCACAACAGCTTAAGAAATAACAAAATTTCGATGGGTCAACAAGCATACAAATCCTAAGTGGCCCGGGGCCTCCACAATCCTAAATCCGGCCCTGGACTCACTACGATGCTGCTTTCGCGACAGATGTTCCTAACGGAGTACGCCGAGACCCCGTTTGAGGCGCTCAACTACCTCGCCGGCGAGTGCAACTACGGCGGCCGCGTCACCGACGACAAGGACCGCCGGCTCATAATGTCACTGCTGTCCATCTTCTACAACGATGACGTCACCACGGAGCCCGAGTCAGTACACATATGGGTACGGCCAGAGTGCACTCAGATTCAGATTCAGACTCAGAAAACAAAGCGCGAGAAAAAGCAGGCAACCTGCTTAGACTACACTGTTTATTTCTCGCGCTTGTTTTCGAAATCTGAATCTGAATCTGAATCTGAGTGCACTCTGGCCGCACCCTTAGGCTTTATATAGGGTTTATTCCGTAATATATACCAGTATACTGGCCAGTGCTAATGACGTTATGAATCGACGCTATACTGGTGAATTGTTCCGAAATATATTGGCCAGTGCACTGAGACTGTCATAAATCGACGAAATATTAAAATAGTGCGAATAAAGATGATTTTTTATTCACTTCATCAATTGAAAGGAATTATTTTTGTTCGGATGCCATTATTGTTCTTTAAATAAAAGAGAAATAAAATTCGAATGCATCTCACCACGTACGCTCGGTCATACATCATAATCGTTTTCCCGGTAAAAACATGGTAGCATACCAGTACAATATGGCGTCGGATTCGTGACGTCATTACCACTGTCCAGTATCACAGAATATGTACACTACCAGTATACTGATGTATATTTCGGAATACACCCATAAACGAGCGGCTCGTGTATATGACCCATCAATGACGTTTCGGATCAATAAGACGACCAAACGACTTGAACACATCAAAAATTTTGCTTTGTGCCTTCGAGATTTGCTCTATTCTAGACTATTTTGCGATAAATGTTTCGCAATTGAGTTTTTAAAACTTGCGTTTAGCAGTGTTCAAGTTAGCTATTAAAGTAAAAGGTGGAAAAGTAAGAATCAAAATACTAATAATTGTAAAGGTATTCATTAGACATTATCGTTTACCTACAATGCGAAGAGATGGCGCTGCCTTGCAGCTTATAGAAGGCTAGAAAGAATTCGACACGGCCTTCAGGGCCGCTGTAGCGTAATGGTCAGTGCATTCGCCGAGGTGCGGGTTTTACTCCCGTCTGCTGCCTGGTCTGCGTGGATTTTTTTCTAGTTATATTTTCTTTAGATTTAAACATCGAGCAGTTACATGCTTAAAAAATAAAAATTATAAGTAAGAATCAGTTAAAAGGAATTGATTCATAGAGGAACTATAAATTTTATCAATGTTAAGAATTCTAAATGATTGCATATCTCAATTTCCAATTATATTATAACTAGTGGCCCGCCCTCGCTTCGCTTCGGTGTAGAACTATAGTGTAAACTATAGTTTATGTTCTCAGGCTTGAATTATGACTTTCTTCATATAATTATAAACCTTCCATGAAAATTTAATAAAATTACTAATATCATAAAACTGGAGAGTTTGTTTTTATAGTTTATTTGTGAGCTTCCGTTGCTTGCACTGGGTAAACGTATAAAGGTACACAAAATATTATGTATGGCGGAATTCCTAAAAATTTAAAATTTCTATAAAAAAGTCCGCGACAGCATATGTCTATCTTTTAAGTTTGACTTAATATAAACCTTTTTCCTCAAATTAACGCGGGTGAAACCGCAAAGCACCTCTTGTTGTGACATTACTGTAATAGTCAGACATGTAGGGTGTATTCCGCAATATATACCAGTATACTGGCCAGTGCTGATGACGTCATGAATCGACGCTACACTGGTGAATTGCTCCGAAATATAATGACCAGTGCACTGACGTCATAAATCGAGGAAATATCAAAAATAGCGCGAATAAAGATTTTTTATTCACCTCATTAATTAAAAGGAATTCTTTTTGTTCGGATGCCATTATTGTTCTTTAAATAAAAAGAAATAAAATTAAAATGCATCTGACGCACGCTCGATCATATTCAAATGTCATATTAGTTTTCCCGGTAAAAATATGGTAGCATACCAGTACAATATGGCGTCGGATTCGTGATGTCATTACCACTGGCCAGTATACTGATGTATGTTTCGGAATACACCCATGGTATCGCGAATTTTTTTTTAGATGATGATGTCCTCTATAAAACTTTAGTACATCATCTTGCTCTACTGTCAATGACTTCCGCAGTGTAAGCGATATAAGGTTATTTTTTGGTATTTTTTTCACACCGTGGGTTACGGTATCGAAGTTTTCGTACGGAACCCTAACTTTTTTGGAAATACTCTATAGCCTATGTTCATCAGGGATAATGTAGGATTCTAATCGTGGAAAAATATTTCAAATCGGTCCAGTAGTTTCGGAGCCTATTCAATACAAACAAAAACAATCAAATCAATGTTACCCCTAAGTATTTTTTAAATTCCCCTAAAATCCCCTAAATATACAATTTTTTAAGTACCTAATTATTACCCAAATTCTTTCGTTGCTCATAAATTAAAACGTTACTTAATTAGTTACAGCAAATTATTTTATTGAATAAATACAGTTTCCGAAAGGACAATCAAACGAAAATGAGCTGACAGACTGTTAAATCTTATTTAGCTGTTTTTTTAACTTTAGTCCATACAGCCTTAGGAAACAACCCGCCACACAGTTCAGTCGTTTCATGTCGTGGTGCGTTCCATTCTACGCACAAAACTGTAAGAAAACACATGCTTTGTTTTTCGATTAAATTGCAAGTTTTGATAAAAGCCCCTAAAAGAACCCCCAAAAAATTCTAGCCCCTAAAAAAGTCCGTTTTAACACTTCTAGCCCCTAAATCTGGGGGCAAAACCCCTAAGTTGGGAACCGTGAATCAAATCTTTCTTCTACATAATATTAGTATGGATTAGCGGCCTCCCGCGACTACATCCACGTTAAATTTGGTTATAATGAGAAATCCACAGGAACTTATTTTTCCGGGATTAAAAGTATCTTATGTCTCAATCTAGGTCATAAACTAAAGAAAGATAAGATGTTTCAGTAGGTGAGTCCACATCAAAGAAACTCAACTCCTATTTGACGACCTCCGTGGCCAAGTGGTTTGTACGCCGGATTTCAAGGTGTCGCCCTCGAGAGGTCCCGGGTTCGAATCCCGGTGGGGGCAGATGTTTGTGTGATGAATACGAGCATTTGTACTCCAGTCATGGATGTTTAATATGTATTTCTATCTAAATATACTTAAATATGTACTGTATATGTATTCTATCCGTTACCCTTGTATCCCATAACACAAACCTTACAGTGCTTACTTTGGGGCTAGGCTAATTGGTGTGAGTGTTGGAAATATTTATTTCGACGCGGTCCGTGAGGGCCGCGGTAGCATAATTGGTCAGTGCATTCGCCCGGATTGCGAAGGGTGCGGGTTCGAGTCCCGTCTGCTGCCTGGTCCGCGTGGAATTTTTTCTAGTTATATTTTCTTTAGATTTAAACATCAAGCAGTTACATGCTTTAAAAATAATAAAAATTATAAATATTTATTTATTTATTTCTGCGCCAGCTACTCATTCTCCCCGAGCGGCAATTACCGCATGCCCCCGAGCATGGACTACAACTCGGTGCTGGAACACATCCGCGCCTTGCCGCATATCGCCAAACCAGAGGTCTTCGGCCTTCACGACAACGCTGACATTACCAAAGATAATAAGGAAACGGCTTCGGTAAGATATTACGAGATATTCCATATCCAGGATGGCTGAGAATTCGATGCAGTTTGCACTAAATATGATCGTTGTGTGGACACGCTTAAAGTTGTTGATCGCCTTGTCTATAATTTCAGACTTAATTCGAAACATTTTGATTGCGCGTGCGATTGATAAATGGCGATATAGTACAAACAAGAAAATCGAAATTTTTGTCTTCCCGAGACTAACTCCAATGTTTGTGGTTATTATAATTGAACCCAACTATTATCACTAATCAGTACGTATAACGTCTACCGTTGGTAAGTTGCCATAACCACACCAAAACTAACCCAGGTATACCAGTTTATGCCTGGCCCATTCATTATACCTTCACCTTTTCACTCCTAATAGCGTTAAAAACTCAAACTGGGGAGATATAACGTATTCTTCAACTACTTTTGTCCAAATAGCTGATTTTGCCAAAACTACACCAAAACTAACCCAGGTACACCAGTTTATGCCTGGCCCATCCATTTAGGCTTGTTGAAAATATATCGATGTATCGATATATCGATATTTTTTGCCGATATATTTTGATTCGATATATCGATACAAAATAACCAATATCGAAATTCGTATCAAAAACATATTTTTTTAATTATTACCGGCATATCACGATCTAACTAAATTCGTATCTGGAAAAATCGTAACTAGATCTCAGATTAATGATATTCAACATATCTATGATCTGTGCTGTATTTAGTATTGTCTATTATTTGTAAATCTGTTTCGCTGGTGAATTGGTTGTGCTGATTTCCATTATATTCTGTGGAAGTGTGTGACTGTCTAGTCTTGTTTACGAAAGATGGCACCTGAGAGGCCCTGGCATTGGCATTTTCATCATTCGAAAATAGGGTCTATTTTTAGGGAGATAATTTTCGTTCCATTATTATTCCGCGTGTCATATTTCGCGAGATACTGTACTGTCATGTAGTGTAGCGGCAATTTGGTACTTTGATAATTCTTTCTTTAATTATAATTTGTATTGAACTATTATTACTATGCTAGGCTGACCTAAATATATTTTTGGAAAAATTGGCCCGATATATCGATATTTTTTCGCGATATATCGAAGCCGATATTGATACATTTTAAAATATCGATGTATCGATATATCGATATTTTTTTCAACTTTCGACATCCCTACATCCATTATATCTTCACCTTTTCACTCCTAATAGCATATAAACTCAAACTGGGGAGATATAACGTATTGTTCAACTACTTTTGTTCTAAATAGCTGATTTTGCCGGGGAAGATTTAAAGATATTGCTCAGTCTCATCTTTGTTTCAAATAGCTTTTGTTCGGCTGCCTGCTGACCCAGACGTCCATAGTAGCAGGCGGAGGGGGCGAGGGTGGCGCGGAGGGTGGCGGCGTGGTGGAACTCACGCGAGACATGATGTCTCGTCTACCACCACAATACGACGTGTTCCAAGTGTCGCAGAAGTATCCCGTACAGTACTACAACAGTATGAACACGGTGCTCAAGCAGGTAAACAGTGCTGACCCAGCGGTGTGCGGATTTGGACCAGTGCACGTTGAGCCCAGTGAGAATTGGCCCAGTTTGGATTGAGCCCTATTCGGATTGGGACCAGTGCAGATTGAGCCTAGCGCGGATTGGGACCAGTGCACATTGGCCCTGTGCGGATTGGGCCCGGTAAGGATTGGGACCAGTGCGGATTGGGCATAGTGCGGTTCGGGCGTAGACAGCACGTTAACAATGATTTTTCATAGACTTTTATACTTTTCTGCCCGCTCAGCGTGTTAACAATGGATTTCCATACACTTTTCCAAACGCTTAGTGGTCAGTAATGAGGCCCTTTCTGCTTTTTTTTTGAGAATAACGTACTTTCCGAGCATGTGTAGTATAAAATAAGTTGGCAGCCCTCTCGCACTTTTCAAAAGTACCCTTAAGGTATCCTAAAGATGACAGCGGCCTGTGCCCAATCAGTAAGGACATTGATAAGCTGATTTTGACGTGGTACATCAGGTACCAATACTCAGAGGTCCTTGGTTCGAATCCCGGTGGGGCAAATGTTTGTATGATTAATCCGAACATTTGTGCTTATTGCGGCTTTTTTTATTATAAACCTATATTTCTACAAAAATGTATTCTTATATTTGTACTATCGCCATCCATTACCATTGTATTCCATAACACATGCCTCAAAGAGCTTACTTTGAGGCCAGGTTAAATGGCGTGACAGAAATATTTATTGAGTATGATTACTTATATATGTGTGGTCTATGTATGTATGTTGTGACATATATGTATATTAAATGTATATAATCTTATAGCAATATTATGTGAATACATAGGTATTATGTATGTATGGATACGTAAGTATATATACTTAATATAATTATATTTTATATCCCTTGTTTCTTTTAATAACACCACCGACGTCAGTTCCTTCCGATCCTCTCCATCCAAAGGTTCTTTGGAAAAAATCTCTTTTGGCGATAAGACCGCCCATTGAAGCACTAGGTATGTTTACACACAATGTATTAACCTCATTTATGTACTATGTCAGTCGCGGCACAAAACTCTAGCGCTGTCCGTTATTGCGCAGAAGTAAAAAATTAAGATGTGTTGGGGGGAAACGAGGTGCGCGGGTGGGCGTGCGTTGCGCCGATTGTCTCTCCAGTCGTACCCATGCGCAGCTATCCCCCCAGCGTTTGTTTCAGCTAGAGTTATGTGTAGGGTGTTTTCAATAAAGAATTGTGTAATGTATTGTAATGATTATTACAGGAGTTGATCCGTTACAACCGCCTGCTAGCAGTAGTACGGCGCACGCTACACGGCGTCCACATGGCAGCTCAGGGGCTGGCCATCATGAGCGCCGACCTGGAGGAATGCAACAACGCCTTCGTCAAAGGCATCGTGCCCGGAGTGTGGATGTCCAAGTCCTACCCCTCCATGAAGTCACTGGGGTCGTACGTCGCGGACTTCTTGTCCAGGTTCTCTTTTGTCATATAACAGAGAAACCTCTTTGTGTTCAGTGGTTGTGCCCCACAGTTGCACCCATAGACATAGTATGGTTGCACCACCGTTATTAAGGGAAAGGAATGTGCGTGCCCTCCGAGAGACCAGGGTGGAAAACGTAAGTTTCATATTTTTTTTTATAGATAGTACCGACAAATGACTCCACCCCACCTGATATTAAGTGACGGTGAAGTCCAGACGTGAAGGTAGCTGGTACAGCAGTTCTACCTGCCACACCAGCCATCCTCACCTTGCCGGCCTGCATGTTGCTTCTTCACGCCTCTTTTAAAGGATCCCAGGTTGTAAGGAGGATACGTGAGCGGGCAGAGCATCCATTTACGGATAGTGCGACAAAGAACTGAGATATAGTTACATAAAGATATAGCAAGACCTTTAAAATAATTATAGCCAAAAGAATAAATTTGAAGCTGTACGGCTCACCGAATCTGGGCTCGCAGCAGACGATACGCTTTAATTTTCATATTACTGTATCCGATCAATTTAAATAATTTTGATGAAAGGTAATTTATTAAGAAGGAAAGTTGGACTACGTGCAAAATTTGAGCTCTGTTGAGTGACTACAAATAAAGAAAATCCAATCAGTTACTGGGCTCTCAGTTCTTACGTATTCAAAAGAACTAAAATTTTGTACGTAGTCCTACAAATTACCTCCTAAATATTACCTTCATCAAAATTATTTAAATTTGTCAGATACAGGAACATAAAAACCATGAATTAGGGACTGTCGTGTGAATCCTAGGGTGTTATGATAGTTTATGAACATGTAACAAAAAAAAATGGTATTTACAAACTCGTGACTATGGTAAGAACATACTTACATTCGCCTACTCGTTTTGTAATAACCAACTTAGCGCACTAATATCATAAATTTCGATGTTTTACGTAACGCTGACCTACCACGCAGGCACAGTGCAAATAGATGGGTATCAGCAGCGGGGAACAATGGCTTAACGTGCCTTACGAATCACGAGATCATAGGTACGTCTTGATCACCCATCCGATGACCGGCCATTGCGAAACTTGCTTGGCTTGCATTGTCGCAGACCGAGCGTGCCAACGCCAACCACTTGCGCCATCGAGCGAGCTCCTCTAGTACAGGAGCTCTATTTTTGAATCACTCGTCTGACATAGTATCGTCGAATGCGACATAAGTCACTTTCGACTTTCAAGTCGCATGATACTAATTTTCCGTATTTTTGAATCATTCGTCACCGGTGTTACCTGTTTAATACGAAATATGAAATTTTACGCATTTCACGCAGAAAAAATAAAAACCGGTAATTACCGCAATGAAAACTGAATAAATAAAAATTTCGTTGTCGTTTCATATAAAGCATGACAATGATAGATCATCTTCGTCTAATAGCACAAAAAAAATGACAATTATTCTATATTTCGCCTCCACCATTCGCCATGCAGCGAGTGGTCTTACCCATTCGTTGCACTCGAGCGATTCAAAAATACGGAATTAATTATGTCGAATGAAATTTAGTAGAAATCGAGCGTTCGACGCAAGACGAGTGATTCAAAAATAGAGCTCCAGGTCGCGGCACGTAACTCTAGCGCTAAACAAAACGCATCAGAGCGGGAGCACACGATGCGTTGGGACGGCGGTGCGGCAACGGAGCGGTGTCGCTGCGTCGTCTTATACCCGCCATACACACTACGATAAATCGTTACGATTAGACTGTACAGTCCGAACGGTACCGATAAATCGTAGCGTGTATGTTATATAACTGCACAGTTTCCTATACTAAACGAAATCGTATAAACTGTACCGTTCGAACTGTACAGTCTGATCGTAACGATTTCTCGTAGTGTGTATGGCGCGTATTACATAGAAATATCTGTGGCATGTAGCACGATGCGCTCCGGCGCCGCACCGGATTTGCAAGCATCGAGTCGAAGCAGGGAGGGGTGAATGCGTTGCGACGTCGAAGCGGCACCGCTCAGTTGTTTATAGCTCAGTTCCCTCGCTCAGCACCGCTCAGTTTTATATAGCGCCATAGAGAATGTACGCTGCTGGGGTGCCGGCGGCGCTGATACGATGTAATAACGTTGCGGCGCCGCACCGCTCGTGTACCCACCGATGCGGCGAAATCTTTGCGGTGCGGCGCCGCAACGCATCGTGTGCTCGCGCACTCAGGGATAGCTGCGCATGGGCACAGAATATATACACTACGCGAAAAGAAACGACACTTAAGCGTGTGTGCTCGTAAAATCGTCCGCGGCTATGTGTGGGTGTCTGGAAGTGTGCGGTGGCGTTGCGCGGCGCGCGGGGCGTAGATAGGGCAGTCGCCGACTGCCTCGACCGAAGGCATGGCAGTAGCGAATAGTAAAATAATAGCGTTGCACTGCATTGCACGCACGGACTGACTACGCTACGCAACCTTATTATTATTTAGATATTAATAAGAATTATAAAACGAATCGAAAAAGCAGAAAATATATAAGAGTTAGCAATTTGTAATAGTACCTACATTAAAAGATTAAAAATTGATTATAAAATCAAACCTATCCTTCATTACTTACCCCAGTATCCTTGAATCAGTTTACATTTAATAACTTACTATGCATTAATATTCATTGGCAAAGTCTAAATTCCAATTCGGTTCAACCCTTGCGCGTACACGCTCCTGCTCAAGGTCACTGACGCTGGAACTCTCACGTACAGAGTGTCACCGCTGTGGCATGGGTACGACTGGAGAGCCAATCGGCGCAACGCACGCCTACCCGCCCACCTCGTTTCCCCCTTAGACATCTTAATTTTTCTTCTGCGCAATATAGGTCAGCGCTAGAGTTTCGTGCCGCGACTTATATAAATTAAGAACATGGCTAATTTTCCTTAGGGTTTCTCAAAAATAATATGTACCAAAGATTTTATTTTGTAAATTTATTTTATCACAACACATTTAACTACAGCATGTATACACGTGTGTATACTATATAAATACACTTTGTACTCAGTCTGTTCTTGTACTGTAAAATGCTGTCAAAGCTACATTGTAGCGCTACAAAAAACAAAGGGCGAGACGGCAAGTAGCTATGACAGTCATAAAAAAGTTTTAAGGAAAATAGATAACAGTTTTACTACCGATTTTAAATTTTAAAGTCAATAGATACCTTGGCCACTACAGAGCCACGGCCCTGGTCAGAGACCGTTAAACGGCCGGACTTATAAACAATTTTATGCTCGTGTTAAGTGACGTTTTGTTTTATTAAAGAAAGAGGCAGCATCAACTTTATTCTTTTAACGATACAAATAAAACCATTCAATGATAGATACAAATTCGCAGTGGCGGATTAAACGTTGAGAGCGCCGTAGGCAAGCTTCTCAACGGCGCCCCTATATTAAAAATGAGTCGTACTATAGTTTGACCGAAACTGATCAGGTCGATGCGACGAACATTGCAGTCGTATCTTTCCAACTTTAATAAGAGAACATGTACAATCGACAAGGTTGTTTTCAGGTGTAAGTATTAGTCTATCCCATCGGTTAAATTAATCTTTTGTTAAATTATAGCAAAACAATGACAGACCCACCATACGCCTAGCGATACCCCCAGGGGTAGGGTGGGACTGAACCATACCACCTTAGTGCTGTGCACTATATGCTTTCAGGTTTTGTTTTACCGAATATTACGTAGGTACCTGGTGTCAATAGCATCCCATACGACATAGTATAAATATGTACTAATAATTCATTTTTACTTGATTGTTCTCAATAATAATCTTATCGTGTATTTATTTCAAGTATCCTTTTGTACGTAGTAAATGCAGTTAGTGCACAACGAAATCTTTTATTCTATTTTTCCATAAAATCCCAGCACTACAGCGGTGGTATGGTTCAGTCCCACCCTACCCCCAGGGGTATGGCTAGGGGTATGGTGGGTCTGTCATGTAGCAAACTGAGGTTGGAAGCAAAAATAATAGTTTTTATTGTGCATTGTGGCTTAATTACTGGCCCAAATAATTTTATGCCATATTTTTTTTCTTTATTTTACAATTCCGTCCGCGCGCCCCTTTGTACCCTCGCGCCCTTAGGCACATGCCTAGTTTGCCTTAAGAATAATCCGCCTCTGCAAATACGACACAGTCATACATCCAAAGCTGAAACAGACACAAATCCCTCCTTATCAAGAAACGGGGAATAGGCTTCGATTAGTTACTCGCATGTTTTGTTTCTGTTCATCGAGTGACAAATGACATTTTGAGTGATATGAACAAAACACGGCGTAACTAGTCTGAGCTTATTCCTCGTTTATTCATAAGGGGGTAGATGTTCCAACTAAGATTAAATTACCGCGTTTAGGGCCCTGCAGATTACTATTAAAAAGATACAGAAATACGGCACAACCAAAGTAACAGAGACAAGGTAATGACAGACAGTGGTGTCGATTCTGGCATGATTCTCTAAATTTAAATAATCATAGGTGTCGGCTCTGGCGTGATTCTCTAAACTTAAAACTAAATTTAACATCAATCTCTCCCTTTCATTCCGTATAGAGAATGAAAAGGATATTCTACTGTCAAAATTAAGTTTAGGTTTAGAGAATTATGTCAGAATTGACACCATAATCAAAATCATTTATTCAGTTTAGGCTGTTACAAGCACACATGAATGTCTAAAAGCTACGCCATCGGTTCTTAAATCTAGGGCTGTTTTTTTTCTCCCTGTTTTATTATTTTCAGTCATCAACTTTTCATTACATAATGTGAAATAAACATTAATTGTTCACCTGCATTTTAATTGCTGTGTCATACAGTATAATTACATATAGTGTTATTTATTATAGGTGTAACTAGACATTAACATCTTAAATATCAAAGTGGTTAGGGTACTCATCTCCTCTGGCAGCTCCCGTTCACGAGCATGACGCATGAACCAGCCATCGCTTCGCTCAACCATATTTTAGGGAACGTAACGACCCGCCTCACGACACCTATGAAGAGACTTAAGAGAGCATGACTACCCATAACCACCTATATTAACTAAAACATATTTACTTTACAAATTTGACAACAGTGTATCCTTGTCATTCTCTATACAGAATGTAAAGGAAAGAAAGATTTTAAATTTAGTTTTAAGTTTAGAGAGTCGTGCCCGAATCGACACCATTACCTACGTTAAATTGCCGCCTATAGAGCCCAGAAGATTCATATCAAATAAACGAATAGATGATAAATATTAATGATTTCTTACAACTAGCTATTAGGTAAATGAATGTTTTTAACATTTCAACTTCAACAAGAGTTGAGACGAATTTATATTTGTCTGACGTGTTGTGATGTCATGTGGGCACTTCACTTGGCTATTTGTAGAATTGTCAAGTTTACAAATAGCAAACATCAAACAGACACGTCACAAGCCCTGACGGTACTCAAATGTATGATTGCCGGGACTCTACATGGCTATTCGTATTTGCTATTTGTTAAACTTGACAGCAGTTTCTCCTTTTCATTCCTTACCCCTCGTTTACACCAAGAAACAAGTCATAAACTCGGTTTATGCAAAACTTTTAGAATACTTGTTGTGTTTGTTTTAAACGTTTTTTCGTTAACACTGCATAGACAACTAGTATCTTGACAAGTAAACGTTTGATGCAAATATTGTATACTACATGTTTTATACATATTTAAAAGTGTAAAAAATTAAAACATTGTATAAATATTGTTAAATACATGTATTATACCTTGGTAAACGAGGGGTGGTGCATAAGGACATACTAAATTCGAATGGCCATGTGCTATCAATTATCATAAAACGAACCCTTTTCTAACGCGTCAAGGCACAAAACGTCGGACAAATATAAATCTGGCTTAAACTTCGGTACTACCACAGTTGCGCATTAGAAATTTCCAAACACATTTATTTTTAAATACTTTCAAAATCTTTAGATTCTTGAATGCATTTGTAAGTCCCTTCGCCTAAATCTTTAGATTTCGCTTAGTCAATAGCCAGAGTCCTAGTATTCTAGTGCCCAAGGTGCCTCAAACTACTCAAGGATAAATTCCTTACAAGTAACACAACTATTATTCCAACATGACACACATAGCTATGTATGTCCACTTCCATAATGGACCCCAATAAATTGACCTTACCAGCATCAAAATAGGCCACGTCAGTCGGTTTAATATCTTACTTTAATCACTACGGGCTATATGTGCAACAAAACACTGTGCGGACAACCAGTTTTGATATATATATAACTAACAATATTTATATAATCTATATAGAATCGCGTGTTGAGTGGATCTAAATACTTTTGAGGAACTGAAAATATAGCACTCTTGAATACTGACATGTTCTTGACACATTAAGAAGGCTAAATCTATTCTTCATCGAAGGATTTTGGTGATCTTTTTAGATTCATTCAACCTTCGGCGTTCTTGGCAAGATCGAGAAGCTTATTCATGAGCTCACCGCCAAAGGACTCTCTGTACTTTTGGCTGATGCTGTTCAGTAATGCATATGGAGTTTCGTAGTTCATGTTTTCTATGGTGGAGAGGGCGGTGTCATCGAACTTTCTTCCTACCACTCGGAAGCCGGCTGCGGACATCTCGATGCAGTAGTCCGCACTTTCGAGGGTCGTGAGGTTGATGAAGATGCGCTGGTCACTGTTGCTAAGCAAGGTGGACACGTGGGCCGCCTTCACGTGCTTCCGTATGTCGTTGATGGCAGACTCCGCCTCTTGAGGCCATGTTTCCTTATCCAGGACTTGGTCCATCATCGCGCTCCTGCCGACAAGCATTATTACAAGTTAATACTTGATGCATATTATTTTTCTAAAACGGTTTTTCTGTATGTTGCAAGAACTACAGAAGTGACGGCGAAAATTGATAGGTATTTTGTAAAACAATAAACAGAGCTAAACGTGCCTACATGCACAAATAGATATTTATTTCAAGGACAAAAACCAAATAAAAAGTTATATGCATCCGTCAGATAAGCTGGCTGACTGAGGGTTTAATCTGAAAAATGGTGTTCATCCCACAGGCTAAAGTTCCTGCAGGACTGGATAGATGAGGGTCCACCAGTGGTATTCTGGATCTCGGGATTCTACTTCACGCAGTCGTTCCTGACGGGCGTACTGCAGAACTACTCGCGCCACAACAAGATACCCATCGACCAAGTCCATTTTGAGTTCACCATCACCAGTATGGAGGCAGAGTGTGAAGAGCTGCCGGAGTTTGGAGTGTATTGTAAGGTAAATCCCTCTATTATCTTCTTAAAGGCCTGTGATGAACTGCAGTAAGTTCAATTTTGAAATGAGGAACTAAGGCTGCACTAACAGGCTCCTATCAAATTTTGGCTAGGAAGGACCGGCAACTCGAGCAGTGAAGGTGAGCGTTGATGCGCATCTTAAAGGGGGCCTCCTTAAACCTACACCTTTTTTTTTTGTTAACGCAGGCAAAACCTCTGTTTACAGACGACGGCGGCTTTAAGAGGCACACCGCCGAACGGATCTCACACCTGGCTCCCGCAATCCTTACGTGACTGCCCACTGAGGACCCCGTAACTCTTACGGGCGCTTTACGGCATATTATCCGCTAAAAACCCCTGCGAATACCCTCTAAGCTGCTTAGCGCGAAACCACGGGATCCCCGTTTAGGGATTCTTCCGCGATTAGGAGCCTCCCGGACCAGCCGGGGCTCCACGGCAGGGGTCTCCCGGGGTATCGCAGGGACCCCGCAGACGTGCGCGGGTAGGCCCACGCTGAGTTAGGTGTGCCTGTGTGAGTTAGGGGCCTAGTGCCCACCACACCGCTCCCCGTCCGCTGCAGGGGACTGCCTGGGCGTATGGGCACGCCCAGGCAGGTCCTCCCGCCGCTCCCTCTCGTAGGACAGAACTACAAGAGGTCCTTAAACCTACACCTGGTTCGCAGATCCCGGGAACTGCTCAGAGTTTCTCTCTATTCCACACGATGGACCAGGAACTCTATTGTCTGCTGCGCGGCTGCGCTTCAGTTCAAGCAGAAAATCTTAAGATACTGCTTTATCCATATACTCCCTCAAAGATTTGACAATAACTATAGGGTATTTGACAAGTTTTAGAAAACGATCTCACGTTATTTACTAATGTTTATAGAGTCCGTTAAAAGTGGATATTCATCATTATGTTGTGTATTTCGGTAAAAAAACTAAATCAAAAACTCTATTTTCATGTTGCCGCGAAAAACGTATCTCTGGACAATATGGCGTCTCACTGGTGTATGACGTCACACGACTGTCATTAAAACGTCAAATCATACAATGTAATGTCACTTTAACCGGAAGTTTACTTGTGTGTGATATCATTTTAGGCTCCACCAATCCCAAGCGTTTGGGTCACGTGACAAAGGACAAGAAAACTATTATCTTTATCATGGGTTTTTAGTAAAATTATGAATATTTTTTCTGTAAAAATAGTAAAAACTCCTGCCAAAATTCATTTTAAATACTGATGCTAACAATTGGCACTTTATTTTTAATACTGTCAAATACCCTATTGCATACATGAGAATGAATTGCAGGACAGTTCTTTGAACAAAAACCCTGAAAGATTGAAAATAACTATTCCTTACATGAGAGAGAAATGCAATACAGTTCTTGGAACAAAAAACCCAGTTTAATGGAATCATCTACATTTTTTTATTTCTATAAAATACATTCACTTACAAATTTCCTAAATTTAATGGTATGTATACATCCTTTGATGAAATTATACAAAGCGAAGGAGGTATATGACCATCACAAGCTACAGAGATTATTTTTTCTGGGAAACATGCGTAACCATATAGATATACTAGTGGCCCACCCTCGCTTTGCTTCGGAACAGAATTGATCAAAATCCTTTCTTAGTGGATGCCTACGTCATAACATCTACCTGCAAGCCAAATTTCAGCCCGATCCGTCCAGTGGTTTGGGCTGTGCGTTGATAGATCACTATGTCAGTCAGTCACCTTTGAGTTTTATATATATAGATTAGATAAGCAAATAATATGTCTACATAATATCAGAATATTCAAAATATGTTTCCTAATTTCAGCATTATTTTTTATATAAATGTTGTCTTTTTGAAATTAAATTATTTTGTATTGGTCATTTGTTAATTCTTTCTTGATTTAATAAAATAAGCATAAAACAGGGTTAATATCAGAGGGGCCCAAGTTTTTTGCTCACCAATAAATCATAGTCAAAAATAAAATGAAGTTTTGTAACATTGTTAATGTTACTCATAATTTTAATTACAAGCAGCAAACACAACCAATGGATAGGCATGATCAGGAACATAGTGTTTTTGTATGGGTGAGTTGCGCACTGGTTTGGTTTGATATTGTTCTCATTGACATGTTAATTTAGAAATAGCAAAATTTGCATGTCTCACATATTTCAATACTGCACTTTTTTTGTGTTTTCATTCATATTTATTTACCATTCTTCATTTATATAATATTTATTTTATACCCTTTCTATACTAGTTAATTTTCTTATTTACCAGTCTGTACAATATTAACAATTAAGGTCACAATGGTAACTTAGTAGAGTTTTGTTTACATCCTAACGGAATATTATAAATGCAAAAGTAAGTTCGCTTGTTGCTCAATCACGTATAAACTATAAAATTTTTGTATGCTTATATATTTATGACCAAGGGACGTATTATGAACGCTTAATGCAGGCAAAAATAGAGGTTGAAGTGGGATGTCGCTCTATTGTGCGTATGTAAAGTCTCGCTCTAACAATGGAACTTGCCTGGTGTTAAGACTTGATAATACGGTCTCTGGCACGACAGAGTATATTTTATAACCCAGACAATGTCATGTTCCTATGGGATTCTCAAAAAGACTAAAGGGAACGCAAACAGTCATGGGCAGCCACTAGTACATAGATTCTTTATGGCAGTGGGCCCCAGCACACAATCTCTTTATTACTCCTTAATACTTATCATGCTGTTTCGACAATGAGAAGGGGATACCGCTATTAAATTTAGATAACCACTCCAGAATTAGGCCCAGTGACTACATTACTATAAAGCTTCTTTCCTATACTCAAGATGAGTTGTTTTAAATAAAGTTGTTTAAAAATAAATTAATCGTGAATTGAATCAATTTTGACTATCTATATATATATATTATATTCTATTGAGGTTCCTATTTTGGCTAATAAAGTTTTGTTGTTTTAAAAATACACACATTATAAATTTAAGATAAAAAACAGCCATATTTTTTTACAGCCCAATACCAACATTATATATTTATGTAATATATGAATCAAAAACAAATTATTTAGATTTTTCACTCCCAACAGGGTTTATTCTTGGAAGGAGCAAGATGGAATCGTGATACAATGCAATTGGACGAATCATATCCCAAGATACTCTTTGACACCATTCCCATAATTTGGTTCAAACCTGCGTTGATAGCTGATTTTGATCCTCCACCAAGCTATTTCTGCCCCATTTACAAGACAAGTGAGAGGAAGGGAGTTCTAGCCACTACAGGTCACTCCAGCAACTTCGTCATGTATATCACCCTAAGATCAGATATACCGCAGAAACACTGGATCAACCGTGGTGTAGCCAGCTTGACCCAACTTGATGATTAACTCTAGGAATAAACCTAATGTATGTGTGACATTATTTATTTTAATACAATTGCAATAAACAATGAGAAGCTGTCAATGATTGAAAACTCTGTGATAAATCTAGTCACAATAAAGATTTCTTATCCCAATTTTTTTTTTAATGAATTACAATTGGACGTAGTTACGCGAAAACGTTCCAACCCACAAGTCACTCGAAAATGAGTTACCATAACCAGGGTACTATTTTTGACATATTATATCATGTGCACACAAAGATGCTAGTATTTTTAGGTTAGTTTCATCAATAAAGTTTAACCCAAATGTTCCAACCCACCATTATGCCAAGGACGTGTACTCAAAATAAAGTAAAAACATTACATGCATACTGAAACATATTGTTAAAAACTCTTAATAGAATAACATATCGTTATAATGTTCCACTTGTCTTGGAACATTATACTAAATTCATAAAACGCACATTTAATGGTTTCTTAAATGATCCATGTGGGTTGGAACGTTTTTGCAAAATCTTTACACCTTTTTATTTCTGCAAAAATGTTCCATGTAATTTGAAACCTTTTAGATTAATCCATACTGTTTTTTTTAAGCTGCGAACACTGTTCTAAATAAATTGAAATCTTTTATTATAATATATTATTTTCAAATTTTTTGCTATAAACAATCCACATATACTTGATCCATTTTTGCTATTAAATATGTTCTAGAGAAAAAGATATTTTTTACCAAAATAAATAACTATGGTATATTTCGACGTAGTAACGTGAAAATGTTCCAACCCACAGCAACCCCAATTTGAGATAAACGCAATTTACACACTTTTTCCCTGTAATTATTTCAGGCAAATACTATTGGTTTAACTATGGAATGCCAAACTGTTTATTGAATGATATGCATATTTTTTGTAAATACATAATACAAGGGGCATATAAATAGGTAAAACGAGTTTGAAATGTTTTTGCTAAATTAATTTTGTATGAACCTTGTTATATAGCAATTATGCATAAACTTTCCAAAACGAATTTAAGTGTATTATTTTATAAAAATAAACCAAAAAGAAATATGTAAAATAATAAATAACAATGAGGAACATACAAAAACAACAAAAAAAATATTTGAAAATGTATTAGAAAAAAATAGAACGTGATCTTTTGAGCTTAGAACCTATGCCAAAAATTTGCTGATATGGTTCCAAAAGTTATCAAAAACTTATATTATAAACATTCAATTTTCATCATCGTATTCTATGATCTCGAAGTCCGGAACTCCACCAAACCCATCAACATCATCAGTGCTTCTTCAGAACTTTGAAGCGTTCTATAAAATTGAAGGCAATCCTCGGGTATATAGTGGTACATGGATTGCAAGTCCACTAATTTCGCTGGAGCAATCGGTTTGTCGTTAGGCCACAATAAGCAAAAATCAGATTCTTTTATGTATTGCAGTTCTCGTTTTATTCTTTTATCAATTTTCAACTCATTGAAATCGTCTTCGATCGTAGACCGCATAAAAATAGAAAACATTTTATCTTTATCCAACTTAATTTCTTTTGTATGTAGCCAACTAACTTTAGATGAGTCTGTAAACTTCTTCCTATTGATCTTCTTTTCCAGTTTAGTTGTACTAAAAAAATCAGTCTTTGTCATTTTGTAAACTTGAAGAGGTTTAACTTTTTTACTTAGTTCTACAATAGTGGTATCCATAGTGCATCTAATGATACTGGGCATTGTTATGTACTGGTAGAAGGAGAGGTAGGAAGAGGTGCACAGGAAGTGAATTGCCTTCAATTTTATAGAACGCTTCAAAGTTCTGAAGAAGCACTGATGATGTTGATGGGTTTGGTGGAGTTCCGGACTTCGAGATCATAGAATACGATGGTGAAAATTGAATGTTTATAATATAAGTTTTTGATAACTTTTGGAACCATAGCAGCAAATGGGCATAGGTTCTAAGCTCAAAAGATCACGTTCTATTTTTTTTGTAATACATTTTCAATTTTGTTTTTGTTGTAGTTGTATGTTCCTCATTGTTATTTATTATTTTACATATTTATTTTAGATATATTTATAAAATAATACACTTAAATTCGTTCTGGAACGTTTATGCATAATTGCTATTTAACAAGGTTCATACAAAATTAAATTTAGCGAAAACGTTTCAAACTCGTTTTACCTATTTATATGCCCCTTGTATTATGTTTTTACAAAAAATATGCATATCATTCAATAACCAGTTTGGCATTCCACAGTAACACCAATAGTATTTGCCTGAAATAATTACAGGGAAAAAGTGTACCGCTAAAACACAAAATTGCGTTTATCTCAAAATGGGGTCGCTGTGGGTTGGAACGTTTTCGCGTAACTACGTCCAATTAGACTTCAGCCAGAATCATTTAAATTTCCCGCTATATTTCAACAACGGCCCCGATGAGCTTACCTTTTTCTGATACACGTAATACGTATAAGATGAATCCAATAAATTAATGCTTGCTTGCTAGAAACTTGTAGTAACAGTGTTTTATTTAATTATTCCAACTAGCATCTCATTTTCAATAAAATTAATAACAATCGCATCACAGACTACATTAATACAAAATGACATCAACAAAAACAAAGAAATCAAATCACAGAGTACCACTAGCACTTTACTTTGTTTCTTTCTTCTCTATGGACTAGCACAAAGACAAATGGTGTATTCCGTAATAAATACCAGTATACTGGCTAGTGCTAATGACGTCATGGATCTACGCTATACTGGTGAATTGTTCCGAAATATATTGGCCAGTGCAGTGACGTCATAAATCGACGAAATATTAAAAATAGTGCGAATAAATAAGATCTTTTATTCACCTCATCAATTAAAAGGAATTATTTTTGTTCGGATGCCATTATTGTTCTTTAGATAAAAAAGAAAATTCGTTTTCCCGGTAAAAATATGGTAGCATACCAGTACAATATGGCGTTGGATTCGTGACGTCATTACCACTGGCCAGTATACTAATGTACATTTCGGAATACACCCATAGTATAGATTAATCGTTCCAGTGCTTAAACGGCTATTACACTACCCAATTTTAAAGGCCCCATCGAAGGGATGGGCGTGTTCCCTTACTAGGGTAGCAATTATTACACTGCCCTATACATCGGACCCTAATTCAGTCTGAAAGTAAAAGTCGTTTCGGTTGAACATCGTCGTTATGGCACCCGATGTATTTTGATTAAATTTTTATAAACCTCCAAATCTTTTGGAATTTTTCTTTTTATTTAAAGAGAAATATGTAAATGATCATCAATATTTTTTTAATTCTCACAAATCACTTAAAAAAAAACAATTTATATTTAGATATTAAACTAAAACTAGACAAAAATTAAAAATATTAAAAAAATAGCTGCCGTAAGTCTTCCTCGTCGGCAAAGGTTCCCAGGACGCTGGCGGCATTTCCCCGCTGAATGGCGAGGCTTATGCGCTGGGCGAAATAGCCGCCAGCTCTGCGGTCTCCAGTGGTCTCCACCAATCTTTTCGCTATATCTTTGAAAAGATGATGGGCACCGGATCCCCAGGGTCCCTGAGTCTCGACTCCAAACGCCGCAAATGTGAGGTCTCCACTGAGGCAATCATACTTGCGGCGCTTAATGGCCTCTGCGGTCGAAGCAGCCGCGCCAGCTTGCATCGAGGTTCCGGGAATGTGAGACGGGGCCAGAGTGTCGACGCAGGTTGCGTCCCACACAAGTGCCCGTCCCAACTTCCAAGGAACGAGTGTCATGCCGTCGGGCCTCTTACCGTCGTCGCGCGCCAGACCGCTTGGTTCTAAAACGGCTGGCACGCTGGCGGAGGCGAGGGCCCTGCGGATGACATCATTGATGCAGTGGTGGCGGGTTATACGGCCGGCACTCCTTGTGCAGGAAAATATTTTGTGATATATGTAGTTACTTTTAATTATAATAAATCTTTTATTGCGCGTGTAGTACACGATCTTAGTTAATGTCAGAATTCTCACATAAAACAATTAATAATAGTAAATTCCTTATTTATTTCTTCACATAAATAAAAAAAATGGAAAACTTATTTCCAATAAAGTGCATAATATTATATTAAATATTTAATTACTTAATGTGAAGACTGGTGCTTGCAATAGGATAAACCTGTTCTACAAGACACCAGGCCTCCACCCACTCCCAAAACTACATGATCAGAGCAAGCCAACTTTGTAACATTTATGTGATCAATGTAATTATTAATATAAGTAGTGCTTAAGAAACACTTATTTAATATAATAATTTAATAATAAAAAATTAAATTAATTGTGGGTGTGTGCGCGCGTGCATGTGTTTTTGTGTATGTGTGTGTGTGTGTGTGTGTGTGTGTGTGTGTCTGTGTGTGTGTTTATATTTAACGTTTTTTATAATTATGTGCTTCAATTATTGCCATTCTATTATGAATTTACACTTTCCTTGATCTATTCATATTTCTTTCACAAATAAATTAAATTCATCTTTGTCAATAACTTAGAGGCATCATAAGATTATTTAAACCTATTTCATTATATTCTAATAAATAATTACAGATCTGTTGCTTTATTTGTCTGTTTGTATACTGCCTTAGATTAATATATGTAATACGTTAAAGAATGAAGGTGCCACAAAGTTTCATAATCCTGAAACAAACTTGGTTTTAAAAGGAGGAATATGACACTTTACCACTCTTGTTTTACAGACATTAGAGATTGTACTTACAATACTATGAAATCTGCGTATAATCTGATATATAAACAATTTACGAATACTAAGCTTAAGCTTAAGACTTAAGCTTTTTCATACAATTAGGCTGTTGGGTGACGAATCTGTAGTGACATTAAAACTTCAATACAGCTCTTTGTGCTCTTTCAAGTTTAATTGAATGTACTTGTGCAGCGGCTCCCCAAGCACAAATACAAAGCAAGCAAAATAGCAAATGAAAGATTCTCCCAAAGATTTATAAACTGTAATTAATAAAACTAGGTTAATTACCTTGCGAATGTTCTTAAAAACATACATTAACTTTCTGATACGCCCAGAGATAAGTGAAATATGAGCATTCCAATATAAGTGTTTATCTATCATGACTTCTTGAACTTGCTTGAACTTTTTACCGCGATCTAACATTGCACGGTTACAGTCCGATAGAATATCAGGTAAAAGATTACAGGGATAGGTGTGAATGGTTAATGAGAAAGACCTCTTAGGATTGAAAGCCTAATTTATGGAGAAGCAAATCTATTTAGTTTTATTCACATTAAGAGATAACAAACTATTCTCAAGCCAGGCTGTAACCTTAGATAAGCCTTTTTCTGGCGTCATCATCATCATCATCAGCCTATTAACGTCCCCACTGCTGGGGCTCAGGCCTTCCCTATGGATGGAATAGGGAGATTGGGCCATGACCCACCACGCGGGCCCAGTGCGGATTGGTGGGTGCTAACGACTGCAGATGCAGCCGGGACCAACGGCTTAACGTGCCTTCCGAAGCACGGAGGAACTCAAGATAGTAAATTTTTGGTCACCCATCCAATGACCGACCACTGCGAAAGTTGCTGAACTTCAACGATCGCAGCCGAACGCGCTAACCACTTGCGCCATCGAGCTCCTTTCTGGGGTAATTAAGACTTATTCCCAAGACGAACCATAAAATACAAGGGCAGTATCATCGGCAAACATAAATAACTCACCATTATTAAGATGGATTTTACAAAGGTCGTTAAAGTAAGCAAAGAATAGTGGTGGACCAAGAGTACTGCCCTGTGATAAACCATAATTACAAGTAGCAGATTCACTATGATGACCGTCCAATCGAACAGTCTGGCTTCGATTTTGAAGGTAATCTTTGAACCAATTCATTGCGACATCCGTTATACCTAAATTTTCTGTAATCTACATAGGCGCTCAATGTGAGTCAAAATCAAAATTGACTGTTGGAAATTATAAGCTTGAATCGTGCGCAGTCCAATCGAATGTTTATTAGGTATATTATATTATTGCTGGTTTTAATACAACTGATATGAAAAATGGTAAAATCTAAAGCCAAAATATAAACAACCCATTGTGTCGATTCTGATATGATTCTCCAAACCTAAACTTAATTTGACAACAATGGTGCCAATTCTGGCGTGATTCTCTAAACTTAAAACTAAATTTGACATCAGTCTCTCCTTTTCATTCTGTATAGAGAATGACAAGGATATACTGCTGTCAAATTTAAGTTTAGGTTTAGAGAATCATGCTAGAATCGACACCAGTGTATCCTTGTCATTCTCTATAAAGAATAAAAAGCAGACTGGTGTTAAATTTAGTTTTAAGTTTAGAGAATTAAGCCAAAATCGACACCAATTGCTAGGTAACAAAGATAGACAGACCATAGTCACAAATTATGCTTAAAGGTTTCATTACATATTTCAGGCCAGGTAAAACTGGGAGGTTAAATTTGATTGCCATCAAACTTCATGAGCTTAAGTTTCGACATGCAAAGACGTTGTTTGTTCTTGCTATTCCTGTAGTCACAACTTCCTGCAATTACAGACTCTGCGAACGCAACGACGGCTCACTCTTACTTTGGCCCATTTTCGACGAGATCCTCTTGTGTTGAGCTTGTAGCCGGAAGTACAAATGCTCGTATTTATCACACAAACATCTGCCCCCACCGGGATTCGAACCCGGGACTCTCGAGTCGGTGACACCGTGAAACCTGGCGTACAAACCACTCGGCCACGGAGGTCGTCTTATTATATTATATACAACTGAATACACCTGTCAAACGTCCGCGTTTCAATCCACTTGCTATAGCACACTGTGGCGAGGCGCATCGTAACCGGCAGAGTGTGCAATAGTTAATACAAAACACAGACGTGCGATTTGAGCGGATTTTTGGGCTGCGACCCGACCCGCTGCAGCCTGGAACAATGTGCGCTATTCTTTAACGATATGGGCACCCTGTAAGACTAACGACCTCCGTACTATAGCTCTCATTGGGCCCGTCTTTTCAGTAACAGTGAGGTGATAAGCCGTGCTTAAGGTATTTCTGAGTATTACTTAAATGATATCTATCAAGTAATGTCCTATAGTCTTGAGGTCCTGTTCATAATTAATATATGAAAGTGAGTGAATTGAAATAATAGAAAATAAGAATGGCAGCATGAAGAACCACCACCATACCAAGTTTGTTTCACTTCACTGACTTGAGCATGTGGAAAAAAGCCTATTAGACTACCCAATTTTAAGGTATCCTTACCCGGACTAAGGGTGGTGTAATAAGAGTTAGGGAGTAAGGAAACCGATGTAGGGCGATCGGTGCGATCAAATCTTCCTTACTCCTTTACGCCCTGATTATCGGGTAGTGAAATAGCTGTTAGTAAGGTAGCTCAGTCGAATATGTACAGTTTGTCTATAAAGTCGTGACATTAAATGATGGCGCTACTAGTATGCATGTAGCAACCCTGTACAGTCGGACCAAAATGATTTTGATACTAGCAGTTCATTCAAGTAAAATAGGTAATTAACTATACAGTCGTATTTTGTTTCTGTGTTATATATAGTAGGTACCTATGCTTATAAAAAGTTGAGCCAAGCATATTTAATTGAATCAGAGTAAAATTATTATAGATAAAATAGTACTTTATAGTGTAAAAGTGTGTAATGATGGTGATTACCGCTGAGGTGCCATTGAGACCAGAGCCGTTATCAATACACACAAGTATCATCATACGACGTTTTTTAACACACTTGTTAAGAAAATAATACTAAAAAACATTTTATAGTATATAAAAAGTTTATTTAGAGAAACAATTTTTAAATGTGCAGTTAGTAAAATTAATGATAGGTATCTTCACTAAAAGCATCTGGCCATGGTTCTTTATGTGACCATTTCTTTCTTTGGTCGGCCTTGCCTGTTTTCCCAGATGTTTCAAACTTTCCATCATTCTTAAAACCTTGGTTGACTATCAGACTCTCTGATTTTCCTGAAAAAAAGTAAAAAAAATATGTAACGGAATAGGAATAATAACTTATTGACATGAAGCAATTAATTCAAATTTGGTAGAAAACCTGACCGAGTTGAACCATATTAACGTATCAAAAGAAATGGTCGTACTACAATATTACCTATTTACAATGTCAATCTAACCTAAAAATGTGCAATGTAAACAATGCCTTTTTTGGTCTCAAAATCGTACATTGAGTAAATTTGTAACTGCAGAATTTACAGCAGATTACAAACAAATAGTTACACGATTACATACCCGTCATAGATGCTGTTCGCCCATAAACATCATCCAAATCCCACAAAATTCGTCCAGCTTGGTAGTCTTCGAAACATCGCTGGAAAACTTTAAAAATCACTTCCCGCGTGCCGCTCCGATTTACTTTACTCATTTTTATACCTTTCTGCGTAGTTTCATCTTAATTTATTACAGTTTAATCCAAACAATAAAAAATACAAAAGGAAAACTGTTCCACAACTGAAACTCGATGACAGCTGATGTACATAAGTTTGGTGTTGCCAGACACATGAATAATGTTAGTTCCTCAAACATTCATGTCACGACTTTATAGACAAACTGTAGTACCGACGCTTTTGTAGACGAATTAGTTTATTGGCGCGATATCATCTAATGAAGAGTTAGAAGTTTTATTTAATTTTAATTGAGATTTATAATTTTTGTGGCAAAAGACATAACTAACTCACATTACACCATACGTAGTCAGGGTAAGGGTCCCTTAAAATTGAGTAGTGTAAATCCTGCATAATAGCCGTTTAATAGTTTGCAACATGGACTTAGGATATGCTAATGGTTTGCAACGAGTGATTTTAATGAAAATTTTAAAAACTAATAAGTTTTTAATATTCAATTAAAGATATGTGTTTTGTACATATATTTTTTTATTAATGCAATGAATAAAATGTAAACTATCACAACATACACACTTAAATATTCAGAAATTTTATGGAGCTAACGGAACGTAGCATGATTTGATTTGTTAGTATTTTGTGTATTGTGTAGATGGCGCACCAAACTTGTAAACTGCGTATGCCGAACTGACGTTTTTGGTTATTTTTGTTCTCGCCTCGTGTTTACTTTAGTGTCTAATTTCGGTACAATTGCGAAAATTCTGTTGTGCAACACTCGTAAGGATAATATTTTTGTTCATAGACGGCATCACCTTTCGGAATAGTATCGATCCATAGTTCCGGACTAGGTATATGTATACAGTTCTATCACGTGGTGGTGTGGTGGTTTATATAATTCTTGTTTACCGCACAAGTCGAAACTTTGCGCATGTGCGTTCCGTCAGTAACCTCAAATTGTAGAGTAGGCACGGATTCGGCAGGCTCCGGATATCCGGGTCGCGACGCGAAGGTGGCTGTTCTTGCAGCGGGTTTGTGATGTGCCCTCGTGCAAGTCGTACACGCCCCGCGAGTGGAAAGCGTTGGTGATACAGTACGCGCGTGCCAGAAATGGCTCAGACTCAGTTCACGCGAAGCTCCGAGAGCGACGCATGGGCGCTCCTGTCCCTGAAGACGCCCCCGTCACCGTCGAAGGTGCAGTGGGCACAGGAGCCGGCTCCGATTGCCATCGCGCGCCTCGACGGTCGTGATTTCGAGTATATCATCCGGCAGAAGCGAGTAGTGATAGGCCGGAACTCGAGTCGCGGCCAAGTGGACGTCAACATGGGACATTCTAGTTTCATATCTCGCCGGCACTTGGAGCTGTTTTACGATCACCCGGAGTTCTACCTGACCTGCAACAGCAAGAATGGCGTCTTGGTGGACGGCGTGTTCCAGCGGAAGGGCTCCGCCGCGATGCTGCTCCCAAAGAGGTGAGTGTTGGCTTTGTAAACACATAGCGTCATAGATTATGATAGGTGCGTCCATTTACATTTACCTATTAACTGAATGTTTGTAAACAAACTTTTTGTTTATCATCTACCCACCTGTAGTTGATTAAAAGGTAGAATTGTGAAATCTGATTAATCTTGTCACACAGGTGGACTAAGTATTTTATGTTGCTTAAAAGAATTACAATTAATTAATTTGTGTTAGGTATTACCTTGGTGATTTTATCAATAAGCAATATTAGATTTAGAATCTATATTACTTTTTCTGCAGACTGCTGGTGAAATGACTTTATTGTTATCATGCTCTCAAGAATTAAGTACCTTAATAATATGGTAGGCATAAGGTCCCAGAAATATCTTTGATATATTCTGTAAATAAAATAAAGAGCTTACAATACAATAACAAATGCTATTTACTATTGGCATCATTATCAGTCAATGATAACAAACCAAAACAAAACATACTATTTGGATGATGCAATTTATAGAAATACATTATGCCAATTGGATTTTACTATTTTGTGGTGAGTCACTGCTGTGGAAAAACACTGTTTACAAAATATTTAGTTCTAAGTTTTTCAATGAACTATTTGCAGCCTTCGTTTCCAATCAAGGCTTTTTTTTATTAGTGAGACAGTTAATTTTACTCCTTGTTTTACACATATGAAAGTATGTATTCATTTGCAGCATTTGCATCAATTTTATTTACTAATATTGGTGCTATTTTTACAAAATATTATTCATACTTTGCCCTCACTGCTAGTTAATGTAGTAAATACCCATTACTATATCATTAATTAACAATAACAGTTAGTTTGTTTATTTGCTGTTTACTTATGTCAGGTCGTTCAACTATTTATTTACTGAAGTCAAAGAAATAGCTGACATTAAATACATATAGCAAATCACCTCAGTATTTGGAACTTTTGCTGAATTTATATGAGAATGTTGTAACATATCATGTCTTACCAATTTTATATGTAACCAAAGAGATGATTTCCAACCCCACCTGTTTTTTTTTATTTCTGTTGATCACAACAACCGCAACAACAGATTTAGAAGATCCAAGTCATATTATTTACTAATGTGTATTTCCTGTCATTTTTATTATAATAATGTTTGTCTTTTCCTTATTGAGTTGTGGTTTTACATAATCATTATATTAACATGCGAAGAAGATGTGCTCAACATTGTTACCATATTTTGCTCATGAAGGAGTGTGAGATTTTACATTACAAAAGTTTATAAGGAGAAGGAGTGAGTTTATTTATCATTTGGGAAACATACAGTTTTACAATATTAAATTAAGTAACACTTATTATGATGTATTTATACACTTACATAATTACCTTAAAGTAATGTACAATTTAGTTACGTGAATACAACAAAGATAAGTAAAAATATTATGTTAAGAAAATAATTACCAATTGTTAGGGTAAACAACCTTATAGCATTCATTTCTAAATTGATTGTAAGAAAGGCAAAATATATCCAATCCCCTGCAGTATTTTTTATAGCTGTGACATGCTCTAGATATAAACTATTTGCAACAAACTTGGTCCTGCTGAATTGTATTACAAACATGCTGTCAAACCTAGTAAACTATACTAACTACTAGACCTATTAAGTACTACATTAGAAGTACATATTAAACATAATTATATATTTAACAAGAGGAGTTTGATGGCGCAACTGGTTAGGGCTGCTATTATTGAAGTTAAGCAACTTTCGCAGTGGTTGGTCATTGGATGGGTGCACAAACATTTACTATCTCGAGCTACTCCGTGCTTCGGAAGGCAAGTTAAGCCATTGGTCCCGGCTGCAACTGCGGTCGTTAGCACCAGCCAATCCGCAGTGGGCCTGCGAGTTGGGTCATGGCAAAATCTCCCTATTCCATCCATAGAGAGAAGTCCTGTGCCCCAGCAGTGGGGACATTAATAGGCTCATTATGATTAAATAAGTTAATGAATTTAACAGACCATTAAAAGACAAGGAGCCATTTTTTTTTGATGGATTGGAGCTCCACTTAGTTGCTTCCAGTGACCACCAGTGACACACAGACCACCGGTTAAGAACCACTGCATTGGATAAACACTGTCTACAAAAATCTTACCCAATTACCCTTTGTTATATATTTGCTTGTTGTAACATCTTATCAACATTACAATCTTTTTCACAGCTGGAAAAGCCATTTTTATATATTGAAAAGAGAAATTATAATTAGATGGAAAATAGAATTTCAAAATTAAAGTATTATACTGTTAAAATGTTAAGTGTGAATGCTTATATGTAGGTTATATTTGTTCTAAGAGCGCTATATACATGGCTGTTTGAAACAAGAGTGCGAAGCTTTGCTGATACAGATGTTTGAAACATTTTTTCTAGATTGCTTTCATATTTAAATCTCAGATCAAAAATACTCTTATGAATAAGGGCTATTATAAAGTTGATGATTATCTAAATGATCGTAATGCATGGACATAGTGTTTCTTATAATTTGATATTAAATGGGTATTACTCATTTTTCATAACAGTAATATTGTACCTATCTAATGCCGCTTCCTATATACTACTTAAAATGTTAACTATAAAATTAATTGTAACTACATATTTATATTCTAGATGATGTAATGGAAAGTGACTTCAGACATATTTCTGAAGTAATTTTTCAACTTGACGACACTGTATATAACAATACAGGGAGAAAAAAACAGCCCTTGCTGAGTTTCTTGCCGGTTCTTCTCAGTACAAGGTCTCCCGCCGTAGTTTTGCGAACCGATGGCGTAGCTTCTTGACCTTCACAAGTGCTTGTAACAGCCTTGACTGAATAAATGACATTTCATTTCATATTTGTTTAATCAAAAAAAAAAACAAAAAGAATTAATTTATCATTTCAGTTCACCATTTTTTTAAACTAACTGTGTACTCTTAGGTTATTTTCATTAAAATCGCTAAAAATTATAAAAATAAAATGGTCAGACTTTGTATAAGACAAGTGTGGCTCAAATGTTTCTAAACGGTCTCTGTTAGCTTTCCTTTAAAGCTTTGCACTCGTCTTCCAGACACCCTGTATTAGTATGTATGTTACTGTTTTGCTTGTGGCTTAATTGGCCTTGATGTTGCAGTGTCACTTTCGATTCTGTAAATGAAGAAAACACAGGTGTGCACATAGAAGTTTATAAAACTTATCACAATTAAGTAAGCAAAGTTTAATTAACTATTTCTCAAAATTAATTAATCAATATTATGCATTCTCCCATCTAAGAAGAGCCAGAGTTAATTATATCTATTGACTTTCTAGTAACTTTTTTGCAGTTTCACAAGATGTAGTATTAAATAATCTTTTTATCATGATTTTTTACTATCAAGGATATAGCAATATTGGATTTGTTGTTAAATATTAACAAATTATTTCAAAAGATAATAAATAAATATATATTTCCAAGACTCACACCAATTAGCATAGCCCCAAAGTAAGCACTGTAAGGCTTGTGTTATGGGATACTAGGGTAACGGATAGAATACATACACTGTACATATATAAATATATTTATATAGAAATACATATTAAACATCCATGACTGCAGTACAAATGCTCGTGTTCATCACAGAAACATTGCCCCCACCGGGATTCGAACCCGGGACCTCTCGAGTCGGCGACACCATGAAACCCGGCGTACAAACCACTCTGCCACGGAGGTCGTCATGAGTTAGAGAAGCATACACTAAATCTTTTAAATAGCAGAGTTTTGTAGTAAAGTATAAAGTTTTATATTACATACATCAAATAGTCTTGGTTTGTTGTTTTCGAGAAGGTGAACGCGGGACACAATGTATAATACACGTCGTAAAATAAGCTAATGTGACAAAATAAAGGTACAGACCGAGATTATGGACTTGGTAGCTGAATTCCTGTATGAGCGTAGAATTCGTGACCTTACGGATGGTAGCAGTTTGCGGTTCATGTCAGTGAATGCGGGCGTTCCCCAGGGCTCCTTCTTTTCCCCCACTCTTTTTCTGCTGCAAATCAATGACTTCATTCTCCTCTTGGGAATATTTATTGCGATGCAGACGATTGTATAGTGCATGCGGGGTATCTCGGACAAGCAGCTGCTGGGCAGGCGGTAACCAAGGAGAAACGGGTGAATCTTGTCATTGAATTCAATCTGGCTTTGGACCACGTTTCCGAATGGGGTACCAGGAACTTGGTTGAGTTCAATGCCATGAAAACTCAGGCTTGCGCTTTCACGGCAAAAACATCGCCATTCCCTATCCTTCCCTCTCTTCAGAGCACAACACTGGCGCTACAGAGCAACATTACCATGCTCGGTATGGAAGTTGGCTCAGACCTGAATCCAAAGGTCTACATCGAAACCGTGATCAAAACAGCTTTACGCAAACTCGGAAGTCCTGAACAAGGTGCGGCGTTTTTTCACGCCCGATCAACTGTGCTTGTTGTACAAAACGCAAGTGCGGTCCTGCGTGGAATATTGCTCGCACCTCTGGAATGGCTCCGCCGAGTACTTGCTCGATGCTTTGGATAGGTTACAGCAGCGCGCGATCCGCATCATAGGCATCATAGGAGGTGACTAAACACCTCGAGCCTCTTCAATTACGCCGTGACGTGGCGTCACTAAGCGCGTTCTATCGTGTGTACCACGGCAAGTGTTCTGAGAAGTAGTTCTCTCTTATTCCACGTTCCCCTATCCTTCAGAGGACCACGCGCGCTTGCCTACGTTGTCACCGTCTAACAGTGGCCACAAAAATCCAACGCGTACAAAGAAATTTGGTGTCTCATTTCTTTGTCGTACTATCCATAAATGGAATGCTCTGCCCGCTCACGTGTTCCCTCCCTCTTACAACCTGGCATCTTTTAAAAGGGGCGTGAAGAAGCAACATGCAGGCCGACAGGGTGAGGATGGCTAGTGTGGCAGGTAGAACTGCTGTATCAGCTATCTTCGCGTGTAGACTTCACCTTCACT